CTTATTACAATAACAATATCTCGCAGTTATTCAACAAGACGAGAATCCTCGCAACACCCAACCCCTCCCTGCAAGCGGGAAGAGAAGCAGTTACCCCACCTCATATGCATGTTACATCCGCGATGTGGTATGCAGATCGCAAGGTCGTTTGACCCTGTGTACACGTCAGTTAATAAGCAAGATGATGTCACCACCAATAACAACAGCTACTCCAAGTGCCTTCAACCCATTATAAAGTAGATAGCAATGTCCTCCCTAACCCAACCATGACCCAACTCCCTGGTTAAAACCCAAGGGTATAACAGAAGTCACCAAAATGCAACCCCTCCTCCTCCACGCGCACGCCTCGGGCCCCAACCCCATCAAAATCGCCATCGCCCTGGAAGCCCTAAACACTCCCTACAACGTCAAATTATGGGAATTCGGCAACGACCGCGAAAAGGGCGTCAAGGGAGAAGTTTTCCTCCGCATCAACGAGAACGGCCGTGTCCCAGCTCTGGAAGACCCCAACACCGGTGTGGTGTCCTGGGAGTCGGGCGCTTGTATGAACTATGTTCGACGTGTGTATGACAAAGAGAACTTTCTGGGTCCGAAGGGGTCGGAGCAGGATATAGTGGATTTTGAGAAGTGGGAGTACTTTTTGCTTTCTACTTTGGGGCCGATGACGGGGCAGACGAATTGGTATAGGTATGTTTTTCCTTATCTACTAATTGATCAGTAAATGTCAGAAGGGGGTTTGGGGTTTGTTTGCTGATCGGGTTTAGGCACTACAATGGAACTAAGAATGAGGATGCCCTGCAACGGTACTCAGCGCAGACGGAGCGATGCTATGGGGTGCTGGAGGGCCAGCTGAAGAAGTCCGGGGGGCAGAGTGTCTTGCCTGGGCGAATTACGGCGGTTGACTATCATTTTGAGCCTTGGGTGCGAGAGTATGATTTCGCCGGGCTGTCGCTGGAGAAGTACCCTCTTATTACGCAGTGGTTGCGCGTGATGACGGGTCGGAAGGAGGTTCAGCAGGCTTATATTAAAATTCAGGGAGCTGCGCCGCAGTTTTCCTAATGTCGCGTCGTGGTGGATTATCCCCAAGACCCTCAGAAAAAGCTCACTGCATATACACTTTCGTGGTATTGAGTACGAGTAGAAATCATACAGTCTCAGAAAATAACAGACCAATTATTTTTGTAACCGCGTTAACGCCCAGCTGAATTCGTCGCGGAGAGCTCTTTGACAATGAACTTGTGCTGGGCATTCGTAATAAGATTGTTTCTGACTAACCATTGGAAGTTGTTGGACGAACTCTGCTCGACTGTTTAGTACAGGGCTAGAAAATATTGAACAGGCATTTCACCAAGTTACATTTCAGACTAATCCTGATGCATTTGGATTCCCAATCATACAGAATCCCCAGATTTTATGGACGTAGTATTCCATCACGAGATATAGATTGAATCTTAATGCTCATCAGACTACCCCTCAATTGTAACAGGCAAGGTGAAAGATAACTGTATAGTAAAGCAAATTAAGGGGACTGAAATTGGGTCTGCGCTGGTGCTGTGCTGAAACTCGAGACTCGGAGAGGCTGCACTCAGGCATTGGATAATTATACAAAAATATTAGGGGACTACGATCACTGCCCGTGGCTTCCTCAAATTGGTACAGAAATATGGTTATCACCCTTTCTCAGGCATGGAAGATCACCCAACCCACTAAGCTTCTTGGTAGTACCGATGTCTATAGAGAATACAAAAAGATATCTAGAACATTTGACCAAGAAGTTGTTACTAGCTATTTTAACTGAGACCTACAACGATATGTATAATTCGATATCCAAGTGGCCAAATGCAATTTCAGATATCTAGGAAATGGTATATGCTCGAGGTGACTTTTGTCCGTTTATCTCCTTTCATGTCACAAAGGCATGCCAAAACATACGTCATCAAATATGTATCGCTATTGGGCTTACCGAAGGCTCCACTATGTATAGAAGGAAAAGAGTTCTGGATATTTAGATGACACAATAAATCTAGTATAAATGACTTGGGCCGGGTTGCGTACAAGCGCACCAGCTGTAATGTAGAATACAACAGAAAAGAAAGAGAAGGATGAGTAAGGAAACTTCAAAGAACGTGTAAGAAGGTTCAAGAGACCTTAAATCAGCTTGTTTGGCGGAAGGTGAAGTTTGTCCCCTGGACTATAAAACCCCCTTTTCCATTTGGGACTCCACCTGAGACGTTATAAGAGCCTATCTCCTTCTGAAGGGGCTGGGGTAGATAGACGGTGCCATTCGTTCCGCTTGGAGAATTAACTTGCATCTGAACGAAACCATTCTTTCCAAACGACCACTTAACACTGAGAGCACCTTGCGGGGTTGGATACTTGCCCTCAGCCCAGCCAAGTTCGAAAGATTGAGGTGCAGCCTGCCACTGTCTAAAGCCGGGCGTCACGGGTTGAACTCCCAAAACATAACGACTCAGATCGGCCGTAGGTCCCGCACTCCAAGCATGGCAGAGGGAAGTACCAATGTCTAGTCCTGGGGTCCCATCGCTGTCCAGTACCTCCCAGGCACATCCCGTATAATTTTTATGAGTGGGGTCGCTCATTGGACCCCAGAGACTGTAAAGTAGGCGCTTTGCATTGGCGCTGTCATTGGCTTGAAATGCAGCCTTCAAGTGATACCCAGAGGCGTAGGGGCTGATCTTCTGTGCCCATCCGTATGCAGCACTCTTATTAGAAAAGGACAGTGCTCCAGCAGGAACGTAAAGCTCCCTCGACATACTGGCGAGGATGGCCTGCGTTCTGTCTTCTGGTCCAGATGATGCGGTGCCACTAAGGATGGCGAGGGCATTGGCTTCCTGAGAAAAGAAGTCTCTATGCGAGTCGGATAGGTAGTAAGCTTGGAGGGAGTCGCTCCAAAGCTCGGAATTGATTGCGTTTTGCAGCGATCGCAACCGGGATGCGTACAGAGTAGCGTTCAAGCCGCCAGCAGTCATGATGGGGAGCCATTGGTTGAGAGCATAGGCATAGACGAGATTGAATTTGGAGACAATACCGCTCACTGAAGGGTCATAGTGATTCCAGTCCCCACCAAATATCGAGTTGGAGATATTAAAAAGGCCGTTGGGTAACGTCTGTGAGTGAGCCCAATCAAGTAAACCAGCTGCCTTGGGGGCCCACTTTGAGAGGAAAACAGAGTCCCCGGTCTGTTCGTAATACTGTGCCATAGCGCTCACCAGATTGAACGAATAACTGATCAATCCCGTAATGTTGGCCTGAATGTCGCTGGTGCGAGGGGGTTGTTGCACTTTGACATTAGGCATGAAAAAGCCAGGCAGCATACGTGCTGACCCGAGAAGAGTAATGGTCCCATTGATATATTCGCGGCCGTACGTACTTGCAAAAGAGGAAGAAGTGGTTATATCAAGATCCCCTCCATAAGCGATGCGGTCTCTTCGCGAACCATCCACGCTTACTGGCAGTGGATTGGTTCCCACCAAGAAGTCCTGTAAGGCAGATTCGTCTGAGAGGGACGAGGAATACATCTGGGTCCCGGAGACTGTCAAAGAGACATTGGTGAAAACAGCAGCCTGTTGGAAGGAGGCCCCTAAGCCAAATGAGCCGTAGAATGCGCTGTTCTGGGTAAAGTTGAATACTGGCGCCCCGTCGATCATCACTGATATCTGAGTAAGGTTGACGGTAGACTCAACGGTATGCCAGTTGTTCAAAGTCACAGGAAATGGGAGGACAGCCGACGCAAGCACTGGTGAGCCGACTTCTGTGGGGCCCGCGTAGGCTGATATTGATGAATTAGCTACATTGACAAGAATGTAGATCCCATTTCCAAGGGTGTCACTGAGCACCGTGAAACCGAAGCCATTCTTTACAGGTTTCACGGTAAAGTCCAGCTCATAAGCCGTCAACATAGCTGCATAGTCCGCTGCGAAGGGCTGAGGACTCAGGCTATCAATAAATGCGCCTTCGTCAGAAATCACCCAAAAGTTTGGCAATGAATTGGCGGGGAATTCATTTAGTTGAACGGTGCGAGCACCAACGTTCCAGATGCGGCTCAGAGCAGGGTCTGAACATGCAAAAGAACCTGGCAGGTGAGACACGGGCGTGCTATCGACCGTTGGCTTGAACCCTAGGGCCTTGATTTCAAGCTCCCCTGCACTGGACAGGTTTAGTTTCTGATACCGCAGACCTCCCTGAATAAGGCGGTTTACTTGCACCATCGGCTGGCTGATGTTGTATCTATTGATGCGGTAGGTGTCCATAGCTGCGGAAAAGGGGATAGGTCCATCAGCCTGGGATGGTAGTGTCAGCGTTCATGGTTCCCATAACTGGTCCATACACGTACCATGTACAGGTCCATAGCTTCACGTGTCTCGCCATATGACATCTCGAAACAGGAGGTGTCACCACTCTGTCGGGTCACCTCAAACGTAGCGTATCCTTCCACATCTTTACCATAGTCTAGAATGGCAATTGCAGGGCTGCTTCCATTGGAAGACAACTTATAAACTGTACCATTACTCACCGGCAATGGATCGCCAGCTGCGAGTGTGTAGGTCTTCGGTTGATAGGTCGGCTGAGACGAAGGAGCATAGAGCGCTCCGCAGACGACGGAGGGTACTAGAAGGGCCAAACCAGGATAAATCCTCATCTTGGCAGAATTTGGAGCGTTAAAAGACGGTCAACGCCCCTTTTGACAGTGATAGAAGTATTTTTCTGTGGATCATTTGTTGCTAATGATCAAGTCACACTCGCCGTCTTCAAGGCTTCATTTATACTTCAAGACCAAATTCAGGGAGTCGTCAAGATAAGATTTCTCAATCACCATTAACTAATTATGCAACATCAGGATTCTAACCGTGGATGGTGGATCCACGGCATGGTTCACGTTACGGTACGACAGTACGAAAGTACGAAGGTACCTATGCAACACGACTGCGCTCAATAGGATCAGCCAGATCCCGGCTCACTTGCGCTGTGTTAGTTGTCATTCATGAAAGAGGCTGTCCCACAGCAGCCCAGTACATCATCTCGGCCCCGCTGCATATACACAGTAAGTCAGGAACACGCTCGTTGCCGTGGGAGTGAATAGCCCACTCTGCAATAGCGTGTCGATCTCTTATTCCACTTCCATGGTCCGGGATTCCCCTATACGAATACGAACGGAGGACTGCCTTTCTCTCGACTTTCTTAGGCAGCGGATGAGAGATTCTTTGTATAGTTTTTGATGAAGGCAAACCCCTTCAGCAGGTAATGCGGCTTGATAATTCGCAACTGTGTACGCTTCTTGCCTTTGGTACCCATCAAGCCTGTCCATACCTTGATCATACCGACAGAAATTTTAGAGTTTGACCTGAGGTAGCTGTATCAAGAAAGCTCCACGCGAGCAATATCATTTGTCTCCACAGACGTAGCTAAATTCCTACCATCAGTCGACCAGAGATACGAGAGATTGAAGAGAAGAGTAAGACTGCGGTGGAAGCCTGCTCGAGGCACCGACAAATATCAGAAATTGGCCACACCAGAGGAGGTCACTTCTCGGTTCGATCCCGAGTCGCGGCTCGATTTTCCCAGGGGATCGTCGGGATCGACGAGTCGGAGGACCCGTTCGTTTTCGTATATCTGGATTGGCATTTTGAAGTTACAGGGTGGGCTACTGTCTTCGGTCCGCACGCCGAATTAGATAGGCTGTCTCACACCCTTCTTACCATAAATTCCAGAGCAGACAAAACTTAAAAATCTTCACAGCATTGCCTTTCCGAGTACTCTGGTATCCCGTGAATTATTATGCGCTCTTCTTCATTCTCTGCGTTTCAGTCCAGTCCGCCATGGCCAGCAACAGAAATGCGGAGGTATTCGAGCTGCCGGGGGATTTAGTTATGCCCCCTACCACGGCCAGCAACAACCATCCGGGGGTCTTCGAGTTGCCGGGTGAAGCAGTCACGATTCCCCCAACGCCAATCGCTGCCGACCGCAAAAGCGGCATTAATATAACAAGTATGCATCCATCGTCAACCGTCACGGGAGATTTCCAGTCAAGTCATTGAGGGACAAGGGGCTGATTCTCATTTGCAGGTGACGGGCGCATTGATATTGACTACAACACGACACTGGTACGACGATTCTCCAAACTGTACACTTCTCATTATTCACCACGACCTACGACGCCACCGCCCGAGTATTCCGAGACAGCACTGCAAGCCGCTAATGACAATGGCCCAAGTCTGGAATCTCCGCCGGCATACACAGAAAAGACCTGGAAGATCAAATTGAATATTGTGATCCAGGTGGTAGGCAGTCGAGGGGATGTGCAGCCATTTATTGCCCTCGGGAATGAACTGCAGCGATATGGACATCGTGTGAGGCTGGCTACTCATAATGTATTCGAAGCTTTCGTGCGCAGTTCAGGGCTCGAATTTTACCCCATCGGAGGCGATCCAGAAGAACTAATGGCATATATGGTCAAAAATCCCGGTCTTATTCCCAATATGAGGAACTTACAGGCAGGCGAAATTGGGCGCAAACGAGCCATGATTCGGGAGATGTTGGACGGGTGCTGGAAATCGTGCATCGAGCCTGATATGGCGACCCAGCTACCTTTTGTAGCTGATGCAATCATTGCCAATCCTCCCAGCTTTGCCCATATCCACTGCGCCCAGGCACTAAGTATTCCTGTACACTTGATGTTTACTATGCCCTGGACCAACACGAAGGCCTTTCCTCACCCCCTGGCGAATTTAACTGGTGGTGGCGATGAAGACCAAGGTTTCAGAAATTTTGTTTCTTATAGTGTGGTTAACTGGTTGACTTGGCAAGGGTAAGGATCTCTGCGCATTCTTAAAGAAACAAAGGAACCGCCTGACGTGTATTGACACACTTAGGATGGGCGATGTGATTAACCATTGGCGAAAAGAGCTTGGCTTAGACGAAATAGCTATGTTTGAAGGGCCTCGTCTTGCAGAAATCTTGAAGATACCATTTACATACTGTTGGTCTCCGGCTCTCGTTCCCAAACCGACAGATTGGCCTTCCTATATCGGTGAGTTATCATTGAATGTGTCATCTCAGATGCGGTCTATGCTAACAGCACCCTTCTTCCCAGACGTCTGTGGTTTCTTCTTCCGCGAATCCCCGAGATATGATCCCCCAGCTGACTTACTGGCCTTTATTGCTGCTGGTCCACCACCAATTTATGTTGGATTTGGTAGTATTGTCTTGGAAGATGCAGAAAGCACTACTACTATCATTCTCAATGCTATACGTGCAGCAGGTGTACGGGCGATCATTTCCAAAGGTTGGTCCAACTTAGGCGGAATACACGATGACAGTAATATTTATTTCATCGGGGATTGCCCTCATGAATGGCTGTTTGACCGCGTCGCAGCTGTCGTGCATCATGGAGGCGCGGGCACGACCGCTTGCGGGTTACGAAAATCTAAGCCCACATTCATTGTGCCCTTTTTTGGAGAGTGAGTGATTATAGTAGGCTATATGTTACGTTTTTTCTCGTGCTAACAATCCAGATAGTCAGCCCTTCTGGGGAGATATGGTTGCTGCAGCGGGCGCTGGTCCTACTCCTATTCCATATAAAGAGCTTACAGTTGATAAGCTGGCCAGCGGAATTCAATACTGCCTTAGCGAACAAGCGCGCATGTCAGCAGTTGCTATAGCTGCTAAAATGCAGTCAGAAATAGGTGTAAAGGCTGCGGTTGCCTCATTTCACCGGAATCTCCCACTTGAGTGTCTGCAGTGCGATCTAGAACCGAATCTACCTGCGGTATGGTCTTTCTCCCAAAACCGTAGGAAACTCAAGCTGTCAAAGATTGCCGCAGAGGTACTAATATCCCATGGATTGATTGATGCAAAACACCTGACAATGTAAGTCAAGAGGCTGACAACCTCAAGGAAATCTTATTCGATTTCGTTACGCTCAGTTTCTGATCAAACTTTGTCTCAGGCATTCCATTCGCCCAATCTTCATTGAAAATCGCCGATGGGATCCCGTCACGGGCGGGGCGTCTGCAGTGGTTGGAACAGCCACTGATGTCGCCGACTCTGTTTTGGGAGCCTTCTACAAGCCTGTCCTGGAGTATCGCGATTACCGGAAGGAGCGTGAAGATCAATCCTCAAGCATAAGATCTACCAGCTCCGTCGAAAATCTTTCAGACACCTTATCTGGCCATAGTATCTCGACAAATTACAAGGAGGAGCCATGGGATAGTGATGTTGCTGGTAGAAGCAATTCTACAGTGTCTGCGGATTTGCACTCGCAGAAGCGGTCGGATACTGGCAAACGAAAGCTTCTTGGTAGAATGGCAGCTGCATCTGGTAGAAGTCTGGGCAGCATTGCTCCTACCATGATCAAGGGCACAACTGTTGACTTTCCCCTTGCTTTGGCTGAAGGACTGCGCAATGTCCCTCGACTATACGGTGAAACTCCCCGAGATCACGGTCCAGTTACTGATATCAAAAGCGGATTTGCTGTTGCTGGAAAAGGATTTGCGTGGGGAATGGCGGAGGCGGTTAGCGATATAGTTGTCAAGCCATACCAGGGTTTCCAAAAAGAGGGAGCGAAAGGTACGATCAAGGGAGTCGGCAAAGGAGTAACAAACATGGCAGCTAAAGCCGGCTCTGCTATGTTTGGCCTCATGGCATACCCTGCTACTGGTATCGCGCAGAGTATCCGGTTGTCAGTTCAATCGCAGACAAGAAAGCTAATCGCCCAACAGCGCCACAGTGAGGGAATATGGTTACTGGAGAGTCGTCAGTATACGGCGACGGACAATATCGTGGCCACTTTTGGACAGAAATTCAAGAGCAAGAAAGGCCGAACGTAATATTTCAGTACCAGGGTTTCTTCGGCGCAGAGGTTGATGGTTTTATCAGTATCCTTTCTGGGAGTAGTATCTACTCTGACTTTTTTCTTCGTTATAGCAACCTTTTACTTTTAATAACCCTTCACTACTGAAAAACCTCACCTTGGCTTCAGCGTCAACTATCTGAACCCGGTCTGTCCGAGCGCTCTTTCCTCGACGCCTAGCTTTAATCTTTTCTTTTCATTCCATTTATTTATTTATTTATTTTTTCTCCGGGGTAAATTCGTATACGCATGATGACAGGCGCAAAGTCGCATGAGCGAGAGACCAATGCCTCATTTGGGATCTCTATGGAATGCTCCAAGTGTACCCAGTTTATCCAGCCTGTGATATTATAATTATGTGATAGTAGAAGGATATAGTCTCGCCTACGTCAGCCTTCATGCTCCTTGGAGCTGTAGATGTTTTACCCAGGGCCTGCATCGTAAAGCGGCTGAAGCTCACCCCTGAATCCAGGCATTTAAAACAGTTCTGTAGCTGGTATGCAACAAGGCTGACGTTTTTCTGTCTCAATGAATAGAGAATGACCTTATATTTACTATTTCTGAAGCTTTCTTGTCTCGTGGAAGACCATGTACCCGGAAATACCAGCTACACCGCAAGCCAAGCCAACGAATAACCCGGTGGTCCAACTGGGCCGGTTAAACCTATCCATTCCCCACATGCAACCTGCCAAGCATGCCTGAAATATGGTATTCCAAATGTCACACCATACAACCAGGTCTATTTTCCATGGAGATGTGGCCGGACCGCACTCTCTATCATTGTCACGGCAGATACCTGATACAGACTCCGGGGGACGACACCACGCTTGATATATGCTAGCCAAATGTGCGATACCAGAGCGGCTCTTCTGGCGTGCGCCGAACCGCCAGCAGAACCACCAGTAAAGATTCCTCAGTCTCCATGGTGCGAATCCGAACCCTGTAATGCAGAACAACCCGTTGAGGATTTGCGATGTGATCTCGATCCAGATTCGGCGTGACGAATATAAGTCGTTACAGGTGGGGTGGCACATTGCAGGGGCTGCATTGCACATTAACAGAAAAAGCATCCCTCCCCAGGCCACCACATTCAGGCTGTAAATGGTAATGAAGAAGCCTTTGGGTGTTGCTATCCAATGCCATGCATGATTGACCCAAATCATCAGCTTCGTCGCCTTTGAAACAGGAATCTATCTCGTTTGTTAATCTCCGTGCACCTAATTGACCATTTCCAGTAGACTGCGATGTAACTTAAGGTGCAGCACTTACCTCGACTTCCGATTCGATTTCCTTGTTCCCTAGAGGTGATGGTAGGGAGCCATTTTGGGGATCAATAACACGGTATGCTTGTTGAATCATGACTGATCTACCACTTGACGATCCATGTGATAGAAGATGTGGCAGACAAGGTGCCCTACCAGGCTATATATATATACTAACGGATCTGGTTTAGGATCAGCATATAGTAGCCTAACCAGAACCAGCGAATTGATAGTAGAGCCAAAGTTTACTTTAGATAACCCTGCTGAAAACTCTGTAGAGTCTAAGCATAACGTACTTTAGGCTACCACTCCATGGACGAAGAGGTTCGAAGTGTACGGTGTACAGCTGCGAGGGCCATGTTGCAGCCACCAATTACTTCGGCCCAGAATAACACATTTTAAACTGTACCAGACACTCGAGACCGTTGGGTGGCCGGTCAGGGTACAAAACAGTTAATGAACATTTGCCCCTGACTGATCGAAACGTCTACCTAAATATCTATACGAATACGAGTGGGTCTCTTGCGGCTACCTCCATGTTCTGGAACGGCGAAGGAAAAAAAGAGCAAAGCCTAATTTCACTTCGTATTCGCACCCATAGCTTATTCCGAAAATAGAACAGGAAGCGACCGTGTGGGATCTGCTACTGTCCTATGAACTTGTGAATATCACTTAGACATTTCCGGGTTTTACTGGAGAGCAGCTCATAGCTCTCGCCGCAGAACGATGTGCGATAAACAGAAAATCGTCCTCGCATGCACATAGTTGCCACTTCTTGTGTCAGCGCAAATTCCTTCTTACTATCCCACCAAGAACGGTCTTACGGAGTCAACAATGAAAGAGCACGCCTCTGACAACTTTCTTCACAACGCATGGTGCGACGCTTCTCATAGTCCTGATGAATTACCAAGGCACGAAGGAAAGCGCAGGTTACTCCTGATATACATCCATGGCTTTCTAGGGTCAGAGGACAGCTTTTGTAACTTTCCTAGGGATGTCCACGATCTCCTTAAGGCCTCGTTGGCTCAAACCCACATTACATACACCAAGATATACCCCCGCTATAAGACCAGAGGACCTATACATGTTGCCCGCGACGATATCATCCGGTGGTAAGTAATATCTCAAGCTGTAGCAAATTTAGTCCTTTCATATCGAGCATTTCCGCAGGTTATCGCCACACATGGCTCCAGATCTGGATCTCATACTGCTCGGTCACAGCATAGGAGGTCTTATCGCTGCAGACGTTGCACTTGCGCAATCCTACCCAACTGCTGGCCATTTTCCGAACAGTGACCTAAACAATATATTTGTCGGCCTAGTGGCCTTTGATACTCCTTTTCTCGGACTTCACCCGCGCGTCATTACGACGGCAGCCGGCAGGGTATTTTGCCGGAAAGCAAAGAATGACAGTAGGCGGACATCTCAGAGTACCACGAACAGCCGAATAGCACACGACGATCCGACGTTCGACCCAAACTTGACCAACGATGTCGACAGGATCCAATGGAAAGGGTGGAATGGAGCGCTCAATTTTCTTGCAAAGCATTCGGGTCATTTGTCTCGGTCTGTCCTTCAGTATGTTTTCTCATACTATGATCATGTCGGATGTCTAAACGACTACTTTGGGCTTCTCAGACGACACAAGAAACTTTGCCGTTGGGCGAAGGGCGATGAATCTGGTAGACGGGCTGGTTTTGTCAACTATTACACGACTGCCTGCCCACACAGCGGAACCATCAGCGGTGATGAGCACGGGAACAGTAGGCTCTGGAGTGATAAGCAGTTTACCTGCCACGGAACGTCGCAAATACACGGCAATCATGTACAAGACCGAGACTCTGCGTTAGTGGTGTCTGATATACGAGAAAAGGTGCCAGCCAACCGCTCGTCCGAACCACTGTTAGACACAAAATTTCCTTTCACCAAAATCGATACACCGACCTCATCAAGCTCAAGCTCACGTAATTCAGGCGAACACGGAGATAGGCGCAACAATTCTGATGACATCAAACCACGGGGGCGACTGTTCTGCTATGTCCCAGAAACAGCCCGCAAAAAGCAGCTCTGGGTTTCGCTACGTATTGAAGGCATGGATGAAATTGCCGCTCACCAGTCCATGTTTTTTCCTCTCGGCAAGCACTACAACCGATTTGTTGCCGATACTGTGGCAAGAATTGAAAGCTGGCTGTTATGAGTGTGTTTGCACAACTCCCAGCGGAGCGTATATAGAGAGACCCCCGGCGCTTAAAACGGCTTTTGATTGCCGGCCTTGATACTTCTAGAGATACCTTCGGCTCTTTTACAATGATCTCTGAGCTTTGCCCAAGATTTTGTGGCTATATAGCATCTCAACCATGTATCATATCACATCTTTTAGAGTCCTTAGAAGGAAAAGCTCTAACAACTCAATTATATAGACAAGTAGAATACGTACAAACTGATAATATGTCTTATTCGATTCCTCATGACCATCAAGCAGACTAGAGATGCTACGATGTCTGATCATATATCTTAGCTAGCTCGAAGGCTTAGGGAACTCGAGAGGATATGAATATTTGCGCTGAATTACGAAGAAGCTAGCCAGCCGTATATCGGCTCCATTGACCAAGTCTACGCTCTGTCTTTCCACAACTTTAGGTGTACTATGGTGTAGTATGTCTCCGTAGGTAGAGTATAATACTACCTAGTACTGTACCACAAGTACATTTTCTTATATTGGCCCACACAAGACCCGAACCCTAAAGGAGGGGGGGCTCCAGTTCCTCCATGTTTATTTTATCGACCCACACAACGCCCGATTCCCCGATGATATGACCCGGTGGCTTGATCAGTCTCAAACACTAAGGCTTCTGCTGATAGGAGGAAGTCAGCTATCATTTATCAGTGCATACCTATTTTTAGATCAAACTTGGAGCTTATTATAAAGCATGAATCATCGGAGCTGGCTTTCGGCTGGTGTGATAATGTTGTATTTTCGAGTTGCCAGACAGGCGCGATTGACCATAAGAACCTCATAAACAGTTGGTAGTGATTGGTCTGAAATCAAACCACTTCTTTGACTTCAGCTTCTACATTGACTACTTTCACTTAAGCAGAATAACCATCACTTTCTCTAGTATTCACTCCCAGGGCAATCCGGGATCGCTCAGGAAATACTCAGGACACGCACTGTATTCCCCCCACGCTCGGAGCCTCTCAGTAATCAAAAAGCAGCGCCAAGTTTGACCCAGAACAGAAGAAGGAAGTCGCTCCATTTCCATAGAAATCTAGTTCACTAGTAGGCTAACTACAGAGCCCAAGCTATAATAATATGTTATGGACCTCCCGGTAAAGACGGGCAACTGTAAAAAAGACAGCTGCATAGCAGAGCCACGCCGAATTCATGCAGCCAAAGCGATCGCCTGGAGATATATTTGGCAGATACGAGCAACTATCGTTGCCTGGGACTCTTTCCAACGTAGCTCCAATACGGCGCACTTTTATCGTTATAACGTTAGCTTGTTAGTTAAGGTACAACGTGGATTAATTAAGTAAAAGGGTCGCGAACCACTCCGTTATTGTCATAGTTCAGGAAGGTCCATTGATAGGAATTTGTGTAAATGCCATAGATGACTGCGTTTCTGCGGATATTTCTCCGAACCCGATTAATCACCGCTGATCTCATCGTTAGCAAAAGACAGAAAAGATATGTCTAGCCTGGTAATTGAAATCGGACTCACAAATGGCCGTGCGGGCTCTCGCATCCGAATGGAGCACCTTATCCCTGAACACGAGAAGGTTCGTGTCCAAGGCTGGAATCGACCCGTAACACAGCATATAGTCCACTGTCTCCTGATAGGAATCAGGTATTCCCGCAACTCGACGATCCACAACGAGAGGGACTTGGCTGAAAAAGCTAGGTATATAATCGGTGGCTTGCACGGCTGGGGAAAATCTCTTTTTCATTTCAGCCAGCAGCAAAAAGAGGATGGCATCCAGTCTGGGAAAAGCCATTTCCGCACATTCGTGTCCCGTTCCAAGGGCCAGACTGTAATCTTTCATGAGGCCATCTGTACTGAATTAGCCTATTGTGAACGCTCGATACTTGCTGATAGGCGGAGCTATACCGAAACTCGCGGGTAGTCCGATTCGTGCTAGTTCTTCCTCAATATGCGCCGCGTCCTCGTGTGTCTCGCCGGGCACATTGGCGGCTCCGTCAATACTATTAAGATAGAGATCGAATGTGTTGAGAATAGCATCTTCGCCCCCTCTGTCGCCTACAGCGGGGTTGGTGCGATTTTCTTCCATGGTATTATTGTTAGTATGACATTTGAGATAAGTGGGATAATAAGAGCTGAACACTTTGTTAAGTTGAAAGTTGTGTAGGGAAAGTTGAGACTAGGTCTTGTAGATGTGATTATCATGAGACACCTCACCTGCCTCTTACCTTCTACAAGGCGTCTGCTTGCGGTCTCTCCTTCCCTTTTGGCGGGGCTTTTGCAGAGAGATAACAGGAAGCCCGCCGATCATGATTCCCAGGTGGCCGTATGTCAGAACTTAGCTTCACCAGCAGTAGAAGGTCAAGGGCGGATAGAAGAGTCTGTACTGTCAATAGCAGCAACGAACATGCCTGCTGGTTCTTGAGCTTAGGGGGTAGTTTCTTTGCGAGGAAAGTTTTATCAGATGGAACTATCATACCTCAATATCTACTAATCACAAACAACGAAACGATGACGTTCTAATTTACATCATCAACTAGTAAACCACACGAGTATGGATTGAGATGGCTGTCGCGCCGCGATAACATATCTGTTCGCACACAAAACGAGTGATGGGTTTCTGAAGGTGCAACGTGATATTCTGGAGTAGTGCTCTTACCGACTAGACCAGAATACTGCATTGCTAGCTACTCGGAGCAGATGGGGTGACAAACGTCTTGAACATGAATCAAGAGTAATAGACACTGAGAACATTCTGGGCAAGACAATGATTAGTCGGTAAGATGATGCTGTATGCAAGTAGTAGGTAAGTCGCATCCAGAGTCCCGTGACAAAACTTTGACTGTTGAAATATGCTGGGAAATAACGGGGCTGGCAGGCTACCGCCGCTCAATAAACATAGTAAGTTGCGTGCATGTCGGGGTAACTACCCATATATTAGAGAAGGACTTGAGGTACTTTTTCCGCTTTCAGTGAAGAACTGGACTTGCATTTATTTCTGTGTATTCAATAATTGCGAGACATGATAAAAACCCCTTGAATATTTACCTACTTAGATACAGGTGGTACGTCCTTACTACGCATATTAAACATAGAATAATAGTTCTCTCTTTTGTACTATATCCTAGTTTTGGCCTTCGTGTATGAAAAAAAAGGTGATATACATAAACGTTTTGTAACCTTTCTGATGGAAGAATAATTTCAACCAGGATGATATGCAGACCTATATCATTGTATTGTATTCATTACTTACACAGACATACTATAATTAGTCAGGGGATGGGGCACTGCATAGTCGTCATTAAACCCCCTGCGCACGCACCACATGGCTGGTCCCTGCGATGAGGGATTAATTAAACCGTGAGGGATCTAGCCTTTCGGCAACTATCAGAAACAGTATATGTGGGTTTATGCATTATATGCATTTAGAGTAGACTGCTATTTACTATTTGAAGGTTGCACATTCATCTTCCTGCTTTTGTAGCCCCTGGTGATAACTGCCAAAATGAATGAAGTAATCTGATATACTAAGTATGTGTGGGCAATGAGCTCGGTCGCGAATTTTTCCTTTTGACCATTGAATTTGGGGTTTCAGAGCCAGTAGTCTATCTGATTGTAAATGTTGGCTTCATGTTCTTAATGGAATCTTGGCTGGAACAAGTCGGGATGTTTCGAGTAATTGATCCGGCACTATACTCTGCCTCCGATTCTGCTCGAGAGGATCTTGCTTAGGTTATGTTGTAGCTTTACGTCGTTTAGTTATGATTATTGATAAACTATAGACCCATTCTTTTGAGTTGCGCACTACCAATCATAGGTCTTGATATGCAACTGCGTAGGTGTGTAAAACAACCTTCCTATTCGGCGTGGACTTGGCACTGTGGTCATTATTTTCCGACATTAAAAGCTTAATACACAGCTAATGCGCGTATATGCACATCAGTCCTCGGAGATACTTTGCGATGCATAATGTCATTAGCTGGAGTAATTGTGATCTGGATGTGCTATACGTTCAGCGGTTAAAAGCCGTTCGGCATCCCGATTCTGCCTTGTCGTTCCATTTAACAACCCCAGCTGGCACTATATTATTCTCAGAATTGTTTGGAGTTAGTAACTTCGCTCGTGAGCCCTCTTGATATCGGATGCAAAATCTGCGAACAACGGCCTCGGTATAGTGTTGGCCGCGGAAAACAGGGACGGAGAAGCGCCAACCGGCCCGTTTCTAGGCGAGAAACAGCATCAGGAGGTGGCACCAGTGGAGAGAATCGAGATCCAGAGCGGGTACTCCATACATAGGCGGGAGGTCCCAGGAATTTTAAAGCCACAGAGAGCTCCACGAGCTCAGGAGTCGGGAATTCCGTGAAGAAAAAAGGCCCTGATGGCGGGTAATAGCGGATAAAGCTGGGGCAAACCGGCTCGAACCCGGCGCGGCTATTCTCGCTTGGTTGCGGAATGAAGAGGCCTCCACCGATGTCCCACGAGTGAATGGGGTCGGGAAACCGATGCTGGATCTATAGAAGCCGAGTTCATCCTTGGTCGCTAGTTTGAGATTTGATAGTTCATCACAGCAGTTTGACAATTGATTGTGTCAGGCCGCACTGAAAAAGCAAGCGAGGGTCGGAGCCAACCTAAAATAGCGGTACGAATCAGCTGGACTGACTGGCTAAAGGGACACGGCGGTCAGCGCCAATCGGGATGGGGTTTGCTACCCCGGTGGCTTGTCAACGTTGTCACATTAAGGGCGTGGGTTTTGATCCATCCGTCGTCATTCACCACCTTGGCCGATCATCCGAAGGTGCTGGATGGTCTTTTGTCGCTCCGATGTCGCAGCACACGGACACGTACAGGCTGACAAGGGACGAAGTTCCTAGAGCCTGGACCATCGTATTCACATCAAATCATACAATAACTACCTACTAACTAATGGGGGTTTATTTTGCGTAAGGATCAGAAGGTCCGTAACTCAATGGCGTGAGATCTACGAGTATCACGCGAGGGGACTGCGATGATTGTCCCGTCAAGAATGTTCGAGCTGTTGTGACGAGACTCATGCAGGAAGACCAGGCTGCTAAGAGGATAGACGCAGATAGAACAACCCTGGCAACTAATAGTTTGTCGTAGACCGACAATTATGGAAGATCAACTAATGGCGTCATTCGCATTCTTCCTCACGGCCAGAAACCTGGTTAGCTTTTGCGCCCATGCGAACCAATTTGCTGTAGGGCGTGGAAGGCTTTGCTGGTCGGCAGTTGTCACCAAAGGGCGCGACGGCGAGCCCGCCAATCGCTGCTTTCCCGACCAACTGACTTCGCACACGGACTTCATTCCATGGACTCCATCGAATTGGTCGGTCACCGTGCAGGATTCCCTTCGGCCTATCAGCTTGCTTGAACGCTTCGTTTTTAGGCTTTTCTCGTTTCTTTCGGTCCCCTAACCCGCATGTTTCTGGACCGCTTCTAACATCCCCTTGGATCGAATATCAGAGCAATCACCACGTGCACGTGGATTCTCAGCATGACTCACAGAAGGGGTGATCGATGCAGGAGTGTAGGGGAGGCTTGCATCGTCAAGCTGGATCTAAAAAGTACATATTAAGACAGGATGCAAGCCCGAGAATAGCCAGAGACCCAGAAACAAACCCGGAAGTTGTTCCTGAGCAGCATCAGATCCAGTTCTCGAACAACGCTGCTCCACCGCTGCTTTTCCATTACCCAACGGCAACTGCCAGTCACCCCATCCCTACATTCACCATTGAATTTTTATTCTTTTTTTATTACTGTTTTCTATTTTTTATTATCTCCCTTTTTTTCAAGAAGACAATAAATCTAATAAAAGGCTATACTCCGCACTGTTTCTGCCCAGATTTCTCTTTTCTCCATCATTGCAATTTACCACTACAAACCTTACATCAGTTGCTGATCCGTGGGTGAATTGGTGATTCGTTCGCCAATCCCCTTCTATACTACTAACTCCCACCACTGCGGGTTTCTTTGTATACAATCCTACACCTTGCAATGGCCACCTCATCTATCATCACGCGCGGCTCCAGCTCCCTGGCCAATTTCACGGTCCGCTCCCGCCCAAAAGTTGATATTATTCTCGCCAATCAAACGGATGGTCTGGTCCCTTCATTCACCACCGGCGATACCATCAAAGGCACGGTTACCATCACGGTCGATCATGACACTCGCTTTGATGACCTAGAGATCACATTTGAGGGTATGTTGGCTCGCACAATACCAGAAGGTTACCAGGAATAGTCTTACTTACTGACTGGGTCAGGAACATCGAGGACCTCGGTGGAGCGCCAATCGATGCCCGGCCGCACTGGGGCTTACCATACATTCCTCCGACTGCGACAGCCCATCGATGAGACCGCATATCCCACCCCCCGGGTACTTGAACCCGGGCGCAACTACGAATTCCCCTTCACCTTTGTCGTGCCCGAGCGTCTACTGCCTCATATCTGTAACCACGCCAAAACCAATCTGCATGTCGAACAATCGCACACGCTGCTGCCACCCACGTTTGGTGATCCCATGATTGCCAGCAACCGCAAATCGGTCATCGATGACATGGCCCCCGAAATGTGCCGCATCTCCTATCTAGTTCGTGTGACTCTCCAGAAAAAGCCCATGGCCCAGAACGCCTCGCCGGTTACGCTAGTGTCTGTTGGGAAAAAGGTGCGGGTCATTCCTGCGGTCGATGAGGAGCCACCCCTTAACGTGGAAGACAACGATGACTTGTACAGCGTCCGCAAAGAAAAGGATGTGAAACGTGGTTTGATGAGGGGAAAGCTGGGCCGATTGGTGGTGGCCGCTGCACAGCCCAAGCCAGTGCGGTTGAGTCCATCCGACACCGGGAACTGCGATTCTGTGAGTACCGTTGCCACTATGCAGCTGCGCTTCGATCCGGTGGGCGACGAGCAGCCCCCTCGCCTAGGCACCGTATGGAGCAAACTTCGAGTGTCAACATTCTACAGCTCCGATCCTTGGGGAGATTATCCGTCTGCTACATGTATCAAATCCTGGGCGCAGATGGGGCGGGCCATGTACACCGAAACTGTACCACTGTCCACCATGTGTGTTGCATCGGCACAATGGACAAAGCACACCGACGCCGATCTCGAACGCCGTGACTCCATGCACTCGACTTCGTCTACTGAATCTCTTCCCGGCCCATCTGCCTCGTTCGCCGGAAACACCTACTATACCGCGTCGGTTGTTGTTCCAATCACCCTCCCCAAAGCCAAGTCATTCGTGCCGACGTTCTATTCCTGTTTGATCGCGCGCGCCTACGCCCTGGAGCTCAGCATTTCCTATCACGCCGCTAATTCCAGGATCCTGACTCCCACCACATCCTTGAAGGTCCCACTGCAGCTGACTTGCGAGGCACAGCCAGGCGTCGGATCTAAGGGCACCGTGGTCGACATTTCCCAGGATGAAGTGAACTCCCAATTTTTCAGCCCTCGCAGCATTGCGCCCCCATCTGTCTCCGAGCTCGTCCCTATTGCACCACCCGAGTATACATCTGTCCAGGTCTCCAACCTGTCTCCTGACCGCTCGAGAATGTTACCACCATCGGTGACCAATTCGGGCAGTGTTAGAGTTTAGGGGCGCCGTGCTACTGCGTTGCTGCCAGGGCAACACAGAATTTCAAAGGAGCGGATCCAGCTGTTGTGTTCTTTTCTTTTCATTGGCGTTTTGGTTTCATATGGTTACAATATACCCAGGTCGCTTGTTTGCAAATTACGAGCAGAAAAGTTTTGTCATTCGGGGATACCCAGCATAATGTTGATTTACCAGGCATTGCATTTTACTTGATTGGGAAACTGTATCCCATTACTCATAATTAATTAATGGATAGTCGTTAGAATTGAATCATAACCAACAGTCCCTCTTTAACATTAACTTGTAGGGGTTCTCCTGGAAGTTCCATCCAGACCTTATATGATTGCGCTGGCAGTGGCGAAGTATAGCGTTTCAGCTGATGGATTGATTGACTGGTCAGTTCTATTGTTCTAGTCGAGTCTCAGATATCGTCGTTGGGTGGCTATGCAGACTTTCAATGACTAGAAAACCGGCAATGTCTTGTTATGTGGGTTATTATTACACTCAGTAAAGAATCAGCGGTGGGAACAAATGTGGATAATAACTATGCGCCATGTTCATATTTCTCTAGGTTTCCCTGATGCTGGGTGTAATCCAAACACCCCGGCCACCTAGCGTTTCAGCGGAGGGCCCCACCCATATTCCGGGGTAACAACCCTCCGAACAAAGGCGGGACCTGCATCGGCCTGCCTGATCCGGTTGTCGGCGAGGCTATTCCCACTTTATGGCAGGGTGGTTACACAAGCCCCTCCAATCTGTGTGCGGGTCAGCCACTCCCTCTTCGGTCTTCTTTCACAGTGCCTGCAGCACCTGATGTATCCACACTGTCGAGCAAGCCACTCCTGCCATACCGGACTTCTATCTCCGCTCATGAAGTGGTGGCGTAATTCAGCATGCCTCCACCAGTTTAACATAAGTATCATGTCGATGCTGTCACGGCGTTGGGCCTTCATTAATGTCATAGTAGCACATCAAATTTGCCCTCCATGCATCAAGTGGACAGGTGAAGTCTCATATAGACCCAATAAGGCAATCACTACCATGGGTCAAGACACTTGTCATATTTCAAACATCGTCAGTCCCCATTGTCAACCAAATCAACTTACCAGGCCAATAGGTAGTGTGCTGACAGGGGGAAGATGGTTGGTGACCTCTTTGAAGTCATTCACAAGTATGTTGTGGTTACATTCATGCAGGTCTGCTTTCACCGCTGGTGACAGATTTCTTCAAGCCCATCAGCAGCACAGACAAACAGAACATGAGTATAAGTACGGAAGCAGATGACCCTCCGTCACTCTCTACCTGCACCACATGTCGACTGGTTCGCTCTTCATTCCTTATCAAACTTGCCTTGCTAGTATATCAAGGCTGACTCTCCTTCGACCTGCATTCACCTATCCCATTCCATTCTTGTTGATCATTTTTGGATTCTTCTTCTCCTTCTGTTGACATGAAGCTTTTCTCTATTCTACTTGTGGCCTTGGTCTCGTTGGTCAGCGGTGCTCACCACCACCGCCACCGCCACATGAATGATCCAGCTCCAGCTAGTTTTCCCGGACCTCACCACCAGCACCATGGCATCCCACCCCACAAGCTGGTAGCGCGCAACACCAGCGCGGAATACAAGTCCATTGCTTACTTTGTTAACTGGGTGAGTCACCCCATCCGCCTGTCATACAGATGCTTGGTCTTTTACTCATCGAGCAAAGGCAATTTACGGCAGGAACCACAATCCCCAGGACATCCCCATCGATAAACTGACCCACATCCTCTACGCGTTCGCCAACGTCCGCGCCAACGGCGAAGTCTACCTTTCCGATCCATGGTCCGACATCGATAAGCGCTTTCCTGGTGATTCATGGAGTGATACCGGAAACAACGTTTACGGATGTGTTAAGCAACTTAATCTCTTAAAGCAGAAGAATCGTAATCTCAAGGTGCTTCTATCGATCGGAGGCTGGACATACTCGAGCAATTTTGTGACACCAGCGAGTACAGATCAAGGCAGGAAGACTTTCGCTTCTTCGGCTGTCAAGTTGCTGGCCGACTTGGGCTTTGATGGATTAGATATTGATTGGGAGGTATATATCTATATGATGGTTATTGGTTCTTCCTTTATAACCGTGCTAACATGTCTACTTCTCTGTAGTACCCTGCCAATGAAGCCCAGGCTACAGACATGGTTCTACTCCTACGCGAGATCCGAGAGGTAGGCTTTGCCTTGCCCCTACCATACCGATCAATCACCCACTAACCATGAGCAGGAACTAGACGAATACGGCCGCGAACACGGCAACGGAACCCATTTCCTCCTAAGCATAGCCACCTCAGCAGGTCCCTCAAAATACAATACCCTCCACATATCCAGTATGAACCTCTACCTCGACTTCTGGAACCTAATGGCCTACGACTACGCCGGCAGCTGGGATGCAACTGCAGGACACCAGGCCAACCTCTACCCATTACGGGATGACCCTGTCTCAACCCCCTTCAACACGGATCAAGCCATCTCCGCGTACCTGACCGCCGGTGTTCCCGCCCATAAACTCATTCTCGGTATGCCGCTCTATGGGCGCGCCTTCACAAACACCGACGGACCGGGCAAGCCGTTTAATGGTGTTGGTCAGGGAAGCTGGGAGAATGGGGTCTGGGACTACAAAGCGCTTCCTCCTGCAGGGGCTAGTGTTTCTGAGTTGAGAAGTATTGGTGCGAGCTACTCGTATGATGCTGGCAAAAAGACGATGATTAGTTATGATACCCCTGCTGTTGCGAGGCAGAAGGCGGATTATATCAGAAGTAAAGGTCTCGGGGGTGCGATGTGGTGGGAGACTTCTGGGGACAAGGTGGGAGTGGAGAGTTTGATTTCTACGGTAAGATGGTTTATATCCTTTCTTCTCTGGAGGAGAGTTGTGACTGACGAAGCAATATAGGTCGTGGATTCACTAGGTGGTATTGGCGCTCTGGATAAGTCGGTCAATCACCTGGAGTATCCCGAGTCGCAGTATGACAATGTGAAGAAGGGGTTCCATTGAATTGTGAGGGGCAGGCACCGATACAGGTTATTGTGAGACGATAGATTGTTAGATATTGTGGGAAGAGATGCTTATGGTCTTGTCAGTACATCTAGAATAGATGAACTCATTGGATTGTTGTCGCGAGACATTGAGGTTACTGACTGAGTAAATCTGTATGGTGAGATGTAACAAAGAGGCACCTGACATCGCCGGTCATGGGACTTAGTATGTACAGTGTGTCTCTTCTCCCCCATTCCTCATCTCCTCTATCCATCCCGTTGGTACCGAGACGATGAGTGTTCCTTCGCAAGTTTCTCTGAAAGAACATGTCCACCATTCTGCTGAGAACCTTACGATCAGCTTTGGGCTTGACGAAGCCTATAACGTGCATGGAATGAGTAAAGAGAGCTTCAGATATGAAGGCCTCCCATTAAGTTCGAAAGTGAACACGAGGACCAATAGCCAACACAGAATAGCCCACCATGAGGGGTCCTTGCTGATAGCAAAGTTCCTGCAGGAATCGAGACCAGATAGCGGGAAACTTATCCTCCGCCAAGTACGATAAAGGAAGACCACCCTGTCAGCACGGTGGGATGCTCCGGGGAAGTATATCCGGGCGCAAGTGAACCACCGTCTCGTCCTATCCCGCAACCCCTCCCCTCAATACCGACCAAACAATCAGAATCATCATGACTGTCTCAGAATTGCCAGCCAAAGATTGGCGCATTATCGTCGCTGAAAGACGTAAAGACCTCGACTCTAAGATACCTTCCGAGTGGCGGCTTAAGGAGGACTTTGTTTCTTCGCTTCCTCGTCCTACCCATCTCTTGGCCTCCAATGCTGTCGAAAAGAGTGGCATCCTTACGGATGTCGAGCTAGATATTACTGGCAGCTATGATGCTTCCCAGTTGCTTAAGAAACTCGCCTCCGGCGAACTAAGTTCCGTGGCCGTCACAACGGCGTTCTGCAAGCGGGCGGCTGTTGCACAACAATTGGTAAGCTGTCTGCAAAAGAACCTACATGAGACGCAGGGCTAATGTGTTATAGACGTCATGCTTGACAGAGCATTTCTTTGATTTCGCTCTAGAACGCGCCCAGTACCTTGACAACTATCTCAAGCGGGAGGGGAAAGTCCTTGGACCGCTGCATGGTCTTCCGATCAGTTTGAAAGACAGTTACCATGTTAAAGGATACCATACTACCATTGGATACGTATCGTTCCTCGAGCATGGCCTCGCAACTACAAACTCGGCAGTAGTAGACATGCTACTGGACCTGGGTGCGGTGCTGTACGTGAAGACAAATGTCCCTCAAACGATGCTGGTAAGCCTCCGCCAATGTGTTACCTATGCATAAATGACACCTCCAGACCGCCGACTCAGACAACAACATTTACGGACGTACCCTCAACCCTCACAATACAGAGCTCACAGCCGGTGGTTCCACCGGCGGCGAAGGTGCACTTCTAGCCCTCCGGGGCTCCCTCATCGGCGTCGGCACCGACGTCGCAGGCTCGATCCGCATCCCTGCGCTCTGCTGCGGCATCTACGGCTTCAAGCCAACGACAGCCCGGATTCCCTACGGCGGCCAAGTCAGCTTCCTTTACGAAGGACCCCCGTCAGTAGAGCCCTGCGCCGGTCCCATGACTGCAACCTTTGAAGATCTCGAGCTTTTCATGTCCACCATCCTCGACGCCGAACCCTGGCGCTACGACGTGACGACCCTCGCAGCACCCTGGTCCCGCAACCCCCAACTAACGGAACCTCTAACGATCGGCATCCTCGCCGTGGATGAGAAATACCCCCTTCACCCACCAATTAAACGAGCCCTACAATCTGCGATCGAGACCCTGTCCCGAAAGGGCCACCGCATCGTCTATCTCGAAAACGACACCAACAAAAACCTCGACATCGCCTATGCCAACCGCCTCTTCTGGCAATACGGCACTTATTCACCACACCACGACCACGTTACTCCCAGCGGTGAGCCACTGGTTACCTCTGTCGCTAAGGGGCCCTCCCCGATGGTTACAGGAGACTTTCCTGTCTCCAAGGAGCTGGGCATCTTCGAGGAAATTCATGAGTTACATCACAAGAGACAAGACTACCGTGACGCGTGGCGCAAAGTGTGGGTTGAGACCGGCATAGATGTGATTCTTGGTCCAGGGGCACAGAACACCGCTGTCCCGCATGATACGTATGCGTGGCCGCCCTACACGGTCGTTTGGAACCTACTTGACGTGAGTACATCCTGGCGCATCCCATTATGGGAGGCACTACCGCCATACCAGTGAGGCTTCCTCCATGATACAGCGAAGCTAACAGTAAGCACAGTACCCAGCATGCATCATTCCCTACGGACAGGCTTCAAAGGAACTCGATCCCGAGCCCATGGCTATCAACGATGGCATGCAGCCTAGTTGTAAGTTGACCTCTCCCCACTTACCTATCGTCACACATAAGAACCCAAATACTGACGAAACACAAATACATAGATAACCCCGACGACGTCGACGGCGCTCCCTGCGCATTACAAATCATCACGTCCCGATTCCAGGATGAGAAATGTCTCGCTGCTGCGAGGATCATTGATCGGGATATTCGCAAGTAGGACGTACAACTTCTGAAATATATCTATCTCATCACGTGCCTGGAGTAATCTCGTGGAAACAAACCGAGGAGTACAAAGATAGAGCGCGATTCGTGGTTGCATTCTCCCGCAAAGGTTTATTCTGGCAGTTGTCATCTGGTTTTAAGAGTTACAGTATATCGTATACACTAGTTGGCCCTTAGCTATCAGTGCTGGTGGACTTGGTGCAAGCTTGATCGAGTATTGCTGCTGGTAGTAGTAGGAAGTAAGAATTGAATATATATCTTGTAAGACTACTAGTATCACTGCCGCAGGCAACTGACCGTAGGAACTAGTACTGCACGCAGCAGCAGTCAATGAAACCGTAGAAGACCAATTTAATAGTTATACTGATTTAAACAATCTGAATTAAGCATATGAGATGGAAGGTAGTCAGGACGGGAATTCTTTCATTGATGTCAACTAGGATTCTCTGATGCCTACTCCCTACTGCTTCTGCTACTGTGTTGTCCCGACGGATAAATTACGATGATATCCGTGGCATGCGGATAAGATCGTACTCAAAGATCGTCGAAGGCCGAAGCCTTTTTCTTGTCTCGTACAGGCTGTATCTAGTACAGGCTGCATCCAGCTCAAGATCAACCGAGGGGAGCGAGAGATCGAGCGAGGCAAGAGACGTGCAATCGATAAATGCACTACTGTATACGTTAAGAGCACGACACACCAGGGGTCGCACCACAAGGGAATACCGGACTGAAATCATCTGGTATTTGATGTAAATGTACATGTCTTCATGTGCAAAAGGAGAATCAACTATGGGGTATCCGAAACCCTCATACAACATTAGCCCTGGTAAGACGCCGAAACCGTTCAAATTAATACGCCACTCTGGTCCGCATGTCCTATAATGTCATCAGTCATCATATCATTAGCAGGAAGAAAGCAGACTTACCGAAATCTTGCGCTCGATTTCCCGGACAGAACGGTCCAGTTCCGCTGCGATCATCATCTTCGTATCATTAGGCAATAAAAAGTACATCTCGCACAGGTCTCCGTCAATGACACCCTTGACCGGCGCATAGTAACTGCGGTAGATCAGGTGGTCCCGTCCAGCGAGAGGAGGGTGCTGTGCAGCTAACTGCATCTCCAAGTTCTGGAAGAAGTCCACATCCTCTCGGCCGATGAATGGCACCAACATACCAATCGTGCCCTGGAAACCAGTCCAGACGAGGATGTCCCGACCACCTGCCACGAGTTGAGTCTTGTGCAAGCTCGTTGGGATGTCCTGAGTATACACATGGATCATCAGCTCTAAGCGATTGGGAGTGCCTTGGAGATAGCCGCGTTCGTGAATCAAATGCGCGCCCGATCCATCCTCATCCGCCTCTTCAGACGTCTTCTTGGGGCAACGCAGCAGCCAAAGGTTGCCAAACTTGTCACCACCGGCAGTTGTTTCATAGTCAACCATGGTGGTGGCAGTGGTCCAACGAGACACGGAATCATCCACAAACGGGATCAAGACATTCTCTTGATACTTGTACACGACATACGTGACACTTTCGCGGACGTCGCTAACGACAATTCTGGATCCCTGGGTCTGCAGACCAACGATTGTCTTTGGCACCACCGGCGCTTGGCACTTACGAAGGAGCTGCTTCATACCAAGGTCATAAATGCGGAGCAACGACCCGATACCGGCAACCAGGCGGCCTTGGAATCCGAGCAAGGCAAGAGGTGGTTCCTCGACCTTGGTCTTGTGGATGAACTCCAACTCTCTTCCATCCTCCTGGAAGCGGTAAATGTGAATATAGCCACCGGCGGATCCGGGCGGGTTGACAGTCATGTCTTTGGCTGTTCCTACCACCAGGAACGTCTCGTCATCCTGGCTGGTGAATGGGACTGCGGCAATGCTGATCGCCGCCTCATTCTCTTCCAGCTCAATGGTGTGAACGACTGCCTTCGCATCCAAGGGATCAACCACCTGGATACAAGAAGCCCAATGACCTGTGGCCCGGGGGTATCCAAAGTCTTCGGGTGGCAGAACAGTTTCGTCACCGCCACGAGACTTGGAGTCCTCCAGCAGCTTCGCTCTGGTAGACGGCGCCAGCACGTTGTTGTCTGACTCAATGACGTAGAACAAAGGCTGCTCAGGGTGCTTCAGGAAGCGGCGTGGGGTATATGACAGAGGAATCGACTGTTGCAACATATTGTTGTCCAACTTCTCGATAGAGAAAATCCTAGCCACGCATGTTAGCTGATGTCCAGTAGATATCTCAAGGACAAATAACAGTGTGAACGAATGATCTCAGTAGGAACAATTGGAAATAGTACAAGTATAAAAGGTTCTTCCACATAGGCTTTCGGATCCCAGTTCTCATCATACGATCGGTTGCAGGTGCAAAGTGAGGTTAAGGAAGACAATAAACGTACCGTAGATTTTGTCCCTGGATACCGACCATTCCCTCCACGCACTGTTCACTTGAGAAGTTCCAGCCCCATTCGAGGCCAACATAATCAAGTGGAGTGAGCATGAAGCCCTTCGTTTGAACGTCAGAATAGCCGAGCCAGGGACGCGAGCTCAGGCCAAGCACTGCTGTTTGTCCCTTGACAGACACCTGGAATAGCTTCACAGGCTTAGAGCCTAGGAAGCGCGTGCGAGTATCTGAGAGTTCACCAGTGACCTCGTCCAGTACTGTCCGCAGGTAGACACCAGAATACAGACCAATGTGCAAATACAAGGTGGTTCCTCCGGAACTGGAATCAGCCATTGACATGATGTTCAGGGCCGAAGGAGCAGCGGTCAGAGCCTGAACCGACTTGTTCTCCAGCGTAGAGTCAGGGTCCAAGCTCAGGATACGGACTGTCGAGTCGTCGCAGCCGACAGCCAAGAATGAGCTCCGAACGCGACCTTCGGGAACTTCACCCAGACTCAGACAGGTAACCGTGCCTGACATTTGACGGCGCTCGTCATACTCAGCCAATGATCCGTCAGAATCCATCTCGAAGTAGACAATTTCACCGGAACTGAGAGCGACGGCAACTTGACGCTCGTTGGTTGCGGCTGCCACAATCGAACGATGCTGAGGGGCAGGCCACTCATTCACCCGGCGATCTGCGAGAATGTGACGGATACCCCTGGGATGGATTTGGATCAAAGAGTCCTCGCCGAGCTGCTGAACAGCCAAGGTTGGTGCAGTGGATAGGAAACCAGTGTCGGTAACTTCCTCGACGGTCTCACCAATGCTGAGCACAAGAGTTCCGTTGGCAAAAGAGAGAATGATATAGGCGTCAAACTCGTCAGATCTGGTAAGCTTGGTCGTCCAGACGGCAGAAGGCACACTCGGCAGCTCTGATTCGACAATTTCAGACACTTCCAGGCCATGCTTGAGCGTCCTGAAACTGCTCCGAGCGCCAGCGCCAGAGATAGTATAGATTTGAGGCGCATCGTCCTCGGTGATGTTGACCACCTTGCTGTCAATCAACGGGTTGAGAGAGTTGATAGTCTCGACAAGGTTGAGGTTCTCTGCACCCCTTGGTCGGAAATAAATCGGGTCACAAGGGACAGATGGATCAGCGGAGAATGACTCGCTCGTGAACTCAATCTCCTCATCATCATCACCGAGCTTCTCGAACTGGTAGAAATGGTGGTTACCAGCCTCACTGGCAACATACAGGAAACCACTCTTCAGGATCAACAAGCTAGAGGCCAGCGGGACAGTATCAAAGTATTTGATCTTCAACCGTTTCACTTCACCAGTGAGCTGACCATTGTCATCCTCGACCATGTCAATGGTGAGCTTGAACAGGTCACCGTCTTCAGTCTGAAGTAGAAAGAAGAAAGCACCCCTCATCTTGTGCATCACACCGGCCGTGATAGAACGCTTACGCTCCGGATTCTCAGTGGCACCGCTGCGCCGAGGAATTGGCACTCGGAACGCATCTTGGTTGGAGTGACGGTAGGTAACGCTATCCTCCGCACAAACCAACACACCACTGGGGCCATCCGCGCCTCCAGGGACCTGGAACAGAAGCGAAGCCGTACGATCCACGGGATCGGACCACTTGCGGACCACATGGTTAAGTCCAAGATCCAGCTCATAGTACACCAGATGCTTCTCCAGCTCGTCGAAAGCCTGGCCAGTTGGATCCTGATCAGACTCTGAGTAGTCAACCTCGAGCGCCGCGAAGACCGGGTTTTCATACCCGACATCCAACGCCGTCATGGCGAACACTAGCGTCTGCGGTTTGTGGGCTTCAAGCGGGGACGAGATCGTCAGCTCGGCCTGCGAGTTCCGATTCAGGACGTAAACAAGCTTGTTCTTCTCCACAGAGGCGATGATGCACGCACGGCCCTTGGGGTCCACGGCCAGATACTGCCCTGGGATGACACGGCGGACACCAGACTTGCCAAAGGTCTCGAGATGAATCCGGTTGAACCGGTTTTGAGACGGCACATACTCAATGATAGTAATTCGTCCCGAATCCGAGCCAATGATGATGTAATCTACAGGCATCTTTCAGCACAGTTCAACCACCAAGACCCAGTGTCAACGTTGCCGACCGGGAGCACGTCCCAGCACCAAGCGGGGACGATTCGGCAAGGGATCGTGCTGCCCGGGAAGCTTGAAGAATCACTATGATGATCTTGAAAGTCCGGGCAGGGGAAGCATAACATACCTTTGCTACTACCGGCCAATCTGAAGGCTGCCAGCGAGCGGATGATGCCAAAGACATCTTGCGAAAAGAGCGGCGTGACCTTGCCCTGTGTAGGATCGGGACGATGAATCGTGAGCTTCGATCCGGACGCGGTGACGATCTGCTGCTCCTTGGTCCCAGCAAACTGACCGAGAATGGCCTGGGTGATCGCAGTCGGAGGCTGGATCGTCAAGGAGTACATGAACATGTGCGAAGTAGTCGCCATGGTGAACGGACGCGACTCTCACCGAGCCTGGACTGGTGGAGGGGTGTGGTTGGGGGGGGTGTTGTTTACGACGCGATTGTAGCCAGGATGACACTACAATGCAAGCAGTCCCATTGCTGCCAGTGGAGCAGATGGGGAGAGAGGACTCTCGAAACCGAGTGTCCTCACACAGAGGGATGGTTGGTGGAGAGGGGAAAGGAGAGAGAGAGAGAGAAAGAGAGAGGAGCAAGCCAGACAGCGTGTTTCTGCAGAAAAGGAAAGGGAAGGTGAAAATTCCGGTTAGCGAAGAGGGAAATGAGCTTGTGGTTCCGTTTGCCTGGTTTGGCTGCTATCACGTGATAGCTCTATCTGCACTTACACCGTACATACGACACCTTACACAGCAGCCCGCCGACGTGGGCGGACCGGCGGGGAAAATACCGTTTGGGCGGTACAAGCGCGCTTGGAAGGCGGACGATGCGATTCTGCCCGCTTCCACCTCGCCGGTTACGCTATCATCCGCTAACTCAGCGCTGAGGCAACCCATACCTACTCAACCTAGTTAGTTAACTAGTTAACTGGCCGACGCTGCCTACTCTCGCTGCAAGAGGACAACTTCCCCAGTCCATTGTGCATATCTACCCGTCTACCTTCTTCCCTTCCTTTGCACCACTCCCTTCCCCCCCTTTATCCACTTTCCCACGACCTTCCTTCTTTGATCGACTCTCCTCCGACACCTTTATCGTGTGACGTGATCTGTCTCCTTAGGCTGACTGTCTCCGGACACCCCTCGATCCCCTCCAACCCGTCGCAACCCCAATACAGACCATGGCTGATGATACCGCCGCGGCCGAGGATGCGCACATCACTTTCAACGTGAAGTCATCCAATGATGCTAAATATACACTCACTCTGCCATCATCAACCTCGGTCTCTGATCTGAAAGAGAAGCTAGCGTCTTCGGAATATGCTGATACCCCAGCTGAGCGCCAGCGTCTGATCTACTCGGGCAGAGTCCTCAAAGACAATGAAACCCTGGCAACGTACAACATCAAGGATGGACACACTATTCACCTGGTGAAGAGTGCACCCAGCAACCGGCCCCCTAGTGGTGCTGCGACGACGACGTCAACATCCGCACCTGGTGGTGCGGCTGCAACTCCTGCGGCTGCAGGCGTCCCCACGAATCTCGCTGCCGGCACGGGCAATAACCCGCTCGCGGGGTTGACGGGAGCCAGATATGCCGGGTTCGCGCAACTGCCAGGTGCAGGAATGTTCGGGCCTGATGGCGGGGTAAGTCGTTTGCCTTGATGTTGTCCTGACAGGCTTCTTGTGTCATCGACAAACCAACTAATACGCTGTTTCTAGATGGGCCCTCCTCCTGACACGGAAACCATGCTCAACATGCTCGAAAACCCTCAATTTCAGTCTACGATCAACGAAGCTCTGCAAAACCCCGCCATGATTGACATGATGATCCAACAGAACCCCATGCTGCGCGAAATGGGTCCTGGCGTACGGCAGATGATGCAGAGCCCGGAATTCCGCCGCATGCTCACCGACCCCAACTCGATACGTCAGATGGTACAGATGCAGAGAGCCATGGGTGGCGGGGGCCTTGGTGGAGGCGCATTTCCCGCTCCTGGGGTTACCAACACAACACCCGAGGAAAACAGAGACGCTCAGAACAATACCGGTACCACGCCCACTCCTGGCGCCGCGTTCAACCCTTTTATGCCGGCCGGTCTCGGCGCTGGAAATCCTTTCGCAGCCCTTTTTGGAGGCAATCCCATGATGGGCAACCCTGCTGCAGGAGCGACTCCGTCGGGCGCTTCACCCACCGCTGGCGGAACTCAACCGGACAGCACCGAGCGAGCCGCTGGGGGTGATAACGCTACGGGACAAGGACAGAACCAGCAGGGCTTCCAGAATCCGTTCAGCATGTTCATGAACCCAGCGCTCTTTGGCGGCCAAGGCGGTCAGGCTGGTGCGAACCCTTTCAATCCGCAACAGAATCCTTTCCTCCGGGACCCAGCACTGCTGCAACAATGGATGCAGAACCTAGGTGCCGCACCGGGAGAAGGAGGCGCGGCTGGTACCAATCCTCTGGCGGCACTGTTTGGTGGTGGATTTGGCAGCCCCCCTCCGCAAGATAACCGGCCCCCCGAGGAACGGTATGCAGAGCAGCTTCGTCAATTGAACGACATGGGATTTTTCGAGTTTGAGAGGAATATCGAGGCTCTTCGCCGAGCAGGAGGCAGCGTGCAAGGGGCAGTGGAGTATCTATTGAGCCACCCCTCTTAAATCACGCCTTAATCCCGACCGTGATGAGTTGCATTATTGTTTTTCTTCCTTCGAAATTTTTCCAGTTGATTTATATCCTTTATTGACCATGCATTTCTGCGTACGTGTCAATGAGGGATGACCCTTATTATGTAGCAAATATCCTCTCAGCCTAGTTGCACGGCGTTACTTTAGCAGGAATCATGACAGATTACAATCGCAAGCGGAATGGTAAATGACCAGAACCCCGACCGTAGTAGTAGTAGTAGTAGTAGTAGTAGTATCTTGAAGCAGTTAGACCTCTCTCGAGGCCCGAGATCTTTCTTACTCATTATATATGATCGTTTCATTTCACTTATCTCATCTATTCTCTGTCTTGTCTGTCATCTCCTCTTTATATCCCCTTTGTCTACTACGGTTGACTTTCTTTGATCAGACCCCTCATCTGTAATATGCTCCCTTTCTGAGAGATATTCTTGCCTGTCAATTCAGAAACCAACTATTCGACCGGAGATTGCTTTCTGTTAACCCGACACTGTAACTAGCTCTGCGGGGCTAGGTGGACAGATTGTATTGTCGTACAGTACCACCTTGTATTTACTTTTACAAGGAGTCCACTCTGATATACTTATTTCAACTGCACTTACTAGTACAAGCATAATATAATCATCAAAATCGTTTCTTCTACGAGAGACGTAGACCGTCCCTTACGGTGGTTATCAAACTCCTTATTTCAGTGCCAACAGTGTAAGACCGACCATATGTGATGTGGGTGGTGCAGCTCCGGCGGAATCGCGCAACTTTAGGTTATTTTAAGCCATGGGTTAAAAGTAGCTTGGTTTCTGCAGATAGATGCCTTATCATTAGCATCTGTTGAACAATGCGTTGCATAGTATAAACCATACATTAAGTGCCCTATGTCCATGGGATAGAAAAAAGGAGGCCGGCCTGGAACTGGTTGCGGAATGGCACTAAACCCCTTGAGGGCGGCAAGGCTTCCGTGCTCTTCTTCACTTCCGAAACAAAGCATCGAGAAACTAACCCCGTCTTCTCCTTCTTCCCCTCTCGTCTCGTTCCATCTCTTCCTCTCTCATCCTTCCGATACTCGCCGGTCTAGTTCACTTCATCTGGCATTCAATGCCGTTTCCACTCGTTCGCTCGGCCTGAGTTGTCCTTTTGCTGTCTTCCTCCACCCACCCGCATCTTGAACCGCTGGATCTCCGTTCAATACCTGCTCGTCGGGCTGCATCACCCATCCCGTTTGCCAACTAGCCAGTCCCTTTCCTTCAGTCTTTCGGATATGTTCGTCTTTTGAGCTCTGGCCTGCAATTATCTTTCGTACATACTGCTTTTTTAATATTAAATCTACACGAGTTGAGCTCAGAGAAGGAAGATCGGGGGCGGTCAGTTGAAAGTCATTGATCTGCATCTGGGATTGTCGGATCCGCCACGTACGAATCAGCTGCCCGCGATCGTGGGTGCATTGCGCAACAGCATCACCGCTTCGGCCACCGTGGGCTGAATCTCTCTTCTGCCATCTAATCATGGCGTTGTCTCAAATTTGGCGTCCCCATCAGTGGACGCTATGGCTTCTCTTTGTGTCTTATGCCTATGCGTTCTACGTTCCTGGTAGGTGGTCTACGCTGCGACGATGCCCGTAGGAATCTTGACGCTTACGCATGAATGCTACTGCCAGGCTACTCGGTCAAGCGCTATAACGACGATGAGCATATTCCCCTCCTTGTGAATAAGATCTTCTCCGACAACACACAACTCCAGTATGCCTACTTCGACCTGCCTTTCGTCTGTCCTCCTAGCGGAAGATCGCATGGTGGTTCCCCCTTTGGTTCCGGACAAAGCGTTTCTCTGAATCTGGGAGAGATCCTCCGCGGCGATCGCATCATGACCTCGGATTTCGAACTTCAGATGGGCAAAAACGTCGAATGCCAAGCGCTCTGCACACAGGAGGTCGGGCGTAAGGATGTCAAATGGGGTCGTCAACTCATCCATGAAGGTTATGTAGCGGAATGGATTGCCGACAATCTGCCTGGCGCGACAAGCTTTGTGACCGTTGACCGTAGTCGCAAATATTATGCCACTGGCTTCAAGCTGGGATTCCAGGAATTCTCGCCCATTGACGGCAAGCCGCGTTACTACATCAACAATCACTTCACCATTGTCATCCGCTGGCGGTCGGCACCCGAGGGCGGAAAGGTTATTGTTGGATTCGAGATCTACCCGAAGAGCATTCGCGCCGCCGATCATCTGGAGGGCGGCTGTCCCCAACATGTTCACGAGACCCACGAGGGACTGGAGCTGTACATCCCCCCGGATACCTCCAAACTGCGCGAAATGTACCCTGGATCGTCGTACATCCCTGAGGACGATGGCGACATTGATGACGGTGCCACTTTGAAGATCCCCTACACCTACTCCGTCTACTTCAAGGAGGAAAACGGAGTCGACTGGTGGAACCGGTGGGACCTCTACTTCAGCAACCAGGATGAGGGCTCTACGACTCATTGGCTTGCTATCCTCAACTCACTGACCATCGCTGGTGTTCTTGGTGTCGCCGTGTATGTTATTTGGAGTCGCACGGTTCAAGGAGACATCAAGGGTCGTGGAGATGGGGCTATGGAGGATGGAAAACTTAAGGTCCGGAAAGCTAAGCCCGAGAGAAAGGGCGATGGACTTTTGGAGCAAGGAGTAGATGTCGAACGGGATGCGGACGTTTCATCCGACGACGAGGGTCTTGATGACGTGAGCGGGTGGAAACTCCTTCATGGTGATGTGTTCCGTGTGCCCCAGTACAGTGGACTGCTTGCGCCCCTTGTCGGCTCCGGTATGCAGCTGCTCTTTATGGTGTCGGGGCTTCTGCTACTCAGCTGCCTGGGTGTTCTGAACCCGAGTTTCCGTGGCGGTTTCGTCAGCGTTGGTATGGGCCTGTTCGTCTTCGCTGGTCTTTTCTCGGGTTACTTTTCGGGGAGGCTTTACAAGACCTTTGGCGGTACATATTGGCGCAAGAACACTCTCATAGTAAGTCATTCAAATGGTGTAGGTGGACTCTGGCTGACAGATTCAGACTGCGTTGTTTTTCCCTGGACTCGCTTTCAGTCTCATCTTCATTCTCAACCTCTTCGTGTGGGCGCAGGCTTCTAGCACTGCCATTCCTTTTGGCACGCTGGTGAGTCTTCTGGCTCTTTGGCTGCTCGTCCAAGTGCCGTTGGTCTATGCCGGTAGCTGGTACGGATACGTGCGCACCGCGCCTTGGGAGCACCCGACCAAGACGACCTCAATTGCGCGTCAGATCCCGCCACAGCCATGGTATTTGCACAGCATCAGCGGGACGCTCTTGACCGGCCTGGGTCCATTTGCGGTGCTGTTCATTGAGCTTCTGTTTGTGTTCAAGAACCTGTGGCAGGACAAGAGCGGATACTACTATGTGTTTGGCTTTTTGAGCGCCGTGTCGTCGATCCTGATGGTAACGGTCAGCGAAGTGACGGTCATCGCGACATACAGCCAACTCTGCGCGGAGAACTACCACTGGTGGTGGCAGAGCTTCCTCACGGGTAGCAGCAGTGCGTTCTGGGTGTTTGGCTACTGCGTGTGGTACTTCATCTTCCACCTGCACATCACTGGGTTCGTGTCGAGTCTGCTGTTCTTCAGCTACAGCTTCCTGGCATGCGCCGTGTATGGTCTCCTGACGGGCACGGTTGGATTTTTGACGGCGTACATGTTCGTCCGGCGGATCTACAGGTGAGTTGATTGCTCTGTTGTACCTAGGCCGATGCTAACCGAAGCAGTTCCGTCAAAGTTGATTGATCGACCCAAATCAATGGCCGCAGCAGACGAATCCATGGCGCCTCGACCAGATTGCAGTCACGTGGTGTCATTTACCAAGCACCTCTGTCCTACATGAGACTGGTCCGCCATTTCCAACCGTCGGCAGTCCAGTCCTTTCTTTGATAGAAACCAAAAAGTGGATGTCGCGGGCCTTTGGCAGTTGTGGCCTGTGGCCCTGCTGTGTTGGTATATATAAGAAGAGTACATCTGTCATTAGCGAAATCATAGCCGTTGACTTGTTTCAACTCAAGTGGCGAACCCAGCCAGCCCCAAAATGTAGTCCGTCCAAGACACTCCGAACATTAGATAAGTAAAAACCCACGTTCGACTCGCCAAGCCCTTTTCCGCAAGGGACGACTGGGCACCTGACCGCGCGCATCCAGAGAACATTCGCCAAGCGGTCCCCGACCAGTCCCATCTTTGAGACCAACATGGGCGGATGTGCCAAGCAGGTGGAATTCCAACTATGTGCAACAAGCACACAAGTGGAAAACTCTACCACAACCAAACCAGTAGTGGACTTAGAACGGTTCGAATTCCATACTTACTTGCAACTTACTTGACCACCTCCAATAGAAAATCCTATTACTTGCCTGATTGAACTCACTGCGTTAGAAATCTGTGGTACATGTATACATCATCAATCCAAGATTCAAAATTTAGGCAGCAAGTCAGTCAGTCACTAACTTGCTTACCATGCCAACGATCATCGAGAATAAGATTAACTATCCATCAATTAGTTTAGTCACTTAGTTTTTACTTTGTCGTTAGAATTAATGATTCGACCCACGGACCCCCCGAAATGCGGGGAAGCTTAAGTAGTTCATTGATAATAGTAGCCCAAGCTATGATTCCTAACCCAATATTATACCAGAAATGGAATAACTATCCCTTAGCGGCTGTTCAACGATCACGCAGCTAACATTTAGTCTACGTAAGTCGATTGCTTAAAAATAGATAGTTTACATAGTTCATTTCCTACGTATCGATCAATATGTTCTAGAATTGTTGGCCGGTGGGATGATCTTCTAGACGTATACGTAACTTTCCACGCGGGATGGGCGATGATGCCATCGCCCCGGAATATTGGTGATGTGACGGATAAGTTGGACACTAATCCTATTTCCGACGGCAACTCCGAGTTTAATTTATCTGTTTATCTTTATGATTTCTTATCTTACTTGTTTTGCTTTGTTATTGTGTATGTATATGTTGGTCGTAATGCGGGATGTAAAATGATATGTGAGATGAGATGGGTGGAATGTGGGTAGGACATGGGGGGTTGGCATTGTGTAAGGGCTAGGGTGTCTTGTGTGACTGCTACTAGTTGATTTGATTTTACTTTCAGTGTTGTGGATGAAGTATAGTCATGGGACATTGAATTAGAATTTCTGGCTCTATTCACAAAAGTATAGTGAGTCCTTGGATTTGTGGGTTCTTTCGAGCTTGGGGGGACCGTGGATCGGGGAAATCTTGGGCAGGTGATTTCTTTTTTACCCTTCTTCTTTTTGCAGTGGTGACTTTTCCATTTCTGGTTTCAATGTGTCCCGCCGTTGTCCGCCTATCTGGGAATGACTGAATGGTACTGGCGAAGAATTCTGGAATTGGGTGGTGGCAAGGGGAGAGAATTCATTGTGGTTGGTGATTGGTGTGTTGGAGAAAGACTCCGTGGAAGTTACTTGTCTTAGTAATGTGGTCTATATCTTGGGGATGTTGTCTGTGTCCGGTTGAGGTAGTAGTCTATCACTGGCATTGAATCGAACAGATTGTGATGGCAGGTGATGTTGGTAAAAGCTGGGGGATGAAGTCTACATTACCTATTTGCTGTATGACATGTACTGTACGGTGATGTTTTTTATCTGGTATCAATCAGTCACAAACAGCCAGTCTGTGTTCCATCCCGCCTGAGGACAGATCGCATGTCCGGCTGGCTGTAGTGAAACCCGCCTGTTCTTTGGAACCCCCAATGTATCGCGTGCTCAATCCCACACCCAATCAGACATCGTGGCGACGCTGCTGACGCATCCCCGTTAGTCAGCAGCCTCGAACCCCTGTCGGATCCGGCCGGGGGTGGAAATGGCGCGACCAATCAGCAATGAGCCTCTTGCCAAGGGGCCAAGAGTGGGTGATTTGAAAGGGGACTAGTGGGTAGCGGGATGCTCGGCTAGCAGACCGGGGAAGTTCATTCGAAAAATGAAGCGGTGCGTTGATTGTCTATCTTAAACAAAACAGGCAGGAGGGGAATTCAAGGAAAAATGGAGGTGTAGATGAATAGTAACCGGTATAAACTCGCTAATAAGATAAGTTCAGCGACACCATTGATCAGACTAAGCACCAATCTAGTGTCGCCATCCGAGTGCCGCGCCACCGCGATTGGCTCGCGTGGCAACGCCTCGAGGAATCCGTTGCCTATCCGAGAGATTGGCGGTGGCCCTTTCTGGCCTGTGACTGGCGAGCCCCGGGCGGTTATCAGGCGGTTCTGCCGATCTCCACTCTGGCTTGAAAACTGCCGGGGGCAGCAGCAGATAGATGGATAGTAGATAATGCTAACGGAAACTAAGGCAGTACAAAGGAGACTAGTCTAGTCACAGAAAAGATACCATGCAGCATGTAGCCAAGACTTCCAAAAGAGAGTCACAATTTTCGGGACGTTGTGGTCAGGAGAATTGCATCTCAACAACCAGATACACCAGCACCAAAGAAATCCACACATCGGCTCTCCTGAAGATCCTGTCCCCGTGGCTGTGAGATCACCCTCCCTGCGTCACCAACCATGGAACCTTCCGCAATCACACCATCGTCCCCGCTGATGGTTCCATTGTTGCGGTGACATGGAGATCTGGTGCGACACGCCCCGGTAGCGCGGCTGTCGCCCTTTTCCCTCCCGGTTTTCATTGCCCACCCATGGATGGTTGGTCAATTTTTTGCTCGTCTACAGCCTTCCGTCTCCACCAACCCTTCGCTCCGCCTGACTGACTTACTTATATCCTTCTCTTAACCCGGCTGCCCTCTTCTTTGTCGTCCGCTCTCTTTCTTCATTGACACTCTCATCCCCATACTCCTCCGTAATCTCCCTCCTTTTTTTTACCTTCCCGTTACACTCTTGACACCGTTGGTATTCCTGGTGTCGACGTCACGCGTCATCCTTTTTGACTTCCCTTCTGTCCTGATCGAGTGCATCCTTCCCCCGGACAGAGAGTGTCCCCCACCACCATCATGGCTGAGAAGAAGCCTAACATCCTCTATATCATGGCCGACCAGATGGCGGCCCCCTTGTTGGCTTTCCACGACAAGGACTCTCCCATCAAAACTCCCAACTTGAACAAGTTGGCGCAGGAAGGTGTTGTCTTCGACTCCGCCTACTGCAACTCGCCGCTTTGCGCGCCGTCGCGGTTCGTCATGGTGACCGGTCAATTGCCCTCCAAGATTGGCGCCTACGACAACGCATCCGATCTGCCCGCAGACACCCCCACATACGCCCATTATTTGCGCCGTGAAGGCTATCATACCGCTTTGGCCGGTAAAATGCACTTCTGCGGCCCGGATCAGCTGCACGGATACGAGCAGCGGCTGACCAGCGACATCTATCCGGGTGATTATGGCTGGTCAGTGAATTGGGATGAGCCGGTAAGTTTATTCACCCCCGCCGTTCGTGTTTGGGGAATGGCGAAATGCTGACCGAAAAAGGAAATCCGTCCCGACTGGTACCACAACATGTCTTCCGTCATGGAGGCGGGTCCCGTGGTGCGCACTAACCAACTGGACTTTGATGAGGAGGTCATCTACAAGTCGACCCAGTACCTCTACAACCATGTGCGCCAGCGCAACGACCAGCCGTTCTGTCTGACCGTGTCCATGACTCATCCCCACGACCCTTATGCCATGACTAAGGAGTTCTGGGACCTGTATGAGGATGTCGACATTCCGCTGCCTAAGCAGGCGGCCATCCCGCACGACCAGCAGGATCCGCACTCGCAGCGCGTACTCAAGTGCATTGACCTCTGGGGCAAGGAGATGCCCGAGGAGCGTATCAAGGCGGCCCGTCGCGCTTACTACGCTGCCTGCACGTACGTCGACACCAACGTGGGCAAGCTGCTCAAGGTGCTCGACGACTGCGGAGTCCGCGACGACACCATCATCGTCTTCACCGGCGACCACGGTGACATGCTTGGTGAGCGTGGTCTCTGGTACAAGATGGTCTGGTACGAGAACTCGTCGCGTGTGCCGTTCATTGTGCATGCGCCAAAGCGATTCGCACCCAAGCGGGTGAAGGAGAACGTGTCGACCATGGACCTGCTGCCGACATTCGCAGAGATGGTGGGGGCACCGCTGGTTCGCGAGCTGCCGCTGGACGGCGTGTCGCTGATGCCCTACCTGACCGGCGAGGACGGCGTCAAAACCAACACGGTGTTGGGCGAGTACATGGCAGAAGGCACACAATCGCCAACGGTGATGATCCGGCGCGGCCGCTACAAGTTCGTGTACTCGTTGATTGACCCACCCATGTTGTTCGACTTGGAGGCCGACCCACAAGAGCGGGTCAATCTGGTAGCGGGGCTGACGGAGAAGCCGTCGCTCGAGGCACCCAAGCCCGTGGCTGTCACACAGCTGAACCCTGCGCCGCTGCCCACGCCAGGCGATTCGCCTCGGGGCTCACCGATGCAGCGCGCATCGTCGTTCCCATTCCCCACTCCCCCGCGCACGCCTAGCCCAGGCAAGTCGGCGTATGCGCTCCCGGAGAGCCGTGAGCCGGCCCAGCTGTTGGCATACTTTACTGAGGAGGTGCACGCGCGGTGGGATCTGGAGAAGATCCGCGAGGACGTGCTGCGGTCGCAGCGGCGTCGACGTCTCGTGTACTCTGCCCTGATCCAGGGCACTCCGTCGATCTGGGACTATGAGCCGCGGGTGGACCCCAGCACACAGTACGTGCGCAACCAGGGCAAGGGCGCACTGGACGATGTGGAATTGATCTCTCGGTGGCCGCGGGTGCTGCAGCAGGCTGCGACGGCAAAAGGGATGAACGTTTGATCTGTTTGCGAGTTTATCCGTGATGCTCCATCACGGTTCTTCTTTGGGTATTAAAATTGGAGTCATAGCGAGGCGCATGGGCTTGCATTGCAGCTATTTCTTGCGTCTAGCGTTGAGCTTATGTATCATAAGACATTGAATCAATGTATGTACGCAATACCGATATTAGTCCGTGACTGAACCAAGAGTGCACTACGTCACATGTAACCATGGTTCCTAGCTCTGTAACTTCTCCGCACACTCCAACTTCGTCATCATCATCACCACCACCACACCATTCTCACCACAGCAACATGATTATTCTTATCCTCCTCATAATAATCATAATCATAATCTAATCTGATAACTAGTTATTATGCCCCCTAAAAGACTTACCCTCGCCATCGCCCACCCAACCATAACCTCCACCTCCCCATCCCAAATCACCCAGCTCGCGCACTCCGCAGCTGCCAAGGGCGCTCATCTCCTTGTCATTCCATCTTACGCGGCCCCAGCAGCAGCAACAGCGAGGAATAAGAGTCCGAGAGATCAGTACCTGAAATTGTTCAACTGCGCTCACGATCTATCCGACCCGGGAAGTGATCCCTTGTGTCATGGCGACAAGAAACACAAGACCAGAGAGACACTGGAACATCTCGCTCAGGAAACCAAACTTTTCCTGATTGTGGGATTGCTTGAACGCGCGTGTGGGAATCTGTATCATACGGTGGTGTATATTCATCCTGGTGATGGGTTGGTGGAGAAGAGGAGGTGTTTTGCTTTGGTATGTCTTCCCTTTCCACCTTTCTTCCCTTTCTTTATGTGGATGATAGGGTATGCTAATGGTATGGTGTTCATGATATAGACCGGCTTAGCAAAAACGTACCTCTCCCCCGGACAACCACATACATCTCCCATTACAGTCAAATGCAAAAGTGGGCTCGAGGTAAAGATTGGGGTCGGCTTATGCGAGGAGAACTACCATCCGCTTATCCGGCAGGAACTGTATGCAGCCGGTGTCCAAGTCTACATCTCCCTCGGTGGCGTCTCCTACCTGGATGGTAGTGATAGCGATAGCAGTGGAGACGAAACCGGTCTATGGGAGAGTTTACTGCGCACGGTAGCTGTGGAAGGGAGGGTATTTGTTCTGGGGAGTTACACTACTTCTCATCCTGCTACACCTCAACCTGCGCATCCACACCAACTTGGTTCTCCTACTCATATCCCCAGTGGTAGCGGGAGCTGGCAATTTTCCCCGAGCGCGAAGAAACGGTCTCTGTCTGTTACAGCTGAAGGACCACATGAGATTGTCTGGCCGGAGATTCGGCATGCGAATGGTGGTGCTGCTATGGGACCACGGAAATCTGTGACGGCTGAGGGACCACATGAGATTGTGTGGCCTGGACAGTCGAATGCCGATGTGGATGAGGATAGGGAAGGGGAGATGAGTCCGGGGAGAGTGGAGCAGAGGCATGTTCAAGCTGGTGGGCGGGGGAGGGAAGGGCCGTCGGGTGAGAGTGGATGTGGAGGGGCGGCGTGGATAGTGGGTCCGTTTGGAGAGATTCTGGCGGGTTCAAGGGGAGGAGTATCGTTGGATGATGATGGATTGTTGGTGAGGGAGGTGGATTTGGAGGATTGTATTCGAGGGAGATGGGATCGGGATTTGGCTGGGGTCATCGGTACAACAGAGCTGCGTGCTTGATATGAAACTGTGAATGTCTTGCCTGGGAAGTTGAAGATACAATGATATTGTCAATTGTGCAGATATACCGATCCGATAATGACCCATAACCATTCCAGTAACAGCCAAGCTTCTGTCCAGCAGATACTAATTGTCAGATGATCCCTGTCGCTGAGCTGGCAGGAGGGGTAACCCCGCCATCTATCCCAGAGTACATAACTTCACATCTCCTCTCCACCTCATCACTCAGTCTATACGAAACATAGCAAAAAAACACCCCATCAACCATCCTATCCCATCCAAATCCAAAATGTCCACCACAACCACCACAACAACCACCACGACCCTGACAGGGGCACCCACAGGACCCCGCGTCCTCTCCGTCTCCAAATCCCCCACACACAGCATCTCCAAAACCCCCGTCCCCTCCATAACTCTCCTTCCCAACCACGGCGTCAGCGGTGACTGCCACGCGGGCAAAACCACCCAACACACTACGTCCACCACACCATCTTCTACAGCCAGCAACCTCCGCCAAATCCATCTCCTCCCCATCGAATCCCTCCGTCACATCTCCTCTACCTCCTTCAAGGGAAAGCAGCCCCTCACCCCCGGCGGAGTCGGCGAGAATGTGACGACCGAGGGCATCGAGTTGGGGAATCTACCTCCAGGTACGGAGATACATTTCGGGGATCAGGATGGTGGCAACGGGGCAGTGGTTATGATTACAGAGGTGAGAGAGCCTGGACCGGGACTGGATAAAGTGAGGCCCGGATTGAGGGACGCGTTTCGGGGCGTGAGGAGAGGCTGGTGGGGGGTTTTGGGGGTTGTTGTGAAAGGTGGGGAGGTGAGGGGAGGGATGGGGGTTAAGGTTGTGGTGAAGTAAGATCATTATTAATTGGGTGAGTGGTAAAAGGAGAGAGTTGATTTGGTGATGATGGTGGTGGTGATAGTGGTAAGGTTTGGTAGGATTAAGGATTGGGGTGGGATGTGATGTAATTGACTTTTAGGGGTATAAGTATAAACATGATTTCCTAGGATGGAAGTCAATTGTGTAGTGCAGTGAACAGATTGCAATTCTATCGATTTCGTGAATTAATTCTAGTGAAATATCATGGATCAACGCTACTATACCCTCGCAGAAGGTATGTCCTTATAATTGAATAGATAGTGAAGAATCCACTAATGATCCAGGCTGCCCCTACGCCAGCAACGCATCCTCGGTGCAGTTGCGCAGCGGCAACGGGGGCCTGCTTCTAATGCAGGATACCCAGCTCATTGAGACTCTATCTCACTTTGCTCGTGAGCGGATTCCAGAGCGGTAATTCCCCACTACCCTCCTATCATCAGTCCTCGATCGTATATACTGATATAAATCAACAGTGTAGTCCACGCCAAAGCAGCCGGGTACTTTCCCCCCTTCCCATCCCCAACAACAACCCTACTGATAGCTATCACAGCGCATACGGTGAATTCACCTGTACCCACGACTGCTCCGACATCACCTCCGCCAGCTTTCTCAGCGAGATCGGCAAAACTACCCAGTTGCTGCTGCGCATCTCGACGGTTGGTCCAGAGGCTGGGTCGGCCGATACTCTGCGCGATGTGCATGGCTGGGCTATGAAGCTTTATACGGATGAGGGAAATTTGGACTGGGTGTTTAATAATACGGTAATACCCTCTCATTGGTATAGGGATGTGAAGTGAGGGTAAAGCTAATGTGGTGATAGCCTGTCTTTTTCATTCGGGATCCTCTCAAGTTCCCGTCGCTTAATCGGTCTCATAAGCGGAATCCGCAGTCGCATTTGCCCGATCCGAATATGGTATTCTATCCTCCTATTTGGTTTGATGATTGGGTACTAACTTCTCAATTGATAGTTTTGGGAGTACGTATGCACAGAGTATTGAAGTAGGTCTTAATTAACTAGTTAGCTTCCACGCCGGAAACCCAGAAGGCTTCCACCAGCTCCTCCATCTATTCAGTGATCGAGGCACGCCCGCGTCTCTGAGACATATCAATGCTTACAGCGGGCATACCTACAAATTTACTCTCAAAGTAAGTCCATATCAACATACACAACATACCAAGTAATAACTGTTCAGGATGGCTCTTTCAAATACGTCAAATTCCACATCAAGACCACCCAAGGCGTCAAAAACCTGACCAAAGAAGAATCCGTCCGCTTGGCTGGTGAAAACCCCGACTTCCTTATCCAAGATCTTTTCGAAGCTATCGAGCGGAAGGACTATCCTACCTGGAATGTTTACGTGCAGGTCATGTCGCCGGAGCAGGCTGAGAACTACCGGTGGAATATCTTCGATATGACCAAGGTGTGGCCGCATAGTGATTTTCCGCTGCGGCAGATCGGGACGATGAAGTTGAATCGGAATGTATGTCTATCCCATACGTATTCTATCGATCGAGAATCTCTTGCTGATTGTTGTGTCAAGCCCCGCAACTACTTCACCGACATTGAACAAGCCGCCTTCTCTCCGTCGAACCTTGTTCCAGGCGTTGCTCCATCCGCAGACCCAAGTACCTCCCCCCACACTCTCCCTCTAACACCATGCTAATAAAAAATAGTGCTCCAAGCAAGAATGTTCTCCTACCCCGACGCAGCCCGCTACCGCGTCGGCACAAACTACCAACAACTCCCCACCAACGCGGCCAAGACCCAAGTGTACTGTCCTTACCAGCGCGACGGACAGATGAACTTCTCCGACAACTACGGCGCTGATCCCAACTACGTCGGGTCATCTTTGAAACCGATCAAATTTTACCAAGATGTGAAAGGACAGGCGCCGCAGGCTGTCAGCACCCTCACGGAGCATGAGAAGTGGGTGGGCCAGGTGAGTAACTTTCAGTATGGGCTGTATGAGGATGATTTCGTGCAGGCGAGGGGATTGTGGAAGGTGATTGGGAAGGAGGAGGGACATCAGGAACGGTTCTTTGGGAATGTGGCGGTGCATTTGGGACAGGTTTGGAGTGGGCCGTTGCGGGAGCGGGTTTATGGTGAACTTATCCCTTCCTGTATATCCCTTTCTTCAAGTTGCTTGGGGTAATGGTGATGGGTGCTAATGAATGCAGAGCTGTTTTCAAGAGTGGATCCAGGATTGGGAGAGGGAGTGAAGAAGGCTACAGAGGAGGTGGTGAAGAAGAGGGAGAGTAGCAAATAGATACGTAGATGTGCTGTACTGTGTTGTGTGTTGGGGGGGGTATAAAATGTTTGTTATAGTGTTATGTCAGTAAAATGGTCTAAGAATGCATGCCAGCTGTCATCGTCTAGGTGCTACTGTTTACTTTCGGAGAAAACATGCCAAGGAGCATTCCTGTGCATGGCAATGGCCAATCCAACCGTCGGGAGGAATTCGCTGCATATCGATTGTGACAGGTCAGCTTCAGTATGTTACAGGTTGAATGGTATTATCACATGTTGATACGCACATCTCTCTCTTCTTAATTGATCTTTCTTTGATCTGCATCGGATTTTGTATCAGATACAACTAACTACCTTTAGCTTCAGCAATTATCTCAATGTTGAAATTCAAGACATATCACATTCACAATCTGACACCGATCTGACACCAATTGACAATGGAACAGCAATACGCAATACAGCATTACCCCCTTATCTACCGATTTGCCCCCAATAATACTCCAAACTGCTATGATCAACACAATGTCCGGATGCATCGGAACAACAGCCACCTCATCAAACCCAATTCCCGCATCTAGACCGCGCATTCACCAATCATGTCCCATTCCATAGCCACTTACCAACCTCACTGAACTAGTGTACCATACTAACTGCGGAGGAGTAACAGATAACTAAACCAAATCCGAGATCCACCCTGATGATAATGTACACCCCACCCACAGCTACCCCAGCCCTACACTCCCCTCCCTACATCTTCCCCCCATGAAACAAGTATACACAAGTCCCTCCACCACCCTTCTACATCTAATTCCATTCTACACAAAGTACCTTGCAAACAAGAAATTATGCCGATCTGACTCAACCCAGTCAGAAATCCCACCCCACCCCTCTCAACCGACAGGTCCGGCGATTCCTCGGCTCATAAAGACCGCAGATAACATAGTACTCTAGTTTCAATTCGATTTAGTGGTACGTAGTTATGATAGTCATGAAGTCACCCGTTCCAACATTCCACCACGCACACACTCAACCTAGTAAAAATACATACATACATTCCCCCTTTCCCCTCTTTTCTGCTTCCGGCGTTTCTTTTTCCCTCCTGTTACTACAATTATCTCTACTATCTGCTATCTTAGCTATTGCTCATCAAGCACATATATAAAAACCATCATCTACCCCATCTATCTATCTACTTTTTCATATCCAGCATCTCAGAAAAAGGTTTCCGGTCATGACCACTCAAACCACCAACATGACCACCCTCACCGCCCAAATGGACACCACGAACCGTCCCGACGAATGGAAGATCGAGCAGGGTATGGCAGGTCATAAACTGCCTATCCTCGATCAATCCGGCCTGGACACGGTGCATATTTACCCGCCGAAGCCGACGCAGCTGTATAAAGATGAGGAGGCCATCGAGGCTGTAGGGGATCGGAATGAGTTGTTTAAGAGGGAGAAGGAGGGGTGGAAGGGGTATGATTATCCCCTTTCTCTTTTGAAGATGCACTATTACTATGTTGGGATGAATTACTGATTGATATTTTGGTTTCCAGATATGTCGAATGGGAAAAGTATCCCGACAAAAAGGCCAAAGCCCACCGCATCCTCACCTCGCAGACCTTCTCCCCCTGTCCGGATTACATGTTCGGTCCTATCCCCGACACCAACCCCGTCCTAACCGGCGAGGACTTCAAGCAATGGCATGCTGCATTGGGGGGTGAACTTGCCTCCGTGGCGGATGATAGCTGGCGCACTGTTCTCCGGGAGAAACACCCCGATATGCTGCATCTCCTCCAGTTCCCGTATAACGGGGAGCCGCCGAAGCGGCTGGTTACTTCGAAGGTGGTCACGCCGAATCCGCTGCACTTTGTGCGCAACCACGGGGGTATCCCGCTCATCGAGAAAGATAAGTGGAGTCTGACGCTAGACGGACTCGTCAAGCATCCGAAGAGCTATACCTTGGACGATCTGCAAGATGAGACGCGGTTCCCGCGGATGGAGAAACTCGTGACGATGCAGTGTTCGGGAACACGGCGAATCGAGCAGATCGCCCTGTATGGAGGACAAGGTGATGAAGTGCCGCAGGCGCCGTGGGCAGAGGGGGCAATTGGGACGGCGAAATACGTGGGGATCAGTCTGAAGAAGGTGATTAAGGATTGCGGGGGATTGATTGCCCCCGCGAAGCATCTGGAGTTGTACGGCGCGGAGACGTATATCAAGGATCTGGAGGCGATGAATTACGTGGTGAGTGTGCCGTGGTCAAAGGTTAAGGCCAACGAGGTGATTCTTGCCTGGGAGATGAACGGCGAGCCATTGCCCAAGATCCATGGGTATCCGTTGCGGGTCGTGGTGCTGGGATATATCGGTGCGCGCAGCGTCAAGTGGCTGTACCGGATCAAGGCGATTGAGAACCCATCCCGGGCACCCGTGCAAAGCAGGGAGTATCTCTACTTCAACCAGCAGATTGGAAAATATAACCAGCGTCCCACGGACGGGATCCAGATCCAGGAAATGCCGGTCAGCTCGGCGATCATGTCTCCCTGGACGAAGCAGGTGATCGTCCATGACGGGAAGATCCGGTGCAAGGGATGGGCGTATTCCGGGGGTGGACGGTGGCCGGAACGAGTCGAACTGTCTGCCGATGGCGGGTTCAGTTGGTATGCGGTGCCGCAGGAGAAGTTGTCGAAGAAGGGGAGGTGGACGTGGCGGACGTGGGAGATGGAGTTGCCGTGTGATGTCGAGGGGTGGATTGAGATTGTGTGTCGGTGTTGGGACAATTCGTTGAACACGCAGCCGTTGAATGTCCGGGCGGCGTGGAATTGGGGACTGCATGTTACGTCGTCGGCGCATCGGATTAGCGTCTACAGTGTGAACAAGAAGCATGAGACGACGAGGAAGAAGATCGAGAAGATGGAGCATCTGGGCATTCCGCTGGCGCCGTTGACGTTTTATCAGCCGGTGCCGGGGCAGACGGAAGAGGAGTATGAGCAGTTTTGGAGGGAGCATGATCCCAGGGATGTGGATGACTAGATGTCCTGAAGTGGGTGTGTTGTGGGGATGATCCAAATTGTTTATTAGTGAGCGAGTAATAATACGGTTATTGTCTGCAATCTCATGGAGAATCGTAATTAGTAACGACCACCAGCAAGCTTTTGTCTCGACTTTCACTCCCATAGTGGTATCATTCACAGTCAGGGCTTGGCAGGTGAAAAATATTGGTCTTATGTCATTGTAGTGAATATATCAGGGAGAAGGTATAAGAAAAACAAATCCTATCGGGAGTCTTCTTCTCTTCTCTCTTTGTTCACCAACTCCACAAGACACAGAAGCCACAATTATCAGGCTCATAGCGGGAATGATTGAACAAGAGTCCTCCACAGAGTCAATATGCCAAACCTACGGGCCAATTTCATCGATTCAGGCTCCTTTAGCTGAAGTCTGAGATGGAAATGCAGTGATAAAATCTTATTCAAGTAATTTAGATAACCATGGGGCTACCACGAGTTAATTGGTAGTAGAATGACTGGTCGCGTTTTATTGGCATAAGCTGTGGATCACAGCCATGAGGACCCATTATTATTGTAATCATATATTATCAATATCAATCTGTTATATGCCATTCACTGCCATGCTGCATCTGTCTGCAGTGCATAATCATCTTGATCATCTGTGCATCAGGCTTGAACCCCACTTGAAGAACGAGCTGGGAATGCACAAGGCGGTCGAGTTCCACCAGGTCCATATGTGGTGGAAACTTCCGACCTGCTGGAGGCTCATTTGGGGGCATCCCCAAGGACCAAGTACCGCTTTAAGTAGTAAGTGTCTAGGTCTATAAGAGAGCCTCATCGTCCTGTCATCTTGGTTGGCAGGACCATCTACTCAATCAGTTTTCTCATTTGTTTTTAGTATATATTCCAGAGCTAGGATTCGCAGCTTTGACGCGCACTACTAAGCCCCTGCCCTCAATGGCACAACTCAAGTATACTACTAGTATACGTATCATCATATATGAAGCTGGCATGGTAATACATGGTAGCCTGGTTTGGCCTAACCACCGCCAGAGCCAGTGCTATAACCAAGTCAGTACACTGACTGTGCTGTCAAACATGGTAACGTCGTTGCATCATGGCACTCCGTTGTTCGCTACAATTTGGGATACCTGCCTGCTTTTATAAGTGAATAGACCCAGAGCTTTGTGAAACCCACACACTAGGGTAGGTGGCTACTTAGGCCATGTTCTTGTCCCGCGATACGGCGAGCCCACCAAGGCTTTCTATCACTTTTAAGTTGATATACATAGTACAATCTATCATTTTCGAAATCGATTCAGCTCATCATATTTCCACCACCAATCACCCCCTCTCTCCATAGTAGTATGGAAGACACTCTAGCTCCGTTCACCCCAACGGACGCAGAACGACAAGAACCGCGTGTTCAGCAATATATCCAGACAGCTGGTCACATATATGACCTCCAAGTCCATCAACAGACCAGGACTACTACTAGCACCCCGAGCTCCCACGGCACATCTGGCTCTAACTGGGACATCAAGGAAGTCAACGCCGTCCGAGCGATTCCACTGCTCAATCTTCCACCAAGGCGGATCGTCTCAGCGAAATTCTTCCCAGGGAATGATCATTCAGTTCAGTACATCAGCCACAGTCACCTATAGTGTGCTCATCACCCACTCTAACAATCTTACCATCAATTCGACTGCCCAGAATTTGCATATATGCGCCGATCAATCCAGGCTGCATCTATTGACGATCTCAAGACCTTCATCTCAGCAAGATATGAGGGGAACCCGTTCCTGGCATTCTTCTTTGACCTAGCGGGGCTTATCACCACCGATACTTCAGAAGCAACCATCGCTCGCGCGCACCAAAGGATTGTCAGCGGAGATTCCATCCATTCAGATCTCTCCACGTCCAGTGATGAGGACAGCCGCGAAAGTGCAAGTGTTCAGGCGCTCAAATCCTTCACAAAAGCTGTCATGTCGTATATGGGAAATGATACATACTTGTTTCCTCGAACCTTTAACCGTGTCCATCGGTGAGTAGTACTACTCGTACACGTAGTATAAAAATAGTATATACAATGACTCGAAACTTGATGCTAACAGCGTCATCTAGGATCCCTAACAACATCGAATTCAGATGGAGAATGGCAGGGACCACATATGTCGCTGTGAATGATGGATCTGTGGGAGTAAATTTCCCAGGTAGCGTTTCGGGATCAGATCGAAGCTCAAAGATGCCGGTAGCAAGTTTCGAGGTAGAGAAACTAACCCATTCCCCCTCCCGGCGGTTTCATTATGCAAGTCGCGGATTTGCAATCTTCATCTGCTTACTGTCTACCGCAGTGTAAATCGCGACATGCTGGGGGAATTAAGCGAAGTTCTGGAGAACCGGAGAAATTCAACCCAACAGTTTTTGCCCACCAGGTAGGCGAAATGATTAAGAGTGTGGGCGCTCAGCGATCTAGGCCTGTTCTCATAAAACATAGCGACCAGGAGGCCTTTGTGGTCTGCATGCACGGAACACTATTCTATATCAGCGCGGCATATTTTTCGCCTGAGTATATTGGATATATCGAGACAGCCGAGCCTGCGGAGATCGCTGTTGGCGACAATCTTCTATGGATTCGAAGATCCATTCATTTTGATCTGAAACTCCCGGAGGATAGCGGCCAGGCGTTGAAGTTTTTCTGGGCGCTGGTGAAGTATATTGCCAGCGGGGAAGCGCGATCGAATATGGTGGCTGCAGCAATTGATGCTGCGAGGGACATTCCAGTCGAATGATCTAAACTGACTGAATCTATGATCCATTGGTCGTGGAGAAAGTTGGTGTCGGGAAAGAGCTTCGTGTCGTCGAGGTGCTTGAGAGCACTAATGTCAATTGCTAGGTAGACTCATACTTTAGTCATTTCGATAGTTGGGGGTTTAGGAAAATCAGAATGATTTAGGGCGGGGCATGCGCATCTTAGGACAAGGAAGCTATGACAGGAATTTGGTATTGCGAAGGGCTCAGAGCTTATTTTCATGAGTTATTCTTAACCTTACACGTGATTTAAAAATTGTTTTTAAAGATGAAACAGAAATCTTTAATACCCCTGATACCCTAAATATCCTAATAACTTGAATCCCTACAGATATCCTGAAAATATAGATATAATAACTGATTTAGTTCAGAAAAGCCGGTACGGACCCAGAGAAGCTCGGCCTGATACTGAGTATATTTGCATGTGATAAAGCTCATCCGATGTCAGGATTTCTCTGAACCGAACGCACTAATTTCTGGCCCTGTCGCAACTTGGACCCCTGGCATGTCCCATATTAGATAGTAAGTAGCAGGGCCTCTGGTAGTGATTTTTCGCTGTACCGAATCCAGAATTGAATATATATGCTCAATTAACACTAATATGCCATAAACCTCCGTAATATACGAACCAAACCATATCATACACCCACCATCCACCCATCATCCAGAATGTACACCACGAAAAAACAAAATAACCCTAAAACATACTTACTTACACCCCTTCTCTTTTTCTCCCCTCCCAAATGGGCAAAGTAGAATCACCCCCAAACCACCCTCCTGATCTTCACATTCGCAACATGCGTCACCGCCACGACCCCCAACCCGCCCCCGGCCCCGGTCAAGACCAAAAACAACCTCTCCTCCAACCCCTCCTCCGTCCTCCACTTATCATGATACGCTTTCTTTCCCTGAATGGACGGCAACCGCTTGAACGCAAACCGATACGCCCCTCTAGCAAGATGCTCCAACGGGCCCCTCAACCCCCTCACCTCACCCAGCTCCTCCAACGGCTCGAACCCCACACTCAGATACGACACCCCGGCATGCCGACACAGCGCCATCGCAGCAAACATCAACAGGTCTGTCAAACCCTTGGGAGCTGTCGGCAGCGCAACGCACGGATCAATATGGTATCCGTTGTTAGCGCCGCAGTAGCGTAGGGCTGCGAAGGCGAGTGGCACGCCGTCTTTATCCTTAGCGTAGATGTATGTCATGAGGGAGGGGAGGAGGGTCGACGAGAACGGGGAGGTGTATTCGGTGATGAAGGCTTGGGGGGTGGTGGATGTGTTGCGGGTGGTGCGCCAGGTTGTGTAGATATCCTGTAATTCATTTTCCAATGTGGTATTGCTGCCAGGGATGTATATGTCTAGGGTTATGCCGCCTTTATTTGGGTTTAGGAGTTGTTTGTTCTGCAGGAGGAGACGCTTTCCGGTTGATTCGTTGAGGAGGGCGTTGGTGGTGGGGTTGAGGACGCGTGAGGTCCCGAAGTGGAGCATTGTCCAGTTGTTGGTGGATTTGCTGCCGGTTGATGTCTGGGTTTCGGCGTAGTGTGTGAGACGCGGGCTGGCGCCTAGGAAGGCCATGCCGAGGAGGTGAGCTTTGCGGTAGGTTTTGAATTCGGAGAGGAGAGATGGGATGTTCTCTTCAGAGCTGATGGGGTCGCCGGCTATGATGGCCGTTTGGTGCACGACTTTGAAACAGAGCGCCGCGGTGTGGGTGGTGTTGAGAAAGATGGTGTAGCTCGGGTCGAGGAGGGACATGTGTGAGACTTGGCTGTGTTTGGCGGCTAGGTGGGTGATGGTGGTGAGGATGGGGAGGGAGGTGGTGATGGGTCCGGCGAGGGTTATGATGCGGTTGGAGGGGAGGGGTGGGTGGATGGGTGAAGAGGGTTTGTGGAAAGAGTCATGGCTGGTGCGGCTGGAGGGGATGCTTTTGAAGTCGGAGGTGGAGGTTGATGGGGACGAGGTGATGGTGCTGCTGCTGTTGATGCTGAGGTTACAGTTGATGATAGATGAGGGCTGAGGAGCGAGAGGATGGTGCACAGGTGCCCAGTGGGTGACGGGACAGTCGAGTCGGGCTTGCAGGAGACGCTCGTACAGCGATTGTCCGATGGTGTCGGCCAGCAGCACCTTGATGTTGGACTGCTGGGATTTCTTTTGCTTGCGGGGGCTGGATGAAGTCATGTCGGAGTATTCATATGAAGTATGTAGGATTGATATGCTCAATAGATGTAGAATACAAGTACATATAGAAGAGAGTAGGAACAGGAGAGAGTGCAAGCAGATGAAGTGCACTTGGACTCGAGACATATAGGAGAAACCGGACAAAGAGGAGAAACTCTCTAGGCTGCCGTCAGCACTGCCATTGGGCACAGCGTGTGAGCGAGGCGCTGAACTGCCCGAAGCTGTTGATCGGCGCGAACCCTGCCTTGTGGGGCCAGCGACAGTAAATTACACGGACATCGCCGTTATGAGGAAGCCTAGATGGCTAGTACTTAAGAATAAAGGTTTCATCGAGAGGGAATCGCCATTGACGACAATGGGCTTGAGTGGTTGGTACCAATCTTTCGCCTTTCGTCACTCTCTTTCTTTTAGTATCCCGTCTCCTTCAAAACACAATCATCGTGAAGAACTGTCTATTCCCTGGAATATGGCTGCCTGGTGTGCTGCATGATTGTTTCGTCTGGACCCTATTTGTGGCATCCAGGGTACAGCCATTGTGGGGCGACAGGTGTATTCGGGGCTGTGATTGGCCCGGCGGGCTAATCCAAAAGCTTAGGGGTCTCGCCTTGCGGACCAAAGGCTTGTTGGTCAGCCCTATATGCAGCTCGGAATCCGCGGGTTGCCAGGCATCTGTATACTGTGGTGGCTGAGTGTCAGAGATTGATGAGTAATAAAAATGTTTTACTACATAATTATGAGTGCGAGATAGTGTATTACTACAATCATTAGCTAAGGATTACTGCCTGTGCACAGTAAGCTCGTCCTACTCCATGATTCTACTAGTCTTACGACTATTGCCTAGTAGAACGAGCTAGCACAGCTTATACCTAATTAGCTACCTCATCATATTGTTATGGTCACCTTCAAATCTTCACCCATTCCTTATGCCAATTCCATCCATAACACGATGTCCCACACACGACCCGATCAAAACTACATCTCCACACACTCACCTCGGAACGATCTCGGAATGATTCCATCGGAACCACGTGATACCAGCAAAAACTGGCAATTTTTTCACAGGAACAAAATGAGTCAAAAAAAGAAATTCTCAATTATTTATTCCAATCTTTCCTAGTCACTAGCCCGTTATTAGTGCACCCGATCATAGCCGATATCATTCATTATCTTCATCATGCATCGACTGCGTCTCCCCACCATGCCCAAAACATGCATTCGGCCCCAGCTGCAAACCCGCCTAATCAGCACCCCCTCACAACCCAAGCCAACCCCCGCACGGGCACACCAGAAGCCTCACAAATATGACTTGCACATTCTCCCCGCGGCACCTAGTGACAGCCCCGCCATCGCGGACGTCTTCCTGCATGCTTTCTCTGATCCGTTCAGTCGACGCATGTTTCCCATCACTGACGATGTGCGTAGCTGGTGGGTAGACCAGTTTAGACGTGATATTGAACAGGCACGGGCTGCTGCGGATCCCAGCACTGCGTTCTTGAAAGTTACTGCGGGTGAGGAGGGGGCTGTTGCTGCGTTTGCTAAATGGTGGTATCCTGTCCCATCAGAAGGAATACCTCTGGATGGTGAGAAAAGTCAGACCAAGACTGTTTGGCCCCCAAGCTCGGATGCCGATCTCTGTGAGCGGTTCTTTAATTTGATGGATAGTGAGAAGAAGAGGGTCATGGGAGGGAGAAAGGAGGGGTATTTCTGTGAGTTGTCCTTCTAGTATCATTATCTGTCTGTGCCATGCTGACCGCTCAGACCTCGACATGCTGGGCACTCACCCCCAGTTCAACGGCCGGGGCATCGGATCAAGATTACTGCGTTGGGGATTAGACCGGGCAGACGAGAAAGGCGTGCCGACTTTCTTGGCTTCCACGCCTGCGGGACGACCCCTGTATGAGAAGTATGGGTTCGAGGCGGTGGAAGAGTACGAAGTGATTCCGGGATATTTCCAGGCGTCGATGGTGCGGGAAGCAAAGTTTTTATAAATATGACATGTATAGAAAGTGTATAAAATAGCATAGGATAGACCCACATGAACATACGTTCACATCATCAGCGGTGAACCATTTATCTCTTTCCCATTGAGGACGCAATCTGCAGCTGCTAATAGCAGGCCACGTAACCCCAAAAATAAGGCCAACCACGGATGATCGGCTCAGCCCTACAGGGCGGGCCCCACCCCATTCCCAGGCCCAATCCGGCCAAATAACCCATCTGCTCCCTCCCCCCCAACCCCCGTTTCCCATTTCCCCCTTCTTTTCTCTCTTCCTCTCTCTCTTCTTCCCTCCTCACCCCATGTCCCTCCCCCATGGTGGTCCAATTCCCACACCACCATGTCGTCCCCCATCCCTAAGCTCCTCCGCGAGTCGAGCGACCTCACCATCACCTCCGCCTCCACCCCCAGCACAACCACCTCCACCCATATCATTCCTACGAATAATGTAACCTACACCCGCGCCTCCCGAAAGCCGTCCACCAAGCTCACCACCCTCAATCCCTTCCGCAAATGCACCTCCCGACAAAAACAACACCACACTCGTTTCCAATTATCTCACCAACCTCTCTTCCGCAACTCCCTCCTCGCCGGCGTCGGCTTCCTCGAGCTCGCCAACGCAGCCGACTTTGCCGCCAATGTATGGAACCAGATCCCCGTCCCGAAATACGCGATGGTGTTTATGGCTATCGGTGGACCAATCGCTCTCCTCATAACCTTAGTTGCTGCTCGAGACTTCTACCTGAGTTACACGAACGTGCAGCTACTCCTGAAAGAACGTCGGTACCTGCGCGAGTTACTTGATTCCGTTACCACCACAACCACAACCACAACAACAACACAAAACACAAACACTAATACGCAAGCCGAAATCCTCCTACGGAGTAGACTAAGCGTCAACTTCCGCGAACTCGGCACCGAAATCGTCGACCGCATCCTCATGGACGCGCTGATGGGATTCGGCGCGCTCCTCGTCGGCACGGGCACCATCATGGCGATCTTCGGAGCGAACCACCACGTCTACGTCGCGAGTAACTTGCTGAGCGGGTATATAGGCAATGGATTAGCAGCAGTATTTGGGCTCGTCAATGCGATCTGGTCGGGATATTTGGTAGGCAGGTTTCAGGTTTGCTGGGGTGTTTGCCTTAATATCACCGATACAAACACCACAACAAGGGAGGTAAACAACCATGTGACGGAAGTCACCACCATCACCACCACAGATACAGACCTGGAAGCAGAAGTGAAAATGTACAAAGACCCCCTGAAGCTCCGCTTCCGCAGCTTGCAATTCCATGCGCTCGTTAATGGGATCAACGGGCTTGTGGCCGGCGCAGCGAGCATGGTTACGGCGACGATGTGGTACGGGTATGTGGTGTTGGTGCCGTGCATTGTGAGTTTGATCGCGTGTAACTGGTTCTGGAGGGTCAGGGTCGGGTATGATCGGCCTTTGTTGTCTTCGAGTACTTCTGCTTCGTTGTTGTCAACTGCGGGTGCAGGAAGGCGAGGTGCTGGTGGTGGTGGTACAGCTACCCCTACTACCAATGGGAATGGGGGGAGTGGAGGGAATGAAAAAACCGACCTCCTCCTCGACCTCAGCAGTGCGACACATCTCCATCGCATGCTTGCATCATCCACCAAAGACAGTGGGATACAGTTACCCCGACACATCCTCAACCGCCAGAACCCATCGTCCGTCATGTCTTTCCTTACCCGGAATGGCATGTTCGAGGGGTTCTGCGTCTGGATTGATCACGATAAAACCCTAGAAAGGGGCGTGGAGGATTTACTTGATCTGGACTCATTAACAACCTCCCCTGAGGGGAATAACAATAACGAAAAGCCTAACGAGGAAACTATCAATGAAGAAGAGGAGAAGGGCATGGAAATCTCCCTCACAGCCGACGACTTCCTGACTCTCGCGCGTCACGACAGCGACATTTTCCTGCGGAAGATGAACGAGTATCTGGATGGGAATGTGTGTCGGGCGGTGGCGTATCGCGAGAGGTTTTTGTTGGAGGTGTTGGGGGTGGTTGTCTATTTGGAATCTATCCCTAAGGATAATGACGAGGTGGAGAGGAAGAGGAGGTGGTGGTTTGGGTGTTTATGATAGTTGTGGATTTTATACTGAGTAGTACCTGGTGTATTATGTGGTATGTGCTGGACACAGATGATGGTGGTGTGTGTGTGTGTGCATGCTTGCGTGCATTAGCTTGATTTTTTTTTTCGCTCTGGATATGCTGTATATGCTGGCATAGATCACTAGATTAATATTGATGTGGATGGGATGGGATGGATGGGGTAATGTACTAATAATGTATCATGTGAATTTCATCATCTCATATCATATCATGTCCTTTGATATTCCTCTATCGTAACTTCTGTATGTAGCAGTCCTTATCTGGAGGGCACCATCGGCTTCATTCTACATATACAGGCGCCTTCACCAAGACATTCATTGGTCCTCTCCCCCTCACTTCTGCCGTCACAAACGAGGCGAACCGGATGCGTCCCGGTCCGCGCTCGCGCTCCTCTCGTGTCTCTCCGGCTGGTGCGGACGGTCCTGGCCGCCGTCCCATCAGCGAGCTGAACACCGACCGCATGCGTTGCTCCCGCTGCGGCGGTCCAGTGTCGCCTCCCTCAGCCTCGTCCGGGCCCTCTGCCCGTTCCTGCTCGGCGGAGCCACCCGACTCTGTCCGCACATGGGTCAGTGGCGGCAGCCCCGTCTCGACCTTCATGGTGCTCTCCTGGACGACTGTCCCCGGGAGAATGTACTCGACGCAAATGTCGCGTGACTCCAGCGGAATCTTCTCTGCAATGCCCACAGCGTTCTCCACGATCATGCGCGCCCCGTTGTCCAGCCCCGGCGGCGGCGGATCGTGCAAGTGTGCTACCAGCGTCGCCACCAGGCTGTTGATCAGTCGGTCGATGAGCTGGGCCCGGTACTCGTCCGCCTGCGGACCCTGCAGGTTCGTGAGCCCGTCCAGCGTGGTGCGCCGCCAGTTGGAGATGCGCGCGATCGCATTCTCCTTGTCTTCCTCTGTGGAAGGCTGCGCCTGCTGTCGTCGCAGGTTCATCTCGATGCTTTTCAGCTGGCGGCTGAAGGTGGGCTCCAAGGCCGGGTGAAAGTAGCGCTCAAACAGCTCCTCGACTAGCCACCGGCTCACCACCGCTCGTCCGATTGCTGTCATCTCCTTGGTGCCCGTGGTGTGCGCGTCATCATTGACGAACCCGTTCAGCCAGGAGGGCAGTGTTGCCCAGTCCTTGCGGATAGAGAAGGCGAGATCTTTGATCGCACCGTCCAGTCGACCGAACCGATTGGCATACTCATTGTCGTCCAAGACGGTGCGGGAGACGGCCATACGTTGGTGTGCTACAGTATTCTGAAGGTGCTGTACCTGCGCTTCCTTTTCGAAATAGTAACGCTTGACCTTGGAGTATTTCGCCTCTGCATCTGATTAGCAATGGTTTCATCCCAGGGCAGCTGCAGCTACTTACGAAGCTCGTCATGCTTCTGGACCAAGGCCCGCACATCTATCTCAGCGGCATCCTCACGATCACGCCGGCTGTCACGCGAACTGGGCGTGTTCCGGCCCTGCTCCGGCGTCGACGCAGTATTGTTCCGGAAGCCAGCTTCCGATGGATAAGGGGAATGCCCAGGGACAGGAGACTGTCCTGGGGGCGCGGAGGGACGATCGGGCATGCCACTGGCAACCGTGTCTTGATGAACGGGGAGTGGGCGTAATGGTGAAGGGGGCCCAAGGGATTGGCGGGAAGAAGGTCGAGGGCCGACCGTGGGGTCCAGTTGGGGCGGTGTTGGGGCCAAGTCAGCGGGCTGTCGGGACGGCTCCACCGGTGACGGACGAGTAAGATGTTCCAGCAGGCCGCTGTCGGTATTGGAGCGTTGGACGGAAGGATGCGGTGAACGAGGAGATCGGGTGTCGAGCGTCGGCGTCGGACCTGTGTTCTGCGGCATGGGTGATCGACTCGGTGGCTGCTGTTGTGCTTGAACTTGGTTCCGCGGGGGCTGAACCGGAGATTCTGCAGGAGTATGAGACGGCGTCGGAGTTTGGGATTGGGGTGGTGGCTGAGGTGCCTGACCCAGAATTGGCGCCGGCGGCTGCTGTTGCTGCGGTTTTTGCTGTTGTTGTTGCTGCTGCGGTTGTTGGGGTCGACGGGCTTGAGGAACCTTGGGCCACGGGGCGTCTAATTCATGCTCTCTCGACCAAGAGGTTCCCGGGCGGCGTTCGGACGTGGTATCGATGGATAACGGTCGCTGTTGTTTGGATGGGCGACCCGTGGAGATTTTCTTGACCGACCGGCTGCGCTGCAGTATTCCGGACTGGTCGCGCGCGGCTGCTGACGAGTGAAGCGAGAAGAGACTGCGACGGGATTTGCGAGGTTCTGGCTCGACGGGTTGCAATGGCTCGGGTGGCAGCGGCCACGACTGATTGAGAGGGTCAGCATCGAGGATGGGTGCAGGGGACGCTGGCCGTACCGGCGTGTCGTCGCTGCTGTTGTTGCCTCGCGGGCTGGTATGACGCTGACTTTTGGAGCGACGCAGGGGATAGGAGGTGGAATATTCCTGGGTATTATTGTCGTGTTGGTAGAGTTGCGGAGAGGCACCTGGAGTGGTGGAGGTGGAAGCAGAAGCAGTGGTGGTGGTGGTGGTGGCTGGTGATGGTGTTGACAGCGGTGGAAGAAGGCGGGGAGGCAGTGGTGGTGGTGTTGGTGGTGGATGAAGTGACAGGCAATGGAGGGAGTCGCTCGCGGGAGGTGGAGACGGAGAAACGACGGTCGAGATCGTCGTCGGGGTAGACGCCAGGGGCAGCGGGCAGATGCTCGACAGATCGGAATGCAGACGCGGCAGCAGACGGCTTGTGCTTACGGCGAAAGAGGGGCATGGAGAAGGGTGAGGGAAAGAAATGATGGGAGAGAGAGAAGGGGGAAGTGAGAGAGAGAGGGAGAGGGAGAGTAAGACGGAGGAGAAGAAGGAAGGGAAAGAGGAAAAAAGAAGGAAGAGAGAGGGGACAGAGAGAGATAGGCCAATGCAGGAGGATGAGATGGGATTCAATTAAGAAAGTGAGCCATTGGGTCCGGGCGGCCCCCAAGACGGGCTAAACTTGCACAGCCATTGGACTCGAGGCCAAACAACTACTAACAACTTAACAAGACAAGATACTAGTTCAAGGCTGGTGCTGACGGTCGCCCTTTTAGCTGCAGTCCAAAGCCTCGCCTCCACGTTTCACCCTTTACTAGTAGAGACCATGGGAGATCCACTGTCAACACCTTGAATGTCTCAATTCATTCGCATTCATGTATCGGAGATGTCTAGCATCATTGTATCCGTAATATGTCCATGCTTCATATACAGCCCATGGCCACCATCTTCCCCCTGTTATCTAACAGAGTCTACTCTTAACACACACCGTGGGTCTTGCCATGCTTGCCCTGCAAGGAATGGCTCTCGTTCTTGTAGTGAGGGTGCACATGCTTAGACTTGTGCGAGTTGGTCGAGTGCACCCGGACATGACTACTTCCGTTAGCCTCCACTCAAGTAGTTGGCACAATTCTCATCCAGGGGAACTTACTGAGTGTACCGCTCCAACATCGCCTTGTCCATGTCGCTGAGCGTCTTCAAGGCCAGCTTAATGTCCGCCAGCAGCGCATCGCACCGGTTCTTGCTAAAGTCCTCGCGCACCACCACCCGCATCAGCTTCAGCGAGTTGCTGTTGGGCGCCATCGTGTAGGCCGGGACGATCCACCCACGCTCACGCAGCTGGTGCGCCAGCGCAAACTCGTCAAACTGCTCCGAGTCGCGGTCCGCCGGCAGCCGGAACGCCACCAGCGGCAGGCCCTTGCCGCGACGCTCGCTCATGATCACAAAGCCCAGCTGCTCCAGCTGGTCGGCTAAGTAGTCGGCAGTGCGTGTGATGTTCGTCATGATCGACCGGTAGCCCCGCTTGCCCAGTCGGATCATCTGGTAGTACTGTCCAATGACCTGCGACGCGCCCTTGGAGAAGTTCAGCGTGAAGCTGGCCTGCTCGGCTCCCAGGTAGTTGATGTTGAAGATCAGCTCCTTGGGCAGGTACTCGGGCGAGCGCCAGACAACCCAACCAACACCGGGGTACACCAACCCGTACTTGTGACCAGACACGTTGATGGACACCACCTTGGACAGACGGAAGTCCCACTCCAGGTTGGGGGCAACGAAGGGAGCGACGAAACCACCACTGGCGGCATCGACGTGGATGGGGCAGTCAATGCCCCGCTCGACAAGGAGGTCGTTGATGGCCTTGACGTCCTCGTACTCACCGGTGTAGGTGGTGCCCAGGATGGCACAGATACCAATGGTGTTCTCGTCCACCAGGTCCACGGCCTGCTTGGGATCAATGACGTAGCGGTCTTCCGTGCAGTAGACGTAGCGCTCCTCAACATCGAAGTAGCGGGCGGCCTTCTCCCAGCACACCTGGACGGCACTGTTCATGACAATGTTGGGCTTGGAGGCATCCTTGCCCTCCGCCCTGCGCTTGTTCTGCCACCGTCTCTTCATGGCCAAGGTGCCCAGCATGATGGCCTCGGATGAACCGATGGTAGAGGTACCCATGGGGTGTTCGTCATCACTGTCGGTGGGAGCGTTGAACAGACGGGCGATCATGTTCACACAGCGGTTCTGGATCTCAGCGGATTGGGGGTATTCCTCGTAGTCGATGAAGTTCTTGCTGAAGGACTCGGTCATGAGCTTCTCAACTTCCTCTTCCTACTCGAATTAGCATTGGCCTGGAATTCTTAGAAAAAGGACACTTACCATGTAGGTTGTCACGAAACTCGCAAGGCTGTCAAGAAATCAGCATCTGCACATGTCTTGCTATCCACAGAACCTACTTGAGCATGGGGTTACCATCCAGACTGAGCTCATCCTTGATCATACGGTAGGCCACCTCACGGGGCATCTCCCGCTCCGGCATCTCAGTCGAGGGGAGCTGCTCCGTAGCAAAACGAGTGCCGTAGACGCTGGAGTAAAAGGCATCGTCCTCAGCAGAGTCCAGCTGGATGGAGCCGACCTGTTGAGCGGTCTTCTCGACATCACTGTCGCGCTTAACCTGAGCAAGATGGACCATTGTGCCGAATTGGGATGTGTAGATGTGATTGAAGAGTGAGAAGAGAGAAGAAAGTGATGCTAGAAAACAGCCACAGGAAAAAGGGGGAGCGCAGTGATGTAAATAAGAGAAAGGAGGGGCGCAACAGCAGGCTCCCACCATCAGCCAACGGCCGTCAATCCAGTTAGCTCATTGAAACTGGTCCCCTGCTCCCTGCTCTGGCCTGCCGCAACATCCGTCAGCTCAGACAACACGGGAGGAGGGAACAGCCAACGAGTGGCTGTTGTCCTCAGCCCCGAGAGGGGAGTGGCAGCCACTCATGGAGCTCCTTTCCTGTAGCTCAGACAGTGTCCGAAATCCTAGACTAGTGCTGTAAACGCCCATTGCCAGTGACGGAGGGACGCAGCGAGTGGGTATCGAGGTTTGGGACCCCTCTCTCGTGTGGCCGGATGGGCGAATCACCAGACAGTGACCAGGGACACAGCGCTAAAGCTTAAGGAAAGCTTGGCCTGGATCGGTCGGCAACCGGTGGGAAGTGTCTCAGCCACGATGGGAATGGAGTCAAGATGGAGACTGATTCACCCAAAAGTCCGAAAGAGGGGAAACCGAGGACGAAAGGGAGGCGCGAATTCCCTCATCGTGGGGCGGCAAGTGGAGGGGCTGACGGAGGGATCGGCCAGGCAAGTGATATCATGGCTGACTAGCCGATCGAGAGGATTCCCTTTCTTGGAAGGCCTTGGAAGGATCACCAGAAAAAAAGAAGGAGAAGAGAAGGCAATAGTACTCAATAGTGACCAGATAGACAGGAAACGTGTGTGGGGGAAGACGAGAGTCTCCCAGCAGAGGAATAGTTGCGAGTTTGAAAAGAAGCTATTGATGGAGCATTTGAGAAAGAAGCGGCAGTCGTCACGGGGAATTCTTTTCCTGTGGTTCCAACTAAACCCAAACTGACCCTGGCCTATGCCTCGTAATAATTAATTAATTCCGATAACCACTGCCGTGGTCCTCGTCGCTGTGATGTAAATGGCGGTGAATTGCCGTGATGTGTTGTCCTTTTGGCAACTATCCACTCTTGGGAATGGCTTCGCCAAGCGCCCGGGTTGGCAGCTCCAGCTATCGGTTTCTCTCTCTGCTACAATAATTATAGTGCTACGTCAACCTCTAAAGAAAGAAAGAATGTTTCAATGTCCTTCGGAACCACCCAATTAAAACAATAATCAAAATCATCATATTTCCCCTCCATTACCATTAAAAGCCAATTACATACACATCGTCCCAGTCTCGGCCCATGCAGCCAGCCCAGATGAACATGAACATCAACATGAACGTGAATGTGAACATGAACCATACATCCGTCCGAAATACAAAACACTGCTTTGCAGCATCCCAATCAGAAAGCCCAGTCCAGCCCAATCAAGCAATCAAGCAATCAATCCCTGGTGGTATCCTATCCTGGCCATTCATATCGTACACCCGCCATCCATCATCATACTAGTATGGCGTTATGTTATCTCTGGTATCTTTCTGCCTAGCCTGCATCATTTTTTTTTTTTCTTTTCCCTTGTTCCAATTTTTTATTGGGTTTTGTGTTTTCCTTTTTTTGAATATCCATCACTCCATGCAATCATCCATGTTGGGGTATCAGCAATATGGGCTCCTGGGTCGGCAACCGCTCACCAAAGGAGCCAAAAGATCATTCCGGAGGAGAATATCCTCCGGCAGGAAACGAGCATAGAAACAAGGCAGAACTCTAGTTCTTCTCACCCTTGATCTTGCGCTTGAGCCAGGCGAAGAGTCCGCTCTTGCGCTTCTCGGCCTTGCTGCTTTCCGACTTGGCAGTCTCCTGGGGCTTGCCGGCCTCGCCCTTCGCCGTGTCCTTGGCCTGCTCAACACTCGTCTTGCCTTCCTCAACCTTCGGGGCAGCGGCGCTTCCCGCTTGCTGGGTCTCTTGTCCAGCTTGAGCGGTTTCGGGCTGAGCAGTAGAGGTGCCTTCCGTCTGAGGCTCCGCGGACTTGACCTCCTCGGCTTTCTGAGCAGCAGCGCCTTCCTCTTTCTGAACCGCCGATACGCCTTGAGTCGCCGGGGTCTCAGACTTCTGGGCTTCTTCCTGCTGAGGCTTCGTGTCCTTGATCGTCGAGGGAACAACGCTGCGACGCTTTGAAGACTCCTGCGCCTTGGCCGCCTGCTCCTTGTCTTCCGCGGCCTTCAGGGGCTGTTCTGCCTCAGAGGCAGCGGGTTCAGCAGTGGACTTCTCCACAGTCTGGTCTGCCGCTCTGCTCTCCTGTCCAGAGGGCCTAATGATGGTGCTGGGAACAACAGCAATAGGCTCGCTGTCTGCGGCTGCGGTCGGGGCATTGGTGGCCGCTGCTGGACTCGGCTGTGTCACCTCCTCGGACGCCTTCTTGGCACCGCCAGTGCTCTCTGGCGCTTCAGAGGTAGGTGCTCCAGAGGGAGCGATGGCTGCAGCAGTCTCTGGCTTGGTAGAAGCTTCCACTGGAGCGACAGCTGTCGTGCCAGCAGCCTCTACGCCGGATGGCGCTTCGGTAACCTTTGCCGGGACACTCTCGGTGGTTTGAGGCAGTGTAGTGCTGGACGTAGCTCCAGCATCCTTGCCCGTCGCGGCAAGCCCGGGAACTTCCAAATCCTTCGATGCCTCACCTGCGGAGCCAGCACCAAGCCCGGGGACAACCTGTGGCTGGACAGTGGTGCCACTAGGAACTTGAACGGTGTCTGCAGCGGCTGCCTTCTCGGTGGCAATGGCTGGTTCATCCTCCACCTTGGGCATCTTGTGAGGCTTGTAGTCGTCCTCCTTGGTGGTGACGCTGCTCTCGTAGGGGCGCTTCACGTGGGCATCGGCGGTCTCGGGCTCGAGGGCACTGGTTCTGACTGGCAGGGATGTGGTATCCGCATTGGAAGCTTCGAGGGCGCAGGTAGAAGGTAGTACAGCTGGTGAGGACCGTCGTTAGTAAACCATCAGCCCTGCGCAACATGCGCAACCGTTGAGCTCAACTTACTCGTTCCCTCCTCCACTGTCTCCTCCTGGGCAGTCTTCGTCTTCAGCGCAGCGTCATCTGTGATGCCATCGTTTACCTTGGGGAATGCGGTATTGACTGCATTTGAGGCCTCCTCAGTGAAGTTAACCGGAGGGGCAACCGCGGGGACAGGTGCGGTAGTGTCAGTAACGGTGGCCTCGGGTACCGCAGTAACTGCAGGACCAGTTTCAGCCGCGGCGGCTTCGCTACCACCCTTGGCGACAATTTCAGGGACGGTGGTCTCGGGCGCCGTGGTCACACCAAGGTCGGCTCCAGCCTTAACGTCGCTTTCCTCCTTGGTAGCTGTTTCGGGGACGACAGTCTCAGGCACAGTAGTGTCAGTGACGCCTGCCTCGGTAGCGACAGCTTCAATCTCACTGTCGCTCTTGGGGACTGTTTCCTCAACCTCGTTGGCCGGTGCACTGTTCCGGAGAGAAAAATGTCAGTGTCATTGTGCGAAATAAGCCTGCGAATGACAACACAACAGCACAATTGGGGGCGCAATTGAGTTCAACTCACACATTGTTCTGGACGTCGACTGCTTTCTTCGCGGCCGCGGCAGCACCACCGCCCTTCTTGCCCTTGCCCTTGTTCTTTCCTCCTTTCTTAGGCATTGTGATGGATTATCCTGTGCAGCAGCGATCTTGTTAGAGCGCGGGCGATGACGACAACGACTCAATGCAGCAGCTGTGGGTGAACAAAACTTACTGTCTGTGCGAGCGGAATGGACACGAATCGTGGATGCGAAACGTCGAGGTCGTGCGATTCCGAGAATGGGGATTAAGAACCAACGGCAGATGAAGTGGGAAGTTAGGGGCGGGCTGGTCTGGTATGTTGCCCTGTGGCCCTTTCCGATTGCCTAAATCGATTCGGGGAACGTTAATCCGTGGAGGGCTGGGACAAGGTGCAATTAATTCGGGCAACGCTGGAACACCGGCACTTGATTTTGTTTTGAGCTGCACGCGACAAGTGCAATGCAATGTGAGTAGACTCATAGCCCGTGTTGTAGTCAAGCAGGTGCCAGTCGCACAGGAACAATCTTTGAATGAATGCTGTGGGAGCGGGGGAATCCAAACGAGGGCGAAAGTCACGCCGCGGTCACATGGGGTCGTGTCGAAGGGGACGACAGGGTAAGATTGGAAGGGGTACAATGCACGCGGATCCAAATATGGGTGGAATTGCGCGTGGGTTGAGGGTTGCAGATGTTTATTACCTGCAGGCGCTTTCCCTGGGCTCGACTTGAATCCCTACAAAGCTCCTTCATCTCTTTTCAACACTCTGCTCTCAGTCATGACTACAAAAAAAAGACAAGAATTACGTTGGCCAGCCATGATGGCGGTTGCTATTCTGCACCAGACCGAACTCAGCTCATGCGCTGCTTGCGGCTTCTACAGGAATGGCAATTACGAAGCGATTGAGTGTCAATCTGTATGGCAGCTGGAGCTGGCGCACATCCCCCTGATTCCGGCGATTTGGGACTGTACCTGCAGCATGGGCTTAACAAGCCATGTTAAGCGGGCTAATTCTCAAGCTTGCAGACGATCCCCATCCCGCCCGACGGGCCCTGAGTTTATCCGAGGCGAGCCGTCCGCACAAGGCAAGGTCTCACTTGACCTGGAACGAAGTACAATGCCATTATGCATGGCTCATAGCTAATTAATGAGAGGTTGAACTTGCAGGATATCTATTGAGCCACTAACCAAAACTATCAGGATCATCAACCACAGAATCCAGTCTGCTGCTACACAACCTTACTACGAGGTACTTTGTAGAAAGAGGTACAGAGTACGAGGTGACGGTGACACCCGCGCCCGTGTTCAATCGGTCGATTGCATCATGAAGCATGCCGTCGGGTCCAGGATCGGCCAAACCCGGACAGGGAATGAAGGTCTGGGACCGTTTCCGGTCAACATGCCAGCCGTCGTGTCCTTGACCAATTCAGTAGTGAAAGCCAAGAACGAGCCATCTACCCTGGATAGACACAGTATGGACTACGGAGTACTCATACTATGGCTTTCTCTAATGTAGGCATCACGTGGCTATAGCTCTAATTTGACACAACCCACCACACAAACGTCTGGTATATATTGAGTGGCTCGAGCTGGAACGGCCCCAAACGGCAGCGCAAGGTGGCCACTATGGCCACTATGTACTTCTGCATCCCTTGCTGGTGACAGGTGGCCAAGTTGTCAATCTCGTCTGCGCCCCCACTGTCGGGGACGTATGTATACATGCCCGAAGAAGTTACGGCGAACCTGAAGGGCGTCTGGGAGGCAAAACCTGGGGTGTGTTGCTGCCATGACATCATGATGGAAGGAGTTGATGGCGGTTGCGATGCCACGCCGAGTTGACGGCCCAACAACGTGCCAGATTTGGTAAGCCCCCTTGCATCTCACACAATCTAAGTTTCAGTTCGTGGTGATTTGGTGGTTATGCATGGCTGCGATGTACATTTCCACACTGCGTGCCTGACGAAAGCGAAAGAAAGATATATCAAATATGAGCATTAGGCATACCCTAGAAGGGTGAGAGATGCGATAGCAGCAAAAAAGAATGACCTACGCAGGACTCGAACCTGCAATCTCTTGATCCGTAGTCAAGCGCCTTACCATTGGGCCAGCAGGCCTATTTGATGGGAAATGATGGTAGCAATTTGTTATATGAGCCAAAGGTACCGTTTTGGTCACCGGAAGTACCGTGCCGAGTGGGGGCAACTCCGAGCACTTCCAGCGGGGCAGTCGGAATCCACGACCATCCCAGCGTTATCATTCGTGCAAACACTTATCGTCCAGAGTTGGTTCATTATCTCATTAGTCAAACCATTTGCTACTGTGTTACTTGTCTGAGAGCCTCTTGTCCCAGTGGCACCGTTCTCGTTCCGGCGACTGACGTGGGATACCACCAAGTACTAGGTAGTCATCTGCCCCAGCCTATCTACATCCGACAGCAAACAGAACGAAGCATTCACGAGGGGACAAATGGTGGGTGATGCCGGGGGTCGCAGGGTTACATCCCGATCGCTAAGATGGAAGACAAGAAATACAGAAGATTGACTCGAGTCGGTGGTGGCACGTAGATCGGACCGTCTTGGCTGTGTTTCTGGAATCGTTCGGTGCAGGACCACGACAGCAAAAAACGACGCCTTGCTTGATCTATTTGCCATTGCCACACACACTCACACTCACTCACACACCATCATGCAAGTTCTGCCGGCTGGGCGATAGTACACCGAGATATACACCTGTCTTCTGCTGCAATTTTACGAGCCCAGCCCAGTCCGTCGGCTGGCCGGCTAGCCAGCCAGCCCTGCAACATGTTGGGGCAAAGTGTAAGTGAGTGGTGGGAAAAGAGAACCTAGAGTTCTCCCTCTTGCAACCCAAATGGATCTCCTCGGCCGGAGATGCTTGACTTCCCGACCACTCGTAATGCGAGACCCGGTCTGGAGTTGGCGCATCCAAACCATGGTTTTGGATAGGACCTTTTTGGCTTAAGGTAGCACCTGTTCTGGCGATGCAACCCGACGGTGAACCTCCCTCCCATGGATGTTTGATTGGAAGGAGGGGACACCGAAGGGGGGCAGTTTACGGTTCAGAATCAAGGGGTTAGTCAGCCTGGGCTGGGAAAGGCAGAATCGGGACTCGGCACTCCAAGGCCGAGTTTGCAGAGCGCCGCGGAAAAGAATGACAATGAGGGCAAAATGAGCGAAATATTTCATGGGAAATACACTAAGAAAAATGTCATGTCTGGTTGTGTCCCGCTTGAAGGAGAGGAGGGGAAAGTGAGTGGTGATGATGACGATGAAGACTTTCTTCGCCATCCTGTCATTCTTTGTACTGCAATTCCCTCTCTCATCATCTGTTATAAGTTATTCTAAATATTAATTCCCTCAAAAGCATGGAATTTATGATCTAGCATATTCCTTCGCCAAGTGACACAAAACCCCAAGACAAGAACTAATCTACTGCACTACTTGCTACACTCCAAGTCTCACTCCCTTCTCGTTTCCGGCTAAGAACAATCAGGCTAAGCTTGGGAAATTCACGCACAACCCTCCCTCCAGGTGGATCCTCCACGTTCGGCGTTGTTTCTCGTTCACGCCTCGGATTTGGCCGCAGGTAATCGCGGCTTACCAGTTACCGGGCAAGACACTTTCTCTTACCCTCCCAAGAAAGTCCCAACCTTCCCAGTCCCAGAGCCGTGGGGTTACCTTGGCCTGTGCAGAGCAAAAGTAAGGTCAAGCGAGCCATGATAAGTCACCTTCCGGTAAGTCAATGGCCCCCCAGTGCATTCTGGGAATGGTTTACTCCGTTGGATGGAGCCCCGTCCTGGTGGTATGGGACTAACGGCATGGTGCCTCGCACCGCTCGTTCCAATCAGATCCCTTCCACTTTGAACTACGAGTAATTAATTCCCCATCGCATTGTATCATAGGTATGGACGCTGATTCCGATTACTCCTCCCAGTTAGTCGTGCCTTTTCTCTGGCTCTGGCTCTAACTTGGACTGCTGCTCCATTAGTTCCTTGACATAACCCCCATCATATCTCTCTCTCTTCCTTAGTTACTCTTTAGTCTAGCCCTTCCTTCCTTCCTCTCTTCTCCCTCTTACTTCACTATCTACTCTCCCCTCTTCTTCCTTCTTTCTTCCTTCTTTTCTTCTACTCTCCCCTCTTCTCCCCTCCACCCCCTCTCCCTCCCACCCCACACTTGGTCTAGGCAAACGATGATACGAGGGTTTCTGGACCTACTCGATTGTCGTCTGTGCTTGCACACCCTCCCTCGCGTCCATTCCCTTCCCGGGAAAGGTATGCAACATTGAGGTACTGAGTCGACGGTTGAACGCATAAACCCTCCTATAATACATCGGCCTTCCACACATATCGGCACCATACACCACCATATCGCCTGGCTTTCCCACGCCGGTCAACATGAGTTTCCGAGAAAAGGTGCGGAGGGTGTTCCGCCGGTCCAGCAGTGGGTCCTCGTCCAAGGGCAAGGGCAATGGAATCAAGATCGAATACTACAAACGCGGTGAAATCCCTCGGTCGAAGTTCAAGGGCCCTTTCGACAAGGAACATCAACGGAAACTTGCAGCATGGTCATTTCAGGACGCCCAAGCGGAACGCCCGCGTACTCCCGATCTCAGCCTCTCCCCCTGTGCATCTATACCGGATTTCCTGAGAGCGCGGTACGAAGAAGACGCCGCCGACGACCTCGCCCCCAATCAGATCCAGACAGTACCACCCGAAGTAGATGTGACAGTTGGTATGTGGAATACTTCCCTTCGTCAGCCCTTTGGGATGTTGTCCAGCCTTGGACCTATCATAAAATATGCCATGTGTAACGATCAGCCATCTGACCAATCACCAGATTCCCCTTCGGTTCACCATGACGAATACGCCTGCGGCCGACAAGGAGAGAGTGGCTCATCGTCATCCACAGCCGTGGAGCCTGAAAGCTACAGCGAGTCCCTGATGACTCTGTTTGCCGACTTCGACCGGGTTGACTCGATCGCCCAGCTGAAAGAAACGATCCGCTACACTTCCCCGGCTGTACGAGCGATTTCGCCGCCCCCCTTGTCGCCCAAGGGGTGTTACATGCCATTCTCACCGGAGGAGCTGACACGGGCGTTGAACGCCGTGCAGATCTGCTCATAGTACCTTTTTTTAATTCGCTCCGACTTCCGGCAAGATCTTCGCTTCCTTGCATCACGTGATGCCACTTCACTATGGATACCGACCCTATCGACAAATGGTCCCCTTTCTTTTCTATTTCCGACTCCGCCATCCTTTTCCACCTTCTCCTTTAGATTCCTCTATGCGACACAGGTGTGAGCATCTTACCTTCTTCGAACCCTCCCGGCCCTGGGTCGCAGAAGGCGGCATTGAATACCCGGTCGTGTTCAAGGCTGCCATTTTTCGTCGGCTGACGCAGTCTACATATGCAATTCAGGCGTGAGGGGCGTCTTGGTTTTATTGCATATGCCTTGGACGGAGTCGGTCCCTTTCCACGCATGAAACGAGCAATGTTCGAAAAAGCGTCTGTTTTGTGCTTTTGCTTCGTGCATTGCGTTTAAGCGTATACCCATCCAACAGAGTTGCTTGGTTTCCCAATCCCGTCATGTGTGCTGGTGCCTAGTGGGTGCCTACTACTAGCACCGAGGAGTATCCCACCGGCCACTGACCAGACTTGTACTTAATGTACCTATCTAACTGTAAGGTAACACAATGAAGAAATAATAATAAAAAAAGACCTGCCATATACTGTAGTGTACGCAGTAGGACGGGGTAGATTAGTGAGCCACCTCGCCTCACTCCAGAAAGCAATAAGCAATAAGTAATAAGAATAAAAGTAAAGTACCCCATACGGAGTAGACCAAGCCACTATCGACAATAAGCCTCGTCAATCATTCCATCCTAGTCTGCGCCACACACGCATCATCACCAAAGCCAAACCCAGTGTCAGACGCAGTTGACAACAGGGAAATGATTCCCTCCCCCTCGCGCCAAGACATTCCAGACTCGATCATCCCTCCGGTTGGATACTTCAGCCAACTTTTTGACTTTTTACTTTTTTTTGATCCATTTAAAGTATATACTTTTTTTACTACGGAGTAAAAAGTGACCAGGTAGACTAGACCCGGTTTGATCGACGGTGCCGGAAAGCACTAGTTTGGGTTCTCACTGTTAATAGTGTGTTTGGAGGGGGGCTTGATTCGGTACATTGGGTTCTTATCGTAGGCGTTTGTTTGTCCGGGCGTTCGTTCGGGTCCGGTCGGTCGGTTTGTCGGTTCGGTCGGGAACTTGAACTTGACTTGGTTGTTTGCTTGCTTTGCTTCTTGGTGTGTTTGGTGTACTGATGAGCTCGATATTATTTTATTTGATGCTTTTGTTGTTGTTTTCGTACTTGCATGGTTCGTATTTAATCTGATGCTTATGAGGGAAGGGGGGGGAGGCTGGCTGGATGGATGATTTTGGTGAAGGAGGGAGGGGTGAGGGATGATGATCGTGGTGTGGTGTGGTGGGTGCAGTGGGTGGTGGCTATAGTGTGGAGGGGAAAAGGTGCATTAGTATCACCGTCTTCTTAGGTCGGTTGGACTAGACTGGATTGTGGATGGTAAAGTGGATGTTGCTTCTGGGGTGCAGGACTGGGTTTTCTTTTGTTTTCTTGGGATTATACTATGATTTTGTTGGTATAATACTATCTTGATGTTTACTGCTGTAAGTACTGATAGTATGTATATATTCACCCGCCACTATGCGGAACTTACTAGTTCATGACGCTGTAGTTTGTTGAGTAGAATTCAACAACCAATCAATAGATTCATCACAAATAAAACAAATATGCTGGATGCTGATAGCTAATATGTAAGCATGTGTTTAGACTGCTTGTGTTCTTCCCAGGTCGATGCGTAAGTAGGTCTTTGCTTCTGCGCTGACGAAGTTAATCTGTACCATCATGTAGCTAGCTGGGTAACTATTGATGGCATGGCTCAGCTGAACTACAGAGTACTTAGTCTACACTATTTCCCATGCTTAGTGTCTGCATGTGTTGGATGGGTTTCAAACTATTTGGCTAGATTGGCAATTTCTTGCTTCGTACCTGTGTATGATCAATTGTGCCTGATGTAGTGGGTGACGCAATCTCCATTAGGATTGGATGGTACAAGCATCCTGAATTCATACATCTCAATGTGAAGATGAGATATCTTGGCAAACTCCTGGTACTTAATTGTGTGGTCTTGGAAAATCTTTTAGATGTGGTATTGTAGCGGAACATATTTACATGAGAGCGTGCGTAAGCTTAAGATCTTTGACCTGCAACGCGGAAATAGAAATCAATACTCTAAATCCTGGATAGACCACGTCTTCAACCTTGTTCTGACAAGTCATCGCGTAGAATAACAGAGTATGCCTATCGATTGACTCATACAGTGCAGTTCTACTGCGACGTTTCTACACATCTAGATCTCCCTTGCTCTCATTCCTGGCTTGCGATATGCCGGCACCGCCCTTTACCGCTTCGTTCATGTATGCTAAACAGCATTAATTCCCCAAAGCTTTATCTGCCTCACACAATGACTCTATTTCGTCATCATATCAATAAACCCGTTCGCTCTCTGTATTCTAGTACTAGCAAACCGGTATTATCTTCCAAGACCATTTCCCCACTCTGGCCAATAGAAGAAGAACGCAACCCACACTACAATCCTAGGAAATACTATCCCGCCCGAATCGGAGAGTCCATAGGGAAATACCATATCATCTCTAAACTAGGATGGGGTGCTAATTCCACCGCTTGGTTGGCGAAAGATACATCTTAATCAGTCAAGCATAGTATCTAACCGTAGCTGCACACTAGATACCTATCTAACACCGCAAAGCTGGCCCTGGCAATCGACCAGATACGTAACCTTGAAGATCACGAACTCTGGTGCTGAGGAGAAGAAGGCCGCGGAAGATGAACTACAAATATCGCAACATATTGCCGGTCTGCGGTCTGAGCACGAAGGTCGTGCGTATGTCAGACTGGTTCAAGATTGGTTTCAAATACAAGGTATCCTTGGAGACCATCTCTGCTTGGTCTTTGAGCCATTAAGGGAGCCGATTTGGCTTCTAGGACGACATCTTGGAAGCAAAGGGGTGCCTCCACAGGTTCTTAAAGCTTTCTTGAGGGTTATATTGTGTGGCCTGGATTTTCTACATTCTGAATGTCATGTCATGCACACAGGTAAGTAAGGTATTGTCCTGATAGTATCCTATCTACTAACTGACCGCAGATCTGAAAGCCGATAACTTCCTCATCGGATTCGAGGATACTACCGTCCTTGATCAGTATGTCCGCCAGCAAGAACTCCATCCCGCACCGCATGTTCTTCGGAATGGTCGTCCTGTTTTCGAATCCCGGAACGACTTTGGGCCACTCAAGAGAGGAGTAGGCTTGCTGAGGATTTCCGACTTCAGTGCTGCCGTTTTCGGGGATGTATCGACTCCGCACAACCATGACATACAGCCTCAACCATTCTGTGCCCCTGAGGTTCTGCTAAAGGCTGGTTGGTCGTATAGTGCTGATATTTGGAATTTGGGGACAGTAGTAAGTCAAAAGAAAATAGTTCGTCGTGATGTATACTCACAGTTACCACGATGCAGCTTTGGGAGCTATCTGCCGATGATACGCTTTTTGATGGAGTATGCCACGAACGCCGAGGGATATTCCCGGGAGGTGCATATCGCCCAGATTATACGGCTTTTGGGGCCTCCTCCCTCACAGTTTATGAACAAATGTGATCCGCATATACGCAATGACTTGTTTTCGCCTCAAGGTATGTTATACGTAATTTCGATGGGCTGCAAGCGCTAATTGCTGGACGTCTCTAGGGACATTCAAGTTCCCTGAGTTGATTCCATCGGAAGAATCTAATTTCTCCAATATGACGCCTTTCTTACAGGGAGAGGATCAACGTCTGTTCATTGATTTCGTTCGTAAAATGCTCCAGTGGGAACCGGAGCGTCGGTCGAGTGCGAAGGAGATTTATAACGATCCTTGGCTTTACTATAATCCTTGATTATATGGTATCTAATCATGATATGCTTGGATTCTAGTATATTGTAGTATGGTCACATTTATGGCATAATTTTGGTATCCTTCCTAGTCATCAATCATAGCAGGCTGTACATGGTTGCACCAGAAGTAATCCCGGCGGGGCTTACTCTTCATGGGTCACCGTCATATCCAGCACCTCCACACGTCCTCTGCCCCGGGTCTCGTTGCCCACAAATTCATTCAATCCCTTGAAAGCTCCCGGCTCAGCAAAGCCAATGATCTCCCACTCGTCTCCGCCGACAACCTCCTGAGCCTCAATAGATTCGATATAGCTCAGGATCTTATCCTTGACATTGCTCGGACCCTTGGCAGGTGCGGACTCTGCGTCAGATCCACCTGCCTCATCCTCGGATTCCTGCTGACGGGCTTTCTTGGACCCCTTTCCACCCTTCTTGTTCGACTTGGAGCCGCTCTTGGACGGCGCCTCCTTTTCTTTACCACCCGCGGCAGCACCACCGGCCGCACCACCCTTAACACTCTGCTTCAACAGTGACACAGGACAGGTGACACGGAGGCGCATCCGCGCCCGCATCACAGGGATAGGTTGCCATGCAATAAGCGCCTTCATAGCTTCAAGCGCTTGACTCTTCGCCGACTTGTTGGCCGTCACACCCGTCCAGAGCGGTTTCCTCGGGCGGCTCTCCTCGCTGTCGTCCCCATTAGTCTCCCCATTGCCAGACGTTTGCGACTGCTGTTGACCACTAGCCGAGCTGAGCTGGTCCAAGGCCTTGGAAATCATTCCGGGGGTATAGACTCGCTTCGTCGTAGGATCAACAAGCCGTCCTGATACGATATCCAACACCTCCTTCTCCACGCGCTCGATGATTTCCTTGCGCTCACGCTCGCCAACTTGCACTTCACCCTTTCGTAGAATTTCTTGCCGGATCTCATCTGCAGGCGTGTCGGCGCCGAAGGCCTTTGTTAACTCGGCGGATGGGGCTGTTTGCGCTTTGGAAACCGACAGGAAGATCGTGGGGACTTGGAGGACATTGTCGAGATCCTTCTCTGCTCCGGAGCGGTACTCGAGGAGTTTGTTCTTGTAGCAGGCGAGTTCGAAGCGCTTTTTACCTGTTGGTGAAACGGTTAGCGGGGTTGCGGGGCCGACTGGAAGTTTCGCAGGCAGTTTTTCTTTCTACGCTGAATTTGCGCATGATCTCCCCACATTATTGACAGACATGCCACGCAAGACGATCGCAAATGAAGGGCCACACATGCATATCAATACGTACCCTTTTTTAGCCTGACGACTGATACGTTGGTAAATTTAATCTGATTTGATGGTTGGTTGATGGGCATGTTGCTGGAAGCCTCTGCGACAAAGCAAGAGGCTCTTGTGTATACACAGAGTCAATTCAGGTAATATATGGAATCGGTATACTCGCAGGTGCGTCAGTGAGGAGGATTATGTTTCGAATGCGCTGAAAAAAATGCTGTTGATAGCCTAAGGTAGTCACCCGACGGGCTTGTGATTGGAGGAAACCGCAATGACGCTGGTCCCGTGCCATGAGCTGACTCAGCTGGCTGACTCAACGCGTGACTTTCTGCAAAGGGAAGGCACCGGCATGTGATTGGTCGCCTTCCGTTCCTGCTATCGAGGCGTCATCGCCTACAGCCCATCGAGTACACCTCCTCTTCTCTCCTCTCTCCTTCCTTCCTTCCTCTCCATCCTCTTCTGGGTTTCCATTGATCACCCAGTAGCTGGTATTTTCTGAGCTACTTGCTTTTTCTATTTTGATACTTTTGTGTCCGTAAGTTCACTTTATGCCCTCTGACCCCCCCCTTGATAACCCGTGCTGATAAGCTCCCTGCCCAGGTACCGTACCTTCCAGACCGCAAGGTACCCATCCTCTGCCTACTCATCCCATCACCATCTCAATTCATACCGGCCCCGTAGGGTTTCAGCAACAATGAGAGTCCTTCCAGCTGCTATGCTGGTTGGAGCGGCCACGGCGGCCGTTCCTCCCTTCCAGCAGGTCCTTGGAGGTAACGGTGCCAAGCACGGTGCCGACCATGCGGCCGAGGTCCCTGCGGATCACAGTGCCGACGGGTTCTCCAAGCCGCTGCACGCATTCCAGGAGGAACTGAAGTCTCTCTCTGACGAGGCTCGTAAGCTTTGGGATGAGGTGGCCAGCTTCTTCCCGGAGAGCATGGATCAGAACCCTCTCTTTTCCCTCCCCAAGAAGCACAACCGCCGTCCCGACTCGCACTGGGACCACATCGTCCGCGGCTCCGACGTTCAGAGCGTCTGGGTCACTGGTGAGAACGGTGAGAAGGAGCGCGAGGTCGATGGCAAGCTGGAAGCCTATGATCTCAGGGTCAAGAAGACCGATCCTGGCTCTCTTGGCATCGACCCCGGCGTGAAGCAGTACACCGGTTATCTCGATGACAACGAGAATGATAAGCATTTGTTCTACTGTAAGCACACCTTGGTTCAAGATCACGCTTTTTATATGCTCTGGATATCTAACGCAACTTAGGGTTCTTCGAGTCTCGCAATGACCCCGAGAATGATCCCGTTGTTCTGTGGCTGAACGGTGGCCCTGGGTGCTCTTCCCTCACCGGTCTCTTCATGGAGCTTGGCCCTAGCAGCATCAACAAGAAGATCCAGCCGGTCTACAATGACTACGCTTGGAACTCCAACGCGTCCGTGATCTTCCTTGACCAGCCTGTCAATGTCGGTTACTCCTACAGTAACTCTGCTGTCAGCGACACGGTCGCTGCTGGCAAGGACGTCTATGCCTTGCTTACCCTCTTCTTCAAACAATTCCCCGAGTATGCTAAGCAGGACTTCCACATTGCCGGTGAATCTTATGCTGGTCACTATATCCCCGTCTTCGCTTCGGAGATCCTGTCTCACAAGAAGCGCAACATCAACCTGCAGTCCGTTCTCATTGGCAACGGTCTCACCGACGGATACACCCAGTACGAGTACTACCGTCCCATGGCCTGCGGTGACGGCGGTTACCCAGCTGTCTTGGACGAGAGCTCCTGCCAGTCCATGGACAACGCTCTTCCTCGCTGCCAGTCTATGATTGAGTCTTGCTACAGTTCCGAGAGCGCTTGGGTTTGTGTCCCGGCCTCCATCTACTGTAACAACGCCCTCCTTGCCCCTTACCAGCGCACTGGGCAGAACGTCTATGATGTCCGTGGTAAGTGCGAGGATAGCTCTAACCTTTGCTACTCGGCTATGGGCTACGTCAGCGACTACCTGAACAAGCCCGAAGTCATCGAGGCTGTTGGCGCTGAGGTCAACGGCTACGACTCGTGCAACTTTGACATCAACCGCAACTTCCTCTTCCACGGTGACTGGATGAAGCCCTACCACCGCCTCGTTCCGGGACTCCTGGAGCAGATCCCTGTCTTGATCTATGCCGGTGATGCTGATTTCATTTGCAACTGGCTGGGCAACAAGGCCTGGACTGAAGCCCTGGAGTGGCCCGGACAGGCTGAATATGCCTCCGCTGAGCTGGAGGATCTGGTCATTGTCGACAATGAGCACACGGGCAAGAAGATTGGCCAGGTTAAGTCCCATGGCAACTTCACCTTCATGCGTCTCTATGGTGGTGGCCACATGGTCCCGATGGACCAGCCCGAGTCGAGTCTCGAGTTCTTCAACCGCTGGTTGGGAGGTGAATGGTTCTAAAGACGTGCTACCACCGCATATAGACTTTCTGGTCATTTCGGTGACACTGCAGATATGTTTCTTAACGATAGTTTGAGCATGCTTGTCAATGCCCACTAGTCCCGATCCTTATATGTTGCATGGTATCTATGAGTTTTGTCACTATAGTGCATTATACATTTGTACTTCGTATGAGAATGAATCGATCGCATTTACACGCATATAAATAGTACCCAAACCGTCTGGACATGAATAAGGCCCGGCCAGTAGTTTACATACAGTGTAGAAAACTAGGCGTACAGACGTCTCAGTACGTAATCAATGGTTAAAAAAACCACTCCCATAGAAGCCAAGCCATAAGAGCCTACTCATGTAGTTCGCCACTGAACGCACCCGTATATCGTAAACCAGCAGAAAGAGAAAAGGAAAATTGAGGAAAGGACGATTTGGTATTCATTCATATTGGTATGATTCTTTTCATTTCGGACACGGCATTTTCTAATATTGTTCCCGGTCCCAGGGAAGATTTCGTTAAAAAAATCCACACCAAGATACACGAAAGGAATCCATCCTTCCCACGATCCACTCCAGCAAGTACGAAGAAACAAACGCAGATGATATGACCCCGATGATTGTTTTTTTAGTTCTTCTTCTTGCTGACACCGACGGTGCGTCCACGACGACCGGTGGTCTTGGTGTGCTGACCGCGGACACGGAGACCCCAGTAGTGACGGAGACCACGGTGGGAGCGGATCTTCTTCAGGCGCTCGAGATCCTCACGGATCTTGCTGTCGAGGGAGTTGGAGACGACCTGGGAGTCCTTGCCATCGGTGATGTCGCGCTGTCTGTTGAGGAACCAGGTGGGGATCTTGTACTGGGTGGGGCTCTGGAGGATGGTGACGATACGCTCGAGCTCTTCGGTGGTGAGTTCACCAGCGCTGTAGAAAGTAGGAAAGTCAACTTGGCTGTTCTTGTATCTCCTGCCCTTTCAACCTCGTGGTGTTTGCTCTTCTCCCTTCTCTTGTCCGTGGAATCCACTCCCACTCTTTTATCCCCTGCCTCGCATTCGAACCATCGAGAAATGTAGTGTAGTGTAAACGTACCGCTTGCTGAGGTCAACGTCGGCCTTCTTGCAGACCAAGTTGGAGTAACGGCGACCAACACCCTTGATCTGGGTCAAGGCGTACATGATCTTCTGCTTGCCGTCAACATTGGTGTTGAGCAGACGCAGAATGTACTGGAAGTTCGTCTTCTCGCCGGACACGAGCGCTAAAAAATTCCAAAAACCGCAAGTCAGCCTTTCTGTCTTAAGAAATCGGTTGTTGCCATGATGATGATGAAAAATATTCAATGATTCCGTCGCTGCTGTTGCTGCCGTCTATATCCGCGATGATAGTCCTTTTCTCTTTTCTCCAAAACCCCAGCGATGAATATTTCCTCCAAAAATGACCGGCAAAAAACGAACAGCGACGGAAATCAAATAGGCAGGGTTGGAAATCCGATTTCAGGGTCATTCACGTACACATGATGGGCGATGGCGCGAAGGACCGCGATTGATTGTCGACAGGCGAGAGGGATGAGAAGGAGGTGAAATCGAGGCGGGCTTGCGAGTGCTTCTTCCAACTTTGCTCTCGCCCGTTGTGGGATCGGGTAAGCTGGGCTCTAGCCTATTTGGGTATGGTGGGATTGAGGGCTCGCTTGTGCTTGGGGCTATTCCTGAATAGGGTATATTGTCACTTGACTGTTCTGTGCACGTGATACGGCTGCTTTGGTACGGTATTTGGTGTACAGTGGTGTATTAGTAATCCTATGCCTGAGGCATAGTTATACTGTACAGAACATCGCGATACTACGGGATTCACCTCATCTTCATCTTCAACTTGCCTCGTTAGCAGATATCTCCCCAATGTGATCACTGGTGTAGCTGGGATATGCCTTCAGACGATAATCGAATTATGAAACATCTATTGAGAATGATTGCTCTGACATTCTCCTTGGCTGATTGCAAGGAATATGCCAGCCAAATCGGTCAATTGCACTCTGCACTCTGCAGTTTTCCTGACTATGTTTTCACTCCTCACAAATACACAGTAAATGACGGATATTGCAGTGAAATACAGTATATCTGAGCCTTCATCACTGTGTAACATGAGATCTCCCAATGCTATAAATCTGGCCGGAATGACCGGTCTCTCCAGACCTTCTAGCATCTCGAAAGCAGCTGCTTTGTCTTGTGTGCCTTCCAAAAGCTATATATCAGTCTCTTTATTCACTCAGGAAAGCTCCCCTCCGCAAAACTACCGAAGGTCGCCGAAGCAATAGGCATAATGGAGCCAGCATTACCGACAATTGAACATGTCGAGTGTAGGCATCCACTTTTTGATGTTAACCTGCTCGAAGAACCTGCCGAGACAGACCAACTGTGCGGAAAGAGCATAAAGACCTTGAAGAATTTTCTGCTCGCCAAGGGCAGGGACATATATGACAAGCTGCTGGACTTTCATGGTTGGGGGTATGCGTATGAGACTGTTTCCCGTCCTCCTCTTCAGCCAAGGCAGGTAAAAATGGCAATCCTGCTGAGAATCATCTGGAACCAGGCTGAATACCACCAGCCCCAATCAGTGGAGGAACTCTTTAGCTGGGAAAGGGACGCCGGCCCTCGATTGTTGAGACCGGGGTGTATCCGGGATTGGAGCAATTACCTACCCATAAGTAGGGATTACCCTGATCCCCCGAAAGATTTGCACGCATCAGTCTCACTAGCTCATGGGTCTGTCGGGTCTTCTAGTGATATACCGGAGGGGTATTTGGAGGTTATGGGCCGACCAAATGGAATCAGTGATAGCGACAGAGAGCTTGTTGATGTCGCAACACCAAGAGTGGACACGGCGAAAGGGAAACAAAGGAAACACATTGAAGGTATTACTGACTGCTCGGAAGATTTGGAACGGACAGAAGGAGCCTCTTCAACCAGTCCCGGGGATCAGGGAGTCGAAGAGGAGATGACCGACATCGATGAGGAGGAAACCTCTGACCGTGATGACGGGGATCCTATGGAAGAAAGTTCCTCGGGTGGCAATACCCCGACTCAAACGACAGAAGCCAAAAGCCCTGTTACGCGGCATAGAGGAAGCCCTTCAAGGAGCTGGAGACCAAGTGAACGAAACATCGAAGGTGTCAGTGGCCCTAGCACCGCAATTCCTATATCCCAGAAGTTCGGGAAAGCAGCATCACTTCCGATCCAGACTGCCCAGACAATTATCGAGGCAGTGCAGCGTGCCGTCATGACTTTCGCTTATCACGAGCTTGAACGCCATCAGACTGCCGTCCCGTTGGACATACCACGACCATGGCTGACCGCCAGCCCAGATACTAACTTGAGAAAAGTCCAGTACAGCTTACACCCAGTGACAGCTGAGGTAGAGCTGCACTTCCAAGACGACCCGGAAGTCCCCCGACGTACCTTTCCTTACAGAGGCCGAGGTCCTATTAGCATGACCCCCAGAGGAAGTGCGATTGGCTGTGCTATCATCGCAGGCCGACTGCTAGATGCTGGGTCCACCAACATCGACCGCAAGCAGCAGAACTGGCAGAATCGCCTCACAGCTACTGAGCGAGCCTTCATTGAAGCTACCGATGCTCCATGTGATTTCTTCGATGAAGGACTGAGTCTTGAGCTAGTCGAACGCTTTTCTCGGATGCTCCCAGCAGATGTTCATCTGGGCGTGGGGGCGACTAATATGATGCGAACCGTCTGGAACAAGTCAACGCTCCACTTTGACCAGTTCGCATTCTCATACGAGGAGACCACCAAGCAGTGTAAGTGTGTATCGTCTGAAGATAGTAGAACCACTGTGGTTAAAATGAACTCGACCACTCTGGCACCGCCTGTGGTCGCGACTGATCGGCACGGCGTGGATATGAAGGATGTGTTGTCCCGAGCATTTGATCATCAGCGCCGGACAATCTGCACCAAATGCAAGAAACTTTCTGTTAGTTATGAAAAACGGTTCCACAAGGTTGCCATGCGCCTGGTGGTAGAACTCGGTCCTAATGTGTCTGTACGGTCACATACAGAAGATATGACCCTTGCATATCAGAATGAGCACGGTCATACGCAAAGCGTCACATATCGCTGGATAGGAGGAATATACCAAGAAGAAGGCCACTTGCTCCTCTGGTGGACTGATGCCGAACGTGGGGTGCGCGGCACAAGCCTGCGTTCATATAGTAGCTCTGTCCACAACGGAGCCATAGTTGGGGGTATACATCAAAACAACATCAGGGACAAAATGTCCGAGAAATTTTGGAGGAATAAGCAGATTCCCTTGCTTTTCTACGAGCGGGTTATTAACCCGAGTATTGGCGAGCTTCAAGTAGCTGTGAGTGCGGCTACCGACATGCTTGACTCTGTCTCCCAGGGTAAGCTTCTCCTCCAGCAAAGTCCTGGTTGGGCCCCGCCCGAACGACCACCTCCGGAGCAGAACCCGTATAGTTGGGTACCTGTCCTGCCTGAATGCATGAGACGATTCAGGAATGTCGATCCGAATCTTCAGAATATCCTAGCCCGAGGAAAGCCCCGGACGCAGCCCCAGCCCCAGGCGCAGGCTCAGGCTCAGGCTCAGGCGCGGTCTCAGGCGCAACGCCAAGAGCAGGCTGTTTCTAGCAGGCCAAGAAGAGCGCAAGCACGTCCTTACAGTCCGCCTCCTTCCTACCAGCAGTCGATCATGGCCATGTCCCCGACACCGCATATGTCAGCAGATATGCCATCCTCTGCGCACATGTCAGCTTCCTCTTATGGTGGAATGCCACCGCCTCCAATGCGCAGGCCCCAGTATATTGGCTCCAACTTGTCTACGCCCGTAAATATCCCTTCCACCAGTCCTGTTCAGCGATACCACGATCTCCATAATGCAAGAATCTATGGAGCTCCGGCAATATCTTCCTCTCCTGTAGCCTCTTCTCGACAAAGGGTCGATTACAGTCCGGAGAGTCAGACCAATCCAGGCCCTTATGTTGCCTCGAGCCCGATGCAGCTGACAAACCCCGATAGTAACGCCTATGGTGGAATGGGACAATCCTCCTCGCCGCCACAGCAAGCACAGCTACCACCATACCATCCGGATTATTGGGTGAATAGACCCGGCCACCATGGGCCTCGCTACTGAGGTTTCCCTAAGCCACACCACCAGACGCACCCCGACCACGGAGACATGCTAGCAGAGTAAAAATGAAGAGCGATGGATAATGCCTTCGAAAGTACTATGATGGGTCTGTCTGTATTGATTCCAGACTCCCTCCACAGCTTAGGCTCAGGTTTCAAAGATGATAGATAGAAATTGGCATAGACAAAACAACTAATCTTAGAATGCAAGGAACACTTCATAGTGTATCTAATCCAATGATAAAGACATACTGTCCGGTGTAGTTCCATGGGTAGCATGCCATCTTCAGTGGTAATAGTTCATATTTATTCAGAGAAACGGATCGCGGTCCGGAAATCCGGGGTAAATTGAAAAGGGGAAAGAAAACTCGGTTACACCAACACAATTGCCCTTTCTCCCAATAACCGAGCATCTTTAAGGAGTACCTCGACTTAGCCTCCCGACTAAGTAGCAAGGATCGAATCAAGTCATCTCGCACGGCTACTGGACTGGCTTCAGATGAACGCGTTGCCAACAATGCCGTTGGGAGCCAATGACGGCCGGGCCAAAGTCAGCGCATGGACCTTTCCCCGCATTCATTGAATCCCCGGCCTTTTTCTTCCTCTCTCTCTCTCTCTTCCTCTCTCCCTCGCTTCCTTCTCTCTCCTTGCTTTCTTCTTTCTCTCAACTACTTGAAATGATGGGCTTCTTCGTTTCTTCATTTTGAATAAACATGAGATTTATTACTCTAATCAAATGTACATGCTTCTGTTTCTATCCAGTCCTCTAACATCCTTCTATGGTATATTGAATCATGACCCTCCCATATATCCAATGCGTATTTACAGCCTGGCCCGCACAGCTTCGGCCTTCGGCTTCCTCGGTGGTCCTGTCGGCGTGTTGCTCTTCTTGGGAGCAGAGATATAACCTCCCTTGACATTGTCGGTGTTGAGAACAACACCCTTCTCGTCTCGCCGGATACCCAGCTCGACCAATTTCGCGAATACCTTCGCAAAGTGGTCAAAGAACAGGTCCTTGTCCTCTGCATACTTCTCCACCCACTGTCGGAAGGATGGGTCCGTCTTGAGTGCTATATCGGTGGGCAGCATCATCAACAACTCGTCTCCCTCCTCCGCATCCGGATCCTCATACACGAACTGGCTCATGCCGTTCGCTAACTTCCGAGGTGTCCACTCTAACTTCAACAGTAGCTTGAAGAACTGATTAGAAAACCGTGTTGGGTTGTTCACCCAGGGACCTTCGAACCCACTGCGATCGGTATGGCACCGGCCCAGGTTGTGTCCTCCCGCCAACGCCACGATCTCTTGGTCGTTGAAGCCCATCCGGTTGAAAATAAAGCGGAGGTGGTCTGCACCCTGCGCACCATCAGGTAGACGACCACGTGGCGGTACCTTGGAGTCATCGACCAGGTCCGTCCGACCTGGCTTCCACTCAACTTCCGGCCCGCCCATCTCCTTGATCGCCACCACGCCTGCTAACGTCCACAGATCGGAGTATGTAATCCACGGGTGCTTCTCCTTTACAGGTTCTAAGAATGCTCGACCGTACTGAAGGCCTGCGTTTGATGGATCGCCCCCCTCTGCTTCATATCGCATGCCCGCACCGTTGCTGCCGCCCGTATCGGTTTCGGCGTCGTAGGTACCCGCGGAGTGCCTGCTCAGGGGTTAGTGGCGACTGACATGCAGGAAACTTTTCATCCGGGGAATAACTCACCATGCCAACCGGACAAATACTGGACCTGCGCTTCCATCATCATAATCAGGCTTCTTCAGTTGTGCGACAATGTCCTTGCGGACGGCGCTGTAATCGCCCGGGCTGCTCATCTCGGCCGATAGATCGGTCGTCCGGGGTAGTGCGGTGGGTCGGAGACAGGGGATGTGAAAATTATCAAGCGATGCTGAAAGTCCCTCACAGGATGCAGCACAGGAACACGGTGACTAGGGATTAGGAGAGAGAAGAATGATCACCAACGATAGGGAAAAGAGAACGAAATAAGGAACGTTCTTTTTGTTGGCGAGACACATGAAGGGATGGCGACCAGTGGATCCGCGGCCCGAATTCATGGAGGGCCAGTGCCAGTGCCGAGGTTCATCGCCAGGGCGGCGAACTGGACCCGTCTTTGGGAACTCGCTGGAACGATCGCTCCCTGTCGGATTATTGCTTATCGGATTCGCTGATTGGACACTCACTACGGTTCAGCATTTTATCGACCCATCTTCATATGAAGGGAGGCAATTTACTGGTATTCTCATTGCTATCTAGAGGAGGGTTGCGACCATGTGGTTTTCTCAGCACTTGGATGGAGGAAATGAGGTCATTGATGTGTGTTCTTTGCCATCTTGGCTCCTTCAGTTAAATCGATTGCCGTTACCCTCGGAATTTGAATTCCCGGTTTTTGCTCCCGCCTAGGACGGACGTACGGAATTCTAGGCGACTGATCACGAGCAATGCGGAGCAGCAAATCTGATTGGTTCTGCATCTGCCAGATATATTTGAATTGTCCAGTGTCATTAAAGAAGGCGTGTTTCTGATCTAACGTGATTCGAATGACAGCGCAGTGAAGACACTATTTTGAAGCCACAAATGTTGTACTTGGGCGATCATGGGCACGCAATAATGAGGGCTGAGTGCCTTGAGATCACCCGAAATGAATGCTATCCCCTTTAATTGTCCTGTTGCAATATGGTGACTTATCTGCAATAAATGGGGTGTCAAATCCAAGCTATTAATTGAATAATATTTTTGGTTTGCCACTATGCAGGCGAGCTCTGTGGCTATGTCTATTGAGCACGCCGGATTATATATGCTCTATCTCTATATTCACCCCCGAATTATTGAATAACGATTATTCGGCTGCCTTTTCCAGCTGGTTCTCTTCTTGGCCCGGTCTCGGTCTGCTCTTAATAAGATAGAGCAGACTGATGGCAACTCCAAGCCCACCCAGTCCGATGCCCATATACAATGCTCCTCGATATCCTATGAGCGTGTCATGGAAGGTCTGGCCACCGTTGTTCACATGCACCTCGACCGTGCCCGCAAAGCCAAGTCCCAGCGAGATACTATAATTGACAACCGTCGTGACCAACGACGCCGCAACGCCCTGATGGCGACGCCCAACCGCATTCGATAAGACGACTGTAGCTGCAGGGAACGACATGTCCATTCCCCACGGAGTGACCAACAGCGTCACAAAGGCCAACGCCCAATACGTCTGGTGAACCGGAGCGATAGCCGAAAAGATATTACCCAGGGTGAAAGCCACCATGGCCATCAGCATGATCCAGCCGGGCCGCAATCTTGCCATGAGAAGCCCCGTCGTGAAGGAGGCTGTCAGTCCAGACAAGGCTGGCGGGATAAACTGCGCCGATGCCAGCAACGGCGATATGCCTCGGATATTCTCCAAGAACCGCCAGAAGTAGTAAACCCAGATTCCGAAACTGGCCCAGCCACATGCAATGCAGCCCAGAATAAAGCAGACATCGAGATCCAGCGCATGGAACGGGATGAGTGGCTTGGACGCGTACTTGATCTCCCAGACGAAGAACGTGGCCAGAATCAGAGCCCCAATGATCAGCAGGACGTACACATACGCCTCTTGCCATCCCACCACGGGCGCCTGGTTCCAGGCGATATTAATAAGAACCAGGCCTGCAACTCCAAAGAATGCCCCGACCACATCTAATTCAGACACCAGCTGTCCGAGCGACATGCCCTGCGCAATCGACGGGGAAGGAGGAATCGCAAGAAACGACATAATTGCCAATACAAAACAATAGATCGCCATGGCCCAGAAAGTCCACGGCCACCAAGCGAGCTGGGAGAATAGCGACGCAAAGATGGCTCCCAAAACGGCGCCGTTTGGCGCGGTAGCCCCGAAGAGTGAGAAGACCATATACTTCTTCTTTCCCGGTCGGTACGTCGCACCCAGCAGCGCCAGGCCATTGGGAAGGAGCATCGCAGGCCCGATGCCTTGCAAGGTGCGCGCGAAAACGAATAGGATGTAGTTCGAATATACGCTCACCCCCGCCACCAGGGACCAGATCGCGAACCATATCCATCCGATGATATACAAGATACGGTATCCGAAAATATCGCCACAGCGGCCAAAGAAAAGAATAAATGTACCGACAGTTAGGGAGTACCCTGCGATCAGCCAGCTGGAGATGCCAGGGTTGGTGATGCCGAAGCTGTCACTGATGATCTCAAGTGGGGCGAGCGTATTTCCGAGCGCGGCCTGCGTCATGAATTGCGACATGCACACCACGAAGACGAAGACGAGCTCATGAAGAGGCGAGAAGGTCTGGACGGCTGAGCGGATGGATTCTGACCGCGAAAGCGTGCCTTCGATTGTACTGTCTGAGGAGGCCATCTCGGCGGAGTCTGTCATAATGATGATCGTCGGGAAAGCCTGTCGGAAGCTATTCGAGACGGGCCGTCGAAGTGTATGCCGCGTCAATCATCAAGAATCAAGAATCGGTCAAGTTCAATCAGAGGCTTGTTTTCCCCCTTGTGATTCCTCTTATTCTTTTTGGCCCTGTTGAAAGGGCTTCCCAGAGTAATATGCGAAGCTTTTCCTGAACAAAAATCAGGATCAAGTTGACCGTTGAGCTGATGTCACCTCGGGTGGGAAAAAAAGTTACAACGTGGGAAAAAAAAAAAAGTGGGAATGGGTGGGGACGGCAACGTTCTCCTCGAAGTTTCTACTAACACCGGTTATCGGACTTTGCCCCTGGCGCTTGCACAGTTGGGTATCTGGCCCTTTTATCTCTTCTCTGGCCGTGTTTAGTCTCGGCTTTCGGTGGTTGTGTTATCTCGGTGGGTTGATTGCGACTCAGCTGGCCGATGACCTTTGTGGGGGGTTACACTACAGCGATTAGTTTACTTTTTGCTACATAGATGCATATTTAGCTGAGGAATAAGTGTTTAATGCAATCAGTTGTCCTGGTGAAGTCGCCACGGCACTCACTATCTCTATTCTGTAGGATGTACTTCCAACAATGTCGTCATCGCAATTGTAATCAATCTTATCTAGGTTGATGGAGCGTATATAGATAGATTGAGCCAAAACACCAATATCCCAACATAAGTTCACTCATACTATAGCCATTGAAATCAACCAACTTGATCAATTTACTCAATCTGATCAACGCCTCCCTTACATGCACCCCTAACCTCAACGCCCCCTTCAACATCACCATCACCATCAACCTCACCCTCATCAACGATCCGATCCATCCTCCTCACCACCTCCCTCGTAACCCTAACCGTCCTCTGCAACGTATCCATCCCATTCCTCCTATACCCATTCCCCTCCATAGTACCCATCATCTCCCCTTCCACCCCCTCCCACACCTCCCTTCCCCTCTCCCTCCACACCTCCCACCATCCCGCAACCCCCATCTCCCTCCGACTCACCATCTCCTCCCTCTTGCTCACCCGGTCCTCCCGCTCCGCCACCCTCCTCTCCCGCTTCACCAGTTTCCCCTTCTGCCGCTCATACCGCTCCTGGTACCGCATCTTCAACTCCCCTTCGCGCACGATTCGCATCACCCGGTCTACGGGGGCTGCGTCCTCCGCGCTGAAGTCCCCGGAGATTGTGTGGCTGTTGACGAAGTACATCGTGTTGGAGATTTCGCTGGCTAGGTTGCGCAGGTGCGAGGCGCGGTGCTGGGGGGTGTGTGTGAGGTGGGTGTGGAGGTCCGTGAGGAGGGTGAAGGGGGGTGTTGTTTGTGATGATGGTGGTGGGAGGTAGTGCTGGGTGGTTGGGTGAGGGTGAGGGTGAGGGTGAGGATCTGGTTGGAAGGGTGTTGGGACTGGTGATGTATCTGTTGGGGTGCTGGTGGTGCTGGTGATAGTGCTGGTGTTGGATGGTGAGGTGGTCCAGGGGAGGGCGTATGCTTCTTGGAGGTGGGGTTGGAGGGGCGTTTCTGATGGTGAGGAGGATGAGGAGGACGATAATGAGGAGGGAGACGGGTCCGACATGGTCTCTTCGGCGTCACTATCGGCTGAGGACAGCTCGATGATAAGCCCTGTTTCAGCGTTGTCGGAGTAGAAGCGAGGAAAGAGGGAGGGAGGAGGTTGTCCGTCTCCGCCCCATCTTTCTTCGTTCTCTTGCTCCTCGCTGTCTTCTTGCTCTTCTTGCTCTTCGAAGTCACACCCAAAGCTGGCTGTATCATACTCAGCATGAGCTCCTGTCTGCGAACTGATAAGGACCTGTCTTGAAGGGCCCTCGACCACGTTGACAACCACCTCATCATCTTCCATCCCTTCTTCCATCTCCATCATGTCATCGTCGGATACGTAAGATATGGTCTCATCTTCGTCATAATCATCTTCCTCTTGGGTTTGGAAGACACCATGTTCCTCCTTAGAGTCCATACCCAACCAAGCAGCAACATCTGCTTGGTTCATCCTCTCTTCCGGAGGTAATCTAACTCCCCCGTTCGCCTCTCTCTCCTTCCATTTCTTCCACTCCTTCCACTCGGGATCATCGTCAACCGTAACAGACGACGAAGTCTTTGCGTCGTCGTCCGCTGCATGAGATACTCCCTCGTCGAGGTGAGTCATGCCCAGCGCAGCAAGCATGGCTGCTTGGTTGGCCTCATACGTTTCATCCACTTTCCCCATTACGTTTCCGGTCATTCTCATTTCCATGTCCATTCCTGCCCCAGCCACCTGGAGATGGTCGCACGGACCGTATGGCGCGGATGTCTCGTGCATGTTTTCATCAGCATAACCATGGCCATGATTACCCATCAGGTATGTGGATGGGTATTCTTCAACTGATGGATATCCCTCATTCTTGGGGAGCGTCGATGAACGACTGCCCCAGAAGCAGTTTGCCTCAGTGACGAGCTGTGAGACGTCAATGTTGGAGCAGTTATCCAGGAGGGCTTGATCGTTGCTGTTGAAGGTGGGATTGGTGGACACGTCTTGGCGACAGAAATAGGACTGGGTACTGGTATAATTATTTCTGTTGTCTTCAGGGGAGGGAATGATGTCGGGGTCTGCGGTGAGAGTAGTGGTGGAGGGGAAGTTGGTGTTGACGGGGTGGAAGTTGCGAGACATGAGTGAATGCCACAGTTGTGTATGTGGCTGTGCAGATACAAGACTGGGATCGTATGAGACGGATGGTTTTTGGATAGCCTAATAAATCTAATGATACACTAGACACTATCGCAACAGAAATAGACACAAAGAGATGTGATATTAGGGGTTTGAGTGGAAATTATGTGCTCACTACTAAGGAGTAAGAAGTACCTGGGGGTGACACGAAGGTACCTTATATACTTATTGCTATACACTATATACAGAGTACTGGGGTCTGATACTTCCATACGGCTAATAGTAGAGACCGAACAACAATGTGGTTTAAAGTTGCGCCTGTGAAAGACGGATGGGGACTTCATTGGGCTGTCAGTGATTGGGGATAATTATGTCGGTGGCTTCCGTAAGTGATGTACTATGAAATGACTAAAGTTGTGAATCTCAATGAACTGAAAGAGAATGAAAATGAGGAATCGTCCATTATTTCACTGCTTTCATTCACCTGACCTTCTCTACTTCCCGTACTTAAACCAATCGCAAGTCGCAAGTCTCCTTCCAGATCAGGTGCTCTCCCCAACCATACCTGATTATAAAAGGGAAGTTTCGCATCAAGCAAAAAGGTGCTGCACATGATCACTTTTGGTCCACTGTGTCTTGGTCCAGTACCCATCCTCACCCTTGTGCAGAGCTCTATTTAAATGAACAATCCTCTTTATAGGGCTGTGTCCGGATCATCTAGGATTGACGGCATTTGCCGTACACTGCATTTTGCATCGCTAATCTCCGTCCAAATCTCACACATCAGTTAATCTACCATCAAAGAAGAAAAAGAAAATACTCATCGCTACCTCACGGATTACAAGTTCTACCCCATCGGGAACGACCACATTCATCAATGATGTACCTGATTTATCTACTGATAAGATAAGGGTTAACCCCTCCCCACTAGTTTGCATGATTTGCATCTCCGATAACAGCAAATTCCTCTTTTCCATGACGATCATCTCCAATCCCCCTCACTGCCAAACAAACACACCCTCTTCTCAGGCTCATACCTCACATTGATCCAACATGGGCCAAATAGAAGAACTCCCCGACGACTACGATGAGTCGCTCGAAGTCAACAAGCAGCCTCAACCCCCCGCGACCGAATCCAAAGATGAATTCACCCCACCTCCCCCGGAGGAGCTCCCCATTCCCATCAAGGAAGAGCGCCTCAAAGACCTGAATGCGGGCGCGGACCCCATGGCGCCTCAAATGCCGCCTGCCATGGAGGCTGTGAGCACCCACACGACAGATGAGCTGGCGGAGATTCTGAATCGCACGCCGCTGTTCATGACGGATATTAACAAGGCGTATGATGAGAGTTAGTTTTCCTCTTTTAGTCTAGTCCTGGAAATATCTAGGTAGAATGTATGGGCTAACAGGGTATGTGGGTAGAGGGCGAAAACCCCATGCTTGATGCGATCCGCGCCCTCCAGAACGAAGGTACCCGCGGCGATGTCGCGCAGAATTTCCGTGAACAAGGAAACGAAGCTGCTCGGGAGAAGCGCTGGGTTGACGCGAAGGAGCATTACTCGAAGGGTATTGCCGTCTTGCTGGCCAAGGAGGATAAGTGGGATAAGCCTGAGGATGAGAAGGAGGAGGCCCGGTTGCGGAGGGAGGCCGAGGAGGCGTGCTATATCAATCGCGCGCTGTGCCATTTGGAGTTGAGTATGTGTTTTCTTGTCCTGAAGTGAGGAAAAGGTTGCTAACGTGGATAGAAAACTACCGATCTACGACCCTCGACTGCGCAGCCGTGCTGAAGCTGAACCCCAAGAACGTGAAAGCATACTATCGGTCCGCTATGGCGCTGTTTTCGCTAGATAAGATTATCGAGGCGGAGGATGTGGCGACCCGGGGATTGAAACTGGATCCGGCCAACAAGGCTCTTCAAATGGTTGCTGGAAAGATCGGCGAGCGCAAGGCTGTGATTGAGCGTATCGCGGCTAGAAAGAAGGCCGAGGATGAGCGCACACGCAAGGAGAAGACGCTGCTTAGCGTTGCGCTGAAGGCGCGCCAGATCCGTACGCGCAAGACGGATCAGCCTCCTGAGATGGAGGACGTGGGCATCAAACTTTCGCCCGATCCGCTGTCGCCCGAGAGTACGCTTGAGTTCCCGGCTGTGTTCCTGTACCATATGGATGCGCAGACGGATTTCATCAAGGCATTCTCCGAAATGCATTCGATCGAGGATCATCTCGACTATATGTTCCCGTTGCCGTGGGATGAGAAGGGAGAGTACAAGATCAATACGGTGGAGTGCTTCATGGAGACGGTTACCGGAGGTTTGATCCGCGCTGGCAAGAAGGTACCATTAGTACAGATTCTGAGTGGAGGAAAGGTTGAGGTTGTGGATGAGTTGGTGAAGATTTACATCGTGCCGACCAGCAAGAGCGCTAAGTTTATTGCTGAGATGAAGGCGCGCAAGGAGGCTTGAGACCAGCCGGTTGTCTGAGTCTATTGCAGATGTTGAAAGCCGCTGCGTGGCGCCAGAGGCCACTTGAATGGACAGCATGTCTATTCGCTTGTGTTGCGGTCACTCCCGCGACATTCTCAAGTCGAGCCCAAAGTTGAGCATATATACTGCCTGGACCGGCTCTTCTACTATATACCCATTGAGGTTTTGCGGCTGATAGCCGTTGTATATAACGTCTTATGATGACGCCTAGACTTTGAACGAACTTTTCTACAATGGGCGTATTATATATCCAACTACCACCTTTGCAGCTAAAGTGGCCATTCTTTGTTTACTGCCTAGCTTGATAGTACTAACACGATTTCTTTCTTTACTCCAGTTGAGATACCGTCCTAGCAGCAACATTTGTCTGGAGCTTCCCTTATAAGCTCTTCTCCACTGAACCTTGCAATCCCCTTGGGCAGTCCTCGGGATGACCCTTGCTATGTCAAGTACTGCGTCATCAGTTGATATCTTCTCTATATCCCACTAACAATCTTAGAATCCAACACTGAGCCTATAGTCATTTCAACCACATTACCCAGTCTGGTTGAAACCGATTCTGTCCTCTCTCTTTCACACATGGCATTATACCATACATTAGAAAGGATATCTATGCCGGAACATACCTTCACATGCTAGAACATAGTTTGCTATGCGCTGCGTGATCCCGAATCCACTCTCGGCATCGTGAGGTACAAACCGGGACCAAACATAGTCCAGCATCATCATCTCGTCAACCCCAGAGTAAAAAGCTGTGAGTCACTACAAATTATAGATGGCTCATGTAACTACCTCTTCATGATCTGAATGATTTGGGGGGTTTTTACAACACCCGTACTTATCACTCTGGGGCTTTGTCCTTCACACTAACAATTCCTTGGACATTGTTCGCTGAAATCGTGTGTCTACAACGTTGGAATTTCCGATGTTGAAACCTTAATGCCTAGTAACTTTACTACTCAGTTAAAGAAACTATATACACTTATATACCGAAAGCAACTCGTCTCATCTCGTCCCTGAGTCAACAAATCCTCGACCTGAACCGCGAGTCTACAAATCTTATACTCCACCCAAGAGACCTATTGTCTACTCCATATCAACTACCCACCATATTACTCCCTATTTTATATTACCAAAATGGCCGCCCAACCTCTGCACCGTTTCGTCTACCTCCCATACGAAATCCGAGAAATGGTAAGACCGCGGTGCCAAAACCTCCTCCATCATAACAGGAAGCTAATAGAGATAGATCATTGAATATGCTGCCACAGCCGGTTCGGAGTTCTTTTACTACAAACAGCACCTTGAAGAGCTCCGAAAAGTTGACCGCTTGTTCTGCGCGGTTGCCTCCCGCGAGCTTTTCGCCACCTGCACTGTCTACATCAATGACAGCAAACTCATAGTCCCGAAGGGCAATGGGCGAAAGAGAAAGAGAGGGAGGAGAGAGAAGATGGAAAAAGCTTTACCTTTCACCGACTTTGAAATATTTCGGACAAAGAACAACAATGTCGCCCACAACGTGCGCAAACTTATAATCGGCTGCCGCGGTTCTTGGGAACACCTCGAGGGTATCAGAGACAAAATCGAATCATACGGAAAGGACCTCATGCGCATCTACTTTCCCCTATTAATCCGTCTCCGTCGCCTTGAGTTTCTGAGCCTGACTATCGCCTTCGACATACTTGCGGAATGTGAAAGCCGATACCTAGCCAGAGCCCTTCTCGCGGGACTAAAGGACTACATGCCCCCTCGCCTCGATGACATCTACGTCAGACACTATAATGTACATTCTTCGCGGACACCGAGCGTTGACCTCCTCCCTTCCATCATGGCCCGCCTCCGCCACTTCAAAAGTAACTTATTCGCACATAAGCACTGGCTCGGACCAGAACATTCCAATGTCTTCCATTTGCTCGGGCATGGTGAATGCCTCATTTCCGTGGAGATAGATGGTCAGACCGAGTCTATATTATCTAAGAAGGAACTGTCCCTGGCACCTCTCTGTCCATCATTGGTCCATCCTGATGCCCCGTTACGCTCTTTTAGACTCTACATGTCTACCATTTCGGCGTCCCGACTTGCTGGTCTTCGCCATTTCAGGAAGTCACTACGCTATGTCGGCTTGAAGGTTGTTAAGTTGGATAGAGGGCTCTGGGACGAGGTGTTCCAAGCTCTCAGTGAGATAGAAGGTCTTACCCTTCTGGGAATACTCGCTTGTGGGTATGACTCTAAGGGTTCGGGCAAGGACTTCGCTCATAGCAGCGGGTCGTGCGGTTCGGAACTCTACTCGACAAGAATAGAGGATCAGCAGGCACTGGAGAATTGTTTTGCGGCTACCAAGAGGAATAGGCTAGCCATTGGCGATGAATAAATTCCATGGGCTGTCGATCCATTTGGAAAGCAAGTTGTTTGCTAAAGTGGTGTTGATTGACGCCTTGGATGTTGCTTGTGATATATAGTATTTCTGTTTTTCCATTCCTAGTTGAAGTTATCTCGGTGTTTCATATGGTGACCATCTCTCCTGTCTTACATTATCTTGTCGCCTTTTCGGGTATTTTCCTTGACTGTCGTTACATGGAAGGATGTTTTTGGTGAGCTGGGAGAGTTGGAGGGTTCAATTATTCTGGAGGTGGACATGTGCGAATATGAGAGACAGTAAGAAAGATTAGGGAAGTGGTCCCCAGTCCTAAGATCACCACGTCACAGTTTGAGGATATCATGGCCTTGAGGAAGTGTTGGCTTATATTGGTTGGTTTCTTCATCAAGCACAGCAATAACAACAACCCCTACTCCGACCTGGACACCATCAAGGCAGCATCAGTCGGTATATTCGCACTCTGAATATCAAATGTTGTCCTCCCTGGGACAACATACTAACTTATCCCAACACCATTCAACAATGGATCAATTTCCTCTCCACCCCCGCCCCTTGGATTATCAAATCATATATAACGACACCACCGACCAAGAGAACTTCTCTCGGCATCTAGCCAACTTCCTCGTCCACTGCCTAGATGCCTACGCCCCTTCTCCCTCCAGGAGATCGACTTCCAACATAACTCTCTCCAATCGCACGATGGTGATGCTGATACCCTATATCCCGCGACAGCACAGCGTATCCCTCACCCGGTGATGGCGTATCTTCGCCGTATACAACTCTCCTACACTGCCTCAACATTATTATCATTCTTGGAGGACAAAACCACTGCAATCTTCAGTCTCCTCAGACACACCCGGCGTTCTTTGGATACTGCGTTTTGGTATCTGTGAGAGTGCGTGAATGTCATGTATGTTGGTTATATGGCAGTTGGTTGTTAGCCTCTTCGTCGCCAGCAAAATGCCTCTTGTGGTGAATGCATCCATCTATGCCATCATCAATCCAATTTGAACCCCGAAAAAATAAGATGAAATGGGGCTTCTTTTGCTTGGATAAAATTATCTTCATGTGTGTTGTCGATTCGTTCATTCATACTTTCAGACTTGGGTTGTCGAGCAACATACTTCTCATATACGGAGTACATGTGCAGATGGGACGAAAACAAATCAAAGACTAATGCTATCATCACACCTCGATAGAGTAGCCACTACGTACTACGTAAACATCCGAAACAATACATCCATCTACAACTTCGTATATGCGAACCGATTTAATCTCTATCATTTTCCCATTTTTCACTTTTTCTACTATTCCAAGCCATGTCTGCTATACACATCTAACACAGCCATGCTCATCACAGAATACTATACAGTCCGCCTTCAATCACTCCAAATCCGGCTCAATATCACTGACTCCATCAAACCCTTCGTCCATAGCATCCGGGTTCAAGTTCGCAGCATCCGGTGCAATGCCGTCTTTATATTTATCCTTGTCGTGAGACACGGTCCGCCAACCGGAAGGCTGGGACTGGTCTTTGATATACTCGGACATGGGGAACTGGAGATTATTGTGTTAGTCTCCACATTCTCTGAATTTGGTGGAGGTAAAGAGGGAGGGGTTGTGGCATACGTAATGATCGTTCTTCTTCACGGTCACTACCCACGGCACATTGTCGAATGTCACCGCCCGTAGGCGGAAATATGTGTTGTCGGGGATTTTGCTCACTTCTTCGGAGAAGCGGTCCAGGTTCGGGGTTGGAACGCCGTTTACGGCGGTGATGAAATTGGTTGGGGCCAAGCCGTATTGGTAGGAGGGGGATCCGCGACTCTGTTGAAGGGATAGGGTGGTTAGTTACTTGATGGCAGTGGTTAAGGGGTGAGGAGCATACTCTTGCGCTGACGTAGACTTCGCTGTGTAGCTTAGAAATCTGCTGACGGACCGCATGGTGTGGTTTCTGCAACACAGCACCACAGAACACGACCGCACGGTCAGTCTCTAGGTCCTCTGTTGGAACAGTCGGCACCTGGATCCGCATTTCTTGTCCATTTCGAACAATCAGGGCTTCCAGCGTATCCTTCTCGTACATGATATCCAACTCCGAGACGCGGGTGATCAGCTGTCCGTCCAAGGTCAGGATGATATCACCCTCCTCGAACGTGTCGGCCGCTGAGTTGAACCCAGGCGGTGGGCAATCGACCTTGCGCACCATGAAGAGCTGATGCCGCGATGGGTTAGCTTGCGTCACCTTCTCGATCCATTCCTCCGACACGCCCATGATACGAGCTTGACTCATCTGGACCACGTAGCTCTCCATGTTCAGAATCCGCAATTCCGGCATCTCTCCCTGCTGCACCTTCGACAGGACAGGAAGAAGAGATGGAGTCGCAAATCCTAGATGGTATTCCACATCCTTATGCGAATTAGATGTGCGTTCTCCAAGATAGTTCAACCACAATGCCTGCACCACTCCGTCCTCGCCAATCAGGACACCGTTAGAACACTGCCCGCTGAGTCCGGTGTCCACAGTGATGGCGTCCAGGTTGATCGCGCGGTAGCGCGGTGCGGACGCGTTGGCTGGAATAGAAACAGTGGTGATGTCGGTTACGGCGGTCTTGGCCACGACAATCCGGAAGTTCTGGTTGAATCCCACAAAGATCGTGTCCTGTCCCTGCTTGATGTAGTCGGTGGCGAGTTTGGCACTCTGAACCGGCGCCTGCACCAGGCTTGGGTCGTACTGGATGATGCTGTAGTTTTGGAGCGGATGCAGGAAAACTACTTTAGCGTTCACGATGATGGAGTCGGCCACCGTGACGTTGATGTCGCAGAGGTCGTACGGCACGATCGCTCGCGACACAACCACCAAACCCTTCTCTGCATCGACGACCAATCCGAACCCAGTCTTCTTGGCCTGGGGGTAGCCGTCCAGCTTCAGGGGCATCGTACAGGATACTCGTACGAAGCTGCGCACAATGTCGGCCGCAGCAGGCTGGCTAACACCATCGAGTTGAATGAAATCGGCTTTCCTCGGAACCGGAGGAAGAGCTGGGATAGGGTCCGCGAGGTCCGAAAAGTCCCACAGACCGGTGTCGTCGTTGCGCACAGCCAGTCGCATCTTGGGGTGCCAGTGTCGATCGATATAGACGATGCTGGTGCCTCGGGTGTGGAGATCGCGAATATGCCGATACGAGATGACCACGCGCGAACGATCGGGAATCGTTCGCATCACCTCCACGAACTCATCCAGATTGCGAGTGGGCCGCTTGTCCACCGAGTCGATGATCCATCCTGACAGTGTGTTTTCCAGTTTGAAGGAGCCGGCAGCCTCGCAGACGTAGACACCGCGAGTAGCGATGGCATACAGCCGCGACTGCTGGTAAGACAGGTTATGGAACGTGCCTCCAGCCACCGTCACGAACCGGTCGGGCGTGATGGCATGCAGGTCGCCAACCTGGCACTCAATCTCCACATTCTGACCGCCTCTTTGGACAAGCAGACGCACTGTCTGCCCAACACTCGAATCCAGGATGTCATCCAACCGGATGAATTGGGTGAGAAGCACCCCGTTGACCTGCAGGAGCACGTCTCCTTCCTCGAGCTTTCCGTCCGCCGGGCCTTCAGGCAGGATGATCTCGGCCACCAGCATGCTGGTTTCCGTGGGCGCTGCTTTACGCACGGTCGCCTCCCACTCAGGCGTCAAGCCCAACCGACGACACTCGTCGAACGGCTTCAAGATCCACTGCGTCTGAATCGTTCCACGCGTGACAGGCTCTCCGCGACGGATGCATTCCAGTGCGCGTAGCGGTCGGTCCAGAGGGAGGAAGTAATCCGTCGCTGCACCGTCTGCACGACCACCGGCCTGCAGAGCAATCGCATGGCCATCAATGTTAACTACAGGACTGCCGGAACTTCCACCGCTAGCTGCTGCGGCGGCCTGGATGTAATTCGTATTGAAGTCACTGTAGCCATCGCCGTATTCGGGCGCGTTTCTATCCAGCCGACTAATGACACCAGACAGAATACTCAGTTTTTCTCCTGCATCATTACCCACAACGCGAATTTCTGATCCCACTTTAGCTGCATCCGGCTGCAGTTTCAGTTCCCTCAATTTCATATATCGAATAGCCTTCGGGTCGAATTTCAAAATTCCAAAGTCGTGAACAGGGTCCCGATACACAGGACGAACGTCGCACTAGTAACCAATTCAAATCAGCATCACTGTCATAAGGCGATCCACATGTGGAATGTACAACATACTTCCTCATGGTTATCAAAGATGCAGTATCCCCAGAAAGGTCCCGGGCAAACCACGTGTCGGTTTGTCAATATGTACCCATTCTCTGCATCTACCACAAACCCAGTAGCCTGACTACTCATGGACAGCTCCGTGTCGAAGGAGCAGGTCTGACAGAAGTGGATAGACACTACGCTTTTCACAACCTCCTCTATGGTAGCTTGCCATTCCGGTGAGTCGGCCTGAGCAGGCCCTACAGGCAGCAGACGACTCGCATCTTCATCATCCTCCACATCGTATACAGTCCCATTGGCAGGCGTCGAATCCCCGGGTGTCAATGCGCTCGATTCGGGGCGAAGGTGCTTTACGGGCCGTTCGGCGGGTGTGGTGATGGAGCTGCGCTTGCGCTTGGCGCCTGCGTCTCCATTCAAATCCATCTGGTCGGTACGGATACGTATAGCACGGGGTCTCGTAGAGTGTATAATGAGCGAGCTGAGAGAGCGGACGGGCGCCTGACCAGGGCAGATGCTCGTGGTGACACCGGGCGTTGCAGCGGCCGGGCACAAAGAAAAGTGTCGACTAGAGCGCCGATAGGCAGGAAATTTAGGATTGCGAGAAACTAGTGACCTCGCAGGCGACAAAGTAAATCCGATGGGATTGGTGATGGGGCGATAAAGAGGCGAATAAGTATTAGAACCAGGCGGCGGCGATGACGGCGGCGGCGGCGCGGCGGAGGTAGAGGCAGCGGCCCTCGCAACAGAATTGTTCGTAGCGACAGACAGTAGGCTCCTTTTGTGGATGTGGAGCCAGACGCAAGACATTCACAAGACCCCCCAACAAGAGAGACTGCAACAGAGAGGGGCGAATGACGAGGACCGTGAGGAAGGAGAAAAGGAACTGAAGTCAGGCGAGCTGCAGTGACAGACACTGAAAAGGGAACCGGGCGGACACCCCGATTGGCGCCCTCTGATTGGCTCTTGTCCGGCGGAGCTGCGGCGTCTTCTGACCTGATCATTCAGGCCAGCAATTCATGCGATCCAAAACAAGTTTTCTACCACAGCAATGCAATGCAATGAATATATATCTCTATTATATACGAATCTATCTCCACAGCTCTATCGTACACTCGGACCTCCGCCTCCCATCGTTCGTAGCTACCATCCACTTCTGGTGCTAACATTCACATGTTCGTCCCATTCGATCGCCAACAGTATTTGTGTATCTCGCAACGCTTCACGACCTGGAGCTAGAAGTACCCGATATATCCAGTACCTCTTTCTTCGAATAGAGAGCTGCCTTGAGCTGGACGGTGGGCTCTGTGGTCCCACCTGATGGTTCATCGTTCATTGATAGAAGAAGAGTTGGTGGCGCAACTAGACGCTCACGGTGCCCATTTGAAGGCTCGTCGGATCGTATCTCAAGGTCTGACTCGAGTGAAAAGCCGGTCAGGGCAGGGGCCTCATGCAACTATGGGCGTATATGCGGGATGCAGGAGCGACCGTCGATTGCTCTCTACCCTGAGCCAGTACGCTCAGTTCCCCTTAAGAGCTCGTACTACGCGCAACACATCATCGTTTTGTTCTCAATATGAGGAGCTCTTCAAACGTGTTCGACAGCTGGAGAAGGACTAGGCCGGCCATTCCCTTGCAATGATTGTGGACTCTGCTGGGGTGTCCCTATACCACCTTGCGCGGACCGAGGGAAGAGCTCGTTGAGTTTGTTGTAGATTTCATTCATTGAAGGCATATTTGGAGGCGGTGACATGATTGCCGGTGCAGCAGGAGGAACACCCCCTGATTTCTTCGCCCGGTCGGCAATGGTTGCAAGGTACCCTAGGTTGGCTTGTAACCGACGCATACATTCGAAATATTCTGTGCTCGGCCGCTGGGTTGGCTTATCCGAGGTCTGGTCTGAACCAGGTGATGGGTTCGACTCCGGCGCTCCTTGAGAAGGCGCACCAGCCTTGCCAGCCGCCTGAAGATTCATGACTTCCTGCAGCAACATCGAGTTTATGTCCAAGAGCGTGGACACACGAGCCTTCTCACGCGCGGCCGTCGCGGGTGACTGAGGAGCTGGTTGGGCGGAGCTCGACAATGGGTTCTGCTGGGGCCCTGCCCTTTGCTGTTGCTGTTGCGCAGGTATCATGTTGGTCGCCGATACCGAAGCCATGTTGGGCGGGGAGGACTGCGCTGTAGTTGCGGGAAGAGTCGACGTCGCAGTCGCCTGGGGAGGAAGAAACTGGCTCATAGACGTTGCTGGCACGGGTGGCTGGGCAAATGGTGCAGAGAAGTTGGCGTGGGGTCCTACTAGTCCATCCGGATGGTTAGCGGCAAGTCCTTGCGGCCAACGTCGCCTGCGCACTTTGGCCAAGAAGACAAAGGAAACAAAGAACAACAACGCAAGACGACAGGCAATGGTAGCGCAATAATGGGTACGCGTCAGGCCATTAGCACACACACGTACATGAACAACTAGACCAGGCAAGGTCCAGTAGATTCACTATGGGAGAAAAAGGACCCGGCGCCACGGAGCAGCCGTGTGTAGATCAAGGGGCAAAAGGTGGGGAAGCGATGACAGGCTCAAGAAGGTAAAAACATTACAGTGAATAGCGAGACAGTAGCGACAAGGGAACAAGAGCTTGGAGATAACAGGCCAAAGGGGGTTAAAGAAAAGATCCCGACGTACCGGATGACTGCTGGGGGAACCCGGACGGCATCATTGCTCCACTAGGACCGGCTTGCATGGGCACGGCACCGAAAGGAGTATGCTGGTGTTGCTGCTGTGGAGGATGAGAAACACCTTTGGATTGGGGAAACGGGGGAATGGCATTCGGATAGTAGGGGAACTGCTGTGGATTTTGGGGAGTGACAGGAAAACCCGCGGTCTGCTGCATCGCAGAAGGGAATCCGGGAACGTTGGGGTCCATGTCGGTCGATAAGAGCAAGAGGAAAGACAATCAATGGTTGGGCCAGGCCACAAGCTTTCTTCTCTTCCTTTTTTCTTTTCTTTAAATTTTTATTTTCTTTTCGGTCTCCCTTCTTTAATTCTTTTTTCTTCTTTTCCTTTTGGTATTAATTGGGGTTTTTTTTTGGTTAAATTAAAATCTTCCACGGATCAGGTCCGCAGCAGCGACAGTCAATGTCGGTCGCACACTCTGACTCGCCGGAATCCAGGGATGGGCGGGATGAGACACTAAACCAATTCCTCTAACGACTTAGTGTCCTGGCGATTGCGCTGCTTAAATTCCGTAGAATATTCTTTTCTGGAACGATCCACGACAGGATAGAAAGGGTAATATGAAAGGGCCAAAATAATAAAATTAGACTGGAAACAGAGGGGCGATGATTGGCCGATGGGGACACGACAGCCAGAAGAGACTCAGGAAGGGGGTGTGGGATAATAGAAGGGCCGGCAGATGGAAGGACAGTCCCTGAAAGCGACCACTTAGTCAGGGTGGGTAGTGTAACCTCTGGCAAAAGTAAATCCGTTAGTCACAAGTCAGAATCCTCAGTTGTGACCTCAGTTGTCGAGTCAAGTCAGTGAGCGGACGGAAAGGAAGGAAAGAGATTTGCTGGCCCGTCGAGTGCGATCAGCCTTGGGGCGGACGGACTAATGCACTGGATGGGATTCGTCCGGGCGGTGGAGTGGAGGAGGGTGAGAGAGACGAAGGGGGAGGAGAATGTACGCGGTAGTACACCCTACTTACTTAGTAGACAGTAGTAGTTTAGTTAGTGAGAGGCACCGGTGCGGTCAGAGATTGACAATGGATAGGTGGATTGTGATGCAGGACAGCAATAGAGAGATGAGAGCATCGAATGCGATTTCTTCCCGAGTATGAGTGACTCGAAAGGAGAAAAGAAAGGAGGGAAAAGGAAAGGACGAGGTGGCCGCAAGTCAAAATATCGTAGCTGTTATAATATTACCTGTACATAACATGTATCGTATTGTTCTATTTCCCCCATCTATCGCGGGCTATGTGCAGATACTCGTGTTTTTAGCAAAATATGCTGTATTATTACATACATAATGTCAAAGTAACATACCACAACACCCCAGTATACGCCTGGTACCTGAGGCATCCTCCATCTATGCCAATAGTAGCAAGTAGACCACCAGCTTCATCTTGACTGAGCTTACTTCCATCTCCCACTCCCTCTTCTCCCCGAACAATAGGGGGCCTTGCTTTAGTTAACGAACTTGTGTTTCTAGCACAATGAAGATGCGAGTATGCTTTTGAGCAAGTAATTACTCTCACTTTTCCCTAATTTGATCACCCAGTGCCTCGATCGAGCTCTCACAAGCTCATCATGCATAGACCCTCCTGAGTCGGTAAAGGCAGCTACTCAAGAGATAGTCTCAGCTTAAAGCCGACCAATGCAATTAAAGCTCAGCATCCATACCGCTACAAAAGCTCTGGGGTAGTCTCTCACAGCGATACCTTCCCGACAGCAAACCGAACTTAACACACGTACGACGAACCCAAGACGAACTATGGGACACCCGACAGTCATCCCCGAGTGGATCTGCCTCGCAAAATTGGCAGCTTTCTAGAAACGCGGGCGTCACCATGGCTGGGCAAACCTCCAGCTACTAGACACGGAAAGGACCACCTCCTATCTTCTGCGAGGCCTTGTCCTGCCACATCGGGGAATTCTTCCCTATCATGTCCAATTCAAGTTGATCCATCACTTGAATTACAAAATGAAAACTCGTCCCCACCCCAGACATGCAAGCACCGCGGAGTAGTAAGTAGTAGTCTTCATATACAGAAAGCAAAACGCGGGTACTTCTTCCGCTTCGTGCCATTCATGTCGGCAAGTACATATGGCAGCATTCGTGGCTTGAGCGTGGGGTGGCGTAATATCTGACTGCAATTAAGATGCGCTGCAAGCATTATTGACAAGGGTAAGTAAGCTTATTGACTTTCAGCTCTCTCTATATCCTGCCAGTGATGCACGGAGTTGATATTCCTTCAGGCCTCGGAAGCTTCGATAGCCAAGCTGTCATCGACTATAGCACCAACCTAGCAGAAGCACAGACTTGACCGACATGGCCCGAACCTTCATGTCTATAGAGATGGAGCGCACACTATGAATCATGTGAGCAATCAGGCTGCCTGCCTGTCAGTTAACTGGCAGCTTACTATCTGTCGATGATCTACCCTCTGGCGCAGCCATCCCCAACAATAGTTTTGGATGAAGGCTCCGTCCCACCTGCAGCAAAGTTTTCTTCGTCGGACCGAAGTTATTTATTTATAAATCACGACAAAAGGGAACCTCGGCTGTACTCAGTAGGTTAATAAATTGCTCGTTACTTCCGGAAGCCCTCCGGCATGCATGTCGGGCGTTCAGCCACCGTGACAGGTCACCGTATCATATGCAATATGCACTCCTCTGCAGTCTCGCCGGCCGACACATCATACATGGAACAGATGAACGTCCTCTCCCAACAACACCTGGAACAGGCGGATAGGACCGTATTACTCCATCAGCGGGTTTGGGATTTTCCAAAACGAGTGCTTATCTTGAATGGCCCTCTGCGACATTCGGTTGCAGACCAGACATGCCGCGGTGCTTTTCTCGGTTCTGGCGGGATTGTCGCGATTTAGGTGCTCCAAGAACGATCAGGCATCCTCCTGTTCGCCAATGGTTTCCTCTCACCACACACAAGTGGGTTCTTTGGCCGCGATCTGTCACAACCTTGTCTCGGCAGAGGCGGGGCTCCCATCCGTCGCGTCAGGATCGGTTCAGCCATCGTTCGATCAGACATGGTCCGAAGGCAGAAGGGCCAATGGCCTTGGTGGGCCTGCGGCAACCGTCTCCGTCACGTCCCCATAGGGGTCCAGCTACTGTGTGAGTGTAAAGTTGATTTTCATAGTGATTTCTTTTTCTATTTTCTTTTACTTTTTTCCCTTCTTTGCCGACAATTATTCGACTCTTTCTAGATTCTTTCCATCTGCACTCTTTTTCAAGAATTTCCAAGGTAATACTGTAATTTCACCTTCCAGGTTTTCGGGACACTGGCTTGGGCATCCCAACATCAATACTCATTATAGCCACGAAGTACCGCAATGTGGCAAGGCTGCCTCTGATCTAGACTCGACCAAGTCACTCCCTGACATCTGCCATGTGGATAGCAGGAACGATGGCCAGCAATGGCGTTGTGTTGTCCGGGTATCCAAATGGAGAAAAAAAACAAACACCGAATATGTTGTGTTAGGACAATGATAGTCGCCGCTATGGGTCAAAGCAGCCTCGCAACTGTTTTCCGACCCCAGTAAGTAATAGGTATCGCATATTTGCCTGTCTGGACTGGCACCTCTGTCACACTAGGTCAACTCATGATCCTCGACTCCATCCGTATACACATCGGGAAACCCGCATTGGGCTTCTTTTGACAAATGAATGGACACCGGAAGTGGGAGGTGCCGTTGCATGTCCTGTGCGTCGCTTTGAGATATTCGGTGGTCCACGTAGAACGAACTCCCTTCCAGCCACTCCGGGCCTTCAGTACTTGACCATCCGCGACTGACTCTTGCTAATACCATGACAACCATGACAAATGTCCTCGGGATATTCCGATATGGTGCCTGGCGTGCTGGCTACTATCTGGTGACAGCGTCTGCCCCGCCGGCCAGCCAGGTCGGATCTCAGAGCGGACCATGAATGGGCGCACTGCAACTCTCTCTGTCTGACACCCGACGCATCAGGCAAGGGGAGTGTGTTCGGTAGAATGATGCGATATCTGGAAGAGGCAATCGCGTAGATAGGAGAAAATGAGACACGAAGTCTTCCATAACGGGAAAAGGTGAGCAGGCAAATTGGCACATCCGCATGCTATCGAACAAGATAGAGTATGTATTGCAGCCTCCATTAATGCGCCTGCGGACCTATTGGGCCCCCGGCTCGAGGCAATCTTGCTAATCTTGCTAGCAGGTGGCATAACCTGCTACAGCATGCCTGTCGGAAGTGGTAGTGTTCATGCTACACGACACAGATTCATCCACAACGCGTATTCCATGGCAACCAAACAAACCCCAGCTTAGGGGACTGGGACTATGATCTCGAGAGATGACCAACCGGGGGTGGCAAAACAATCTCTTGAAAGATCCACTCTGATAGCTAGCCACTTTCTCTATTCCCAGACTGCCAGCAGGACCGGACTTCAACCTGACCCTCCCACTCGAGCTCGGTGATTGGAAGCAAAGACGCAGTAGAGCATTAGTTCCTACGCCCAAATGCATGCGAGCGGATAAGGACCCGTCGGCTGCTGTGCCACATAGGGCCACGCACATTAGTGACACAGCTTGGGCCGATCCATTGATCTGGTTGAGACGGTCCATCATTACGGTGTACTGGAAGTACTATAGCCTAGTGTGAAGTCGAGTTGCTTTTTCCTTCCTTTCCGGACGCAGTGCTGGAGGCGAGCCAACGGTTTAATAATTTCTAATAGAGACAGGAAATATATTCGCGCACGCATATAAGATTGCATGAGGGGCGTCGCGGATCCGGAAACGAAACGAAGCTGAAGCCCAGGTTGAGGACGATCCGGTAAGCTTAAGACGGCGAGTAGATCTATTGGCCACTTCCCTATTTCCTTCGCAATATTGCTGGTCTTTGCCTCTTACCTCAATCCTATTCTTTTAAAAATGCTCCTTCTCATGCCTTGCTTCTGAGTTTCACTTCTTTCAACTGTAGATGCTTCTTCTCTGTCTCCTGCGCGACTGCGACCAGAAGCCTGATCGAACTCTTACAGGTCATCCCACTGAAAAGTATACCTTGATCCCTTGAGAGTCATCACATTCAAAACTCTTGTTCTCTGCTTCCATGGTATGATTGATGGCTGTGGCGATTGTTATGACAACGCAAGCTGACTGTGCCAGTCTCACACTCCCGTGTCCATGGATGCGCCATTAGACGGGCTGGCTTGTATGCACTTCGCCCTCATTTATATAGACGACAATGGCAAATTACGCTTTGAGGCATCGCAATCAATCGCGAACAACTGCCAGACAATTCTCTCTCCCAGTGTGACGGAAAACTTTCTGCGTGCGGTGGCACTGTCGGGCAAAGGTGATCCATCCAAAATGCTCGGTAGGGTTCCTTGTCGAGATCTCGCACGGATACCTTGTTGACACCAATACAACAGAAGACATCAGAGGGAGAAGCCCACTCTCCCCAGAATCTCCCAGCGCCAGCGATCTATCAGCTAAACACATGTACTTGCGCCCTTTTTTGATCTCAACGCGACCCAACCACTGATCATCTTCAGGTTCCACTCCACTACAGAACCCCCTCAATCCAAAAGGAAGCGGGTATCCCATGAATGCCTCGTCCCCATGAGCATCACTTGTCACCAAAAGTCCATGCTGCCCGTGCGCAACACCGGCCTTCTGCGCAGATACTATGAGAAAGCCTTCGACAGCCTGCAGCAGATTAACTGTCGTATCCTCGCCAAAGCATACATTAAGCTCGTGGAACCCCGGAAGCAGGTTAACTATCCATACAATGGACGCAAGATTATATCCGGCTCATCGCAGCAATTTGATCCTGAGCTGACCAAGCCAGCCTGGTGGCCGGCGGGTGTCACTCACCGCGAACCAGACCATCTTCTCAAAGCGGGTGTGTTTTATCCTCGCTTTGCTCCCTGCATCAGTCGCTCTAACCTTGGATATAGAACGTATTCGCCTGCTTGTCCATATCCTCTGCGAGCTGCGTGAAAGTCACGCTATCTGCGTGGAGAAACTGAAGGAGGCCGACCAGTCTGTTCGGCGCCAAATTGCCCCCGTCGAACGCATTCCCGTTCTCGATGAGATCTACCACGTACGAGAGGAGGAGGAACGATACCTAGACGGTCGAACAGGTAAGCGTTTTCTATCCACTATTGGTTCTTTCGGACACATCTCATACTTAGCTACTGCAGATGGCTCCGCCGTGATTTGCGTTTCCCGCGTCCACCTCCCAGAGCTCACCGACTCCCAGGCTCTGGGCTCGCCCACTCAGGCCCTCAAGGAAAGCAATCCCGTCTACAGGAAGGAAATTCCTGATCTCGAATCGCACACATCCGTCTTCCCTTCTACCGCCACCACCTCCCCGCTCACGTCAAAGCCACCCACATCCAAGGCGTCAGACCCGTGCAAGCCTCCTATCCCTACAGCATGGGATACCGATGCATCGGCCTCGTTCGCGCCGATCAAGCGCCACCGCGAGGGCGATTATCCCCTTGACCTCACCGGGGGAGCCATATTTCACCAGGAGCCGTCAGCGGCAGCGGCAGCAGCCGCGACAACAACCCTGGATGCCAATCCTTATTCAATGAAGTATTACCCACACAGCCAAGCACAGCAGTCCTTACCTGTAATGGGGCTCTCTGGGGACCTCGGAAGCTGCACACATCCATACTACTTTAATTATTAGACTTCTCTTCCCTTTGTTATGGGTTTCCTTGTTTCCTTTGTATCTCGGGTGCGGTTGGTGTTTTAGCAGGGCGTGATGACGGTCGTGTCTCCTCTTTCTTTCCTTATTTCTTTTGTCCTCGTCGATCATGTAATGCGGTTATTGGGAGGAACGGCCTAAAAGAAGGGACATACTCATATATCATAATACTTACTTAATATTTCCACCAGTGCGGCGGGAGCACCATCACCCTCAGGATACATGCTTGCCTTCCCTTTCTTTTTTTTCGGTTGCGTCTTCTCAGGTACATAAATAATGGAGGGGGGGCAAAGGGGAGGGGGGTGAAAACATGAAACGAAAGGTTGGTGTACATAAAGACATACAGAAGACTAATTGAAACAGTCCCAAGAGGGGGGAATCCTGAATCTGAAGACAACTTAGTATAGGTGTAGGGAGGTAGAAGAAAGGAAACACACCAACCTTTATACCAACTCGGCCTCCAAAAAAGGCACCGAGTTACCACGTACCAGCCAAGTTTGCCAACCCTCTCAAACTTCAAATTTTATCCCTCCTCAGAACTTGTTTCCAAAGCAAGGGATGCCTTGCAGTTCCGTGTGCTTTGGCCTCACCCAGATCTTGATAGATCTCACAAGCCCTGCTTCAGAGTGTGTTTCACTGACACTTGCAAGGCACAACCCCTCCAGTTCCCAGTTTCATGGACTGGAAACAGGTTTGCATCGGCGATTGAGTGTGTTCGCGGGGTAAGGAGCTACTCTTACTCCGTACTCCTAGTTGTTCTTCCCCTACTATAAACATGGAACTATAGTATACACACATTATACGACCGGGATAGATAGATAGATAGATGCTGTGCATTGGCCTCTCCTCCTTCCGTTCTCAGCAAATGGTCATTTGCCTGCTTGCGTGTACACACAGTGCCTCTACATATGCGTTTATAAAAGCCGTTTCAATTATTTATCGGGTATATGATTCTTGGCTGTCATGTTCGGTTTCTTTTCTCAGCTGCGCCATCGTTGCCGTTGTCTTGTCTGGGGTGGCAGATCTTCGATTATGAATGCGGGGTTATTTTGACAGTTGATATGTTTGCAGCTAAGTAGTTAACTAGGTGGATTTGTCGTTGCTAGTGAGGACTGTTAGATGCTGGTGTTTGTTATTACTTCTCTATCCCTCTGTCTACAAAGTCTACGAAGTAGTAGGTAGGGTGTCCCAGGCCAATTTTTCCCCTTTTTTATTTTTGCATCCTCTTTTTGGCTCTTTCATGATGATTTAGGCAGATTCAATCAGTAGGGACTGTGGCGTGCGGCGGTTGTGATTTGATTGAAGTTTGCTGATTCGTGTCCTGCATGCAACATCCATGTCTGTGTGTCTGTCAGTACTAGTTGCCTTGCGATAAATATATCGGGTGCGGGGAGGATAATCTAGACTTGGCTTTTTGCCTACTCCTGTTTCTGGCAAGCTTTTACTAAGAGTACTGTAGAGATGTAATTGGCATTTTGATTCAGAAATATATCCTTGAAGATGGTAAAATAAACAATTAGAAGAGAATAGGAATGTGGTTCAGGGGTAACATGTTAGTAGTAGACCTTCGGGATTTGGATGAGGAACGGATGTTTTTGTATGTAATTGTTAATGGGCTATGTACTAATAATATAGTGGTTCTTACATCAAGAAGCATCATTGGTCTAGTGGTAGAATTCATCGTTGCCATCGATGAGGCCCGTGTTCGATTCACGGATGATGCACAGAAATTTCTTTTTTTGTGTTTTGTGGTTTTTGGGTTTAGCTGCTTGCTAGTCTTGTGGTTCCCGTTGCCGCTCCCGCTTAGTCTAGTCTAGGTAGGCTCTATGGGTCCGTCCCTTTAAATATAGATATGGTAGGGCTGTCCATAATAACGACCAGATTCAATGGATCATAATTTGGGCTTGAACTACATGGTAGTCCGTGTAGGATGTTCTCCCAAGTACCTAAGTGCTGCGCAATTTAGATCTCGGCATGGAGAAATTCTAACAATCAACATACACCCGGACTCGGCTTGTCTACGTCACTAATCCGTAGTGCTAGCACTAAATCCAAGGTAAAGTTTAACCGGATAGAAAATCAAGTCATACGGTGATTACATTCGACAAGTTGCAGCATAATTCGAAGCCAGCATAGAAACATACAATTATCGTCCCGCAAACTCTCGAAACGCATCTTCCCGGGTAGTCATCATACACCGAACCAATCCATCCTACTTAAATGCCGCTGCTACCAATTCTTTTCTCTCTGCACCTACCCCGCAATTCTCACAGTTCCATCATCCGAGTAATCCCGACCGATAGCCAATCATGTATGAAAGGCCCCAGCCCCCTAAGCTGCCAGAAGAGGCTCCGACTTCACCTGCTCAGCAGGCTGTTCGATCGTCTCCACCACGGGCTCCTGGGCGGCCACGGGTTCCTCCTTAGGTGCCTCCGGGAAGTCAGTCGTCTTGATTTCGGGCTCGGCCTCAGGCTCCTTCTTGATAACGGGGGCGGGTGCCCTAGCCATCTCGGGGGTGGCAGAGCGACGCATGTATCCCTGGGCCTTGGCGCTGTAGTCACCAACATACTGCCTCACAACACCCGTGGCATGGGCAGTGCGCTCTTCGGCAAGATCCTTTAGCTGGTGAGCCTGGCTGTTGACAACTTCCTGCGCGTGCTCAATGTGGGCATCGATGACTTCACGGTTGTTGATGTAGACCAAGGGTCCCATGTACGCGATGGTGACCGCAATCAAGGACAGTCCCCAGAATGGAAGGAACTTGATCAACCAGTAGGCGGTGAAAGCGGCAAAGAAGGACTGCACATCAATTTAGTATTGGCCCGAGTCGCCAGTGACTGGTGGTTTCTTGGACGTACTGCAATGGTGTGGACAATGTTCTCGGCGAACAGAACACGCTGGAACTCAATGAGGACAAAGTCGATGAGCTGCTCAAGGTCCTCCAAAACAGCCTCGATGGTTTCCTTGGGCACGGTGTAGTATTTGCGAGGCCGGAATGAGCTCACGACGCTCTGTGACAGAGCAAGTCTGCCACCGACCTCGACAATAGCGGTGACTAGTACAACCGGCGATCAGTATACGTTGTAAATCCTGTGCGGGACCTGCGTTTAGACCTACACCCCAGAACCACATAGATGAACTTGAAGAACCAACGGAGGAGAGGAAGGTAACGGGCGGCGAAGATGAATGTGACAACACTCGCGAAGGAGATGGCCGTAGCTCGGGGTTGCTCCCACTATGACAATCAGTTAAATCGGGTCCCCTCCTGGCGGCATCCAGGATCACATACGCTCAAAAGGCTGTACAGCAGCGAGTGGTAGTCTGGACCGGGTCAGCAGAGAGCGCCTGCAAGCTGATTCGTGTCATAACGTACAGGTCAAGGGTTGGCCGGTCGCAGTGGTAGATGAAGGGCTAGTGTTCCTCAATTCGCGGAATTCTTGACCAGTGCGGGACGCCTCGGACTTGATGTTATCGGCAATGGGGCCTAAATCGATTGGGTGTCAGATCAATTGGTCATGAAGACACCAATTTCGAGCGGTAAACGCGAAGCAGGTGTGCTTGGAGCCAGCTATTTACCCTTTGCGAGAGCGCCTAAGCGAGGGAGTAACGGTCAGTTCGTGTAACCTAGACTGGGAGTATGTGCGTGGGAGATTCAGAACTGCGATCAGAGACTAAATCAGCTTCAATGCACTCTCACTGAACAGCAAAACACGAGAACCGGTAACTGCTCGTACCTTACTGTGGCCATTTGTGTCGGGATAGCTCACGTCAGCCATGGCGGAGAGTCGTGTGTGTGTGCGTTTCGGAAGGTCTGGAGGATTTTCGGGAGGGAAAAGATAAGGAGGAAAGGGCCGGGAGTAGAGAGCGGGTTTTCAGGGGAAGCTCAAGGCGGGTTGAAATTAAATGATACAAGGGAAGACGAAGGGAACGACCGAGGCAAGAAGAAAGAGAAGTGAAGATTGAAAAAGTTGGCGACGGAGGGGCGAGAATGGAGGAGGAGAAGAAGACCGGGAGGATAAGGAGAGAGAAAGAGGAGAGGAGCGGGTGATGCAATGATCGTGTGCTGAGTTGCTGCTTGCTTTGCTTTGCTTTGCTTTGCTTGGTTTTTGGCCTTTTTCTCGCGCCTTCCAAGCGGAAAGGGCCCGCATGTGACGATGGGACCCGGTGTTTCGGACTATCTTTTAGTCTGGCCAGCCGTTAACTTACTGTTTGTCTAATAGCGTCTACAGGTTATCTATCTAGCTAATGAGCTCCTGGATATTAATGATCGTTCATTATCCCTCTTTCAAGACGGTGGGGGCGTAATGCAAGGGGTCCGGATACACGAGTCTACCTGAAGTGAGTAGGTGTTGGCTCCATGGTTGACTGACCCTACTTGCGATCTGGTCTACTACTCGAACCATTCCATCATCCATCCAGCTATGGCCATTTGGCTCTCCCACCTTATCCGGATTTGGATGCGTTTCCCCCGTAAAGGAAACCTGCAAAGACACAATTCATTCGATGCTTTGAGTAACGCCCCGGACTTTCCTATCGGATCTTTCGAGCGAGCTTCTGGCTATTTGTTGTTCTGCCAATCGAGTTGAAGAATGATTTTACCAATTCTCTGTACGAACTACTTAACTACCCTTTGCACTCAGAGATGATGTCATGACCAGGTCACAAGAATCGTCAACGTTGGATAATGGTTCCAAAGACCGATGGAAAGAACGCCATCTCTCCTCCCAATCGCGGCACATTGACTGGTTCCTCTGTCACCTCTTGATTGTGAAACCGCCCGGTCCGGTATGGTACATACTGGAGGCTGGTTGATAGTCTAGATCTGTGCACAGGGACAGCTGGCGGTGCAGTGATCCTCATGTGAGTCCCATGAACACAGCAAGGGACCATTGCTGTTACATGAAGAAACAACTCCGCCCACGTCAGTTCCTGGTCTAAGGAGAACTCTCGAATAAGCGATGCCAACATGGTTCAATAGGGCGGGACTAGCGATGCTTATCCAAAGGGGAGCGAATATAGATAGATACGCCGTAGAGAAACAAGCCAGAAAAGTCAAAAAAGGCCAAATAAACGCCTCAGGGGTCTTTTGCAGCGGCGCTGCATTGCAACTCCCCATGAGCGATGAATGTCCCTATCCTGCCTAGGACAAAATCTTGATGCCTTCGATATCAGGCACTACGTATGATGCTGCACCGTCACGTGCCATGGCGGGACTCACGCGTTTGCCGATGTTTTGATGCTCGACTCCCGACGACAGGCGATCTCAGCTCACCAGTCGACCTCCCAACTCTTATCGCCTTTCCACCACTATTCGATGTTCCCCTTGTTGTCTCTCGCTATATTCTAGGTCGGGCTTTATTGCCCTTCGCTCATTTACGCCCCCTTTATAGTACCCATACAACCCGCTGTGCGATCGCTTTGTTTACATCGCCATGGCCGCGGCAGGCGCGAGGGCGCAGAAGCCCGTGGGCTCTGCAGCGTGGATCTCAACCGAAAAGGAAAATTTTATGCAGCTGGTGGATCAGGAACTGGAGGAAATTGAATACCCAGTGCGCCATGAGATGGATTGGCTGAATGAACATATGGCCGAGGTCTTCTCCAACAACCAATCGTGGGTTGCGCCAGTCTAGAGGCTTGACGCATAGTTGCTGACGCTCACTGTTGCATAGCAATTTCGCAGATGTCTTCAAAACCCCCGGAAAACTACGAGGTAAAACACCTCGCACAGTGCGGAAGAGGGATGCGAACGAACCCCGAGTGGTGTGTTGAACCAGCTACCTTTCATCGCATCTATCATCTGCTAACGGACTGCTTCCAGCCCCTGAGCGAGATTTTCTCATCCGCACACAATAACAGCAAGACAGAGAACAAATTCAGTGCTAGCCCGGCAGTTCAGCGCTCACCAACCAAGACCGTCACTGCGACTGCAGGCCCAGCCACTGCGACGGAAGCCAAGAAGACCACGGAGAACACATCACAACCCGAGTACCCGGATCTGACCCAGAACCTCAACTCCTTCCCGCAATACAACACAGACTCGGGCTATCATGGCATGCCGGAAGAAGAGAAAGACGACGAAGAGGAAGAAGAAGACGATGTGGTCCTTACACAAGTGCAGCCCGAGTCGCAGTCCTCCACTCAACCTATGGATCAAGAGCCTAGTGCTGCCGAAGAGGTATCCCATCAACCGCAAGAAGAACGCCGCACTACAGGGGCTTCTTTCCACTCCGCTCGCGAGGATGTGCACCAACGTGAAGAAACCGTCGAGCCCGAGGTCACTGAAACGTCGCCCAAGCGGAATGTCAGCACCAGTCCCCAGAAGCAACAGTCACCGATGAAGAATACAGAGAAGGTTGACGAAGCAAAACCGCAACCTGAGGAGGAACCTGAAGACAAACCCATGTCAGACGTGGATTCTGAACAAGAGCCGGAACCGGAGCCGGAGCCGGAGCGTGAAGACACCGTTGAGTTGGAACCTGAGGCCAAACCAGAAACCCAGGCCCATCAGGAACATGAGTCTGAACAAGAGCCCGAAGCCTCACCCAGACGCGAATCCCTGCCTACCAAGAATTCCGCACCAAAGCCAGTATCTAGTCCGTTCAAGGAAACGAAATCGAGTCCGCAAACAAAAGCAACTTCGCAGCCCCTCGAGCGTTATCAGGAAGATAACGATGACGGAAATGACGACATGGCCCTTGACAGTCTCGATGAAATCGGCTCACCTTCGGAGGGATCTCCAGTCCGCCCGCCGATTCGCAAAAGCAGTCTCACTTTTGCATCACTCCCAGCTCGCGAACCGCTGACGAAGAAGAGCCTGGGAGGCTCGAGAATTTCCCGTACAAGCCATCTCGACATTACCAAGCTTAGTAACGCCGGAGGTTACCTGGGCAGACAGACCGGTGGGCATAGGACGACCCAGCATGCTGCGGAGGACAGCAATATCCATGGCGACAAGATGGACATTGACGACAAGAAGGATGCCACTGAGGAAGATAGAGATGCCGAGACTAGAGCCAGCAAGCTCCACAACAAGTCTTCCACTCAGCTCCTGCATGAGAAGATCAGCATGCTCGGCAAACTTCAGCCTTCTCGACCTACCAAATCCATTCCTTCCGTCGCTGGCTTGTCGACCGCGCAAGTGACATACCCTGAACTCCCTACTGCCCAACCTGAAGCTAAACAGGAGACATCCGGCTCGAAGTCGCGTGAGACCCCGGCTCCTGACTCCGCTGTGGATGACGACTGGATCAAACCACTGAACTCGCCCTACCGGCCAGACGTACGTGCTAGCCAGAAAGCTGATAGCATGGGCAAACATTCCAGCGCTCGGATAGCCCGAGCTGCAGAGGAAGACCGTCCTTCCGTTGATAAGGAACGAGATGTCCATTCCTCAGAAGAGCCGAGGACTAGCTATAAGCACGCTTCAGATGCAGCTCGTGGAAAGTCGTCAACACCATCATATTCATCGCCGCAGCGGCCTGGTCATCAGAAGAGCGCGTCTGCACATGTTGATAACCACATGTCCACAACCCCAGTTGGCTCCCCGGCCGAGCGCTATGATGGTCCGATCAGTGCATCCAAATCGCGGCTTCAGTCTATCGTACAATCCGCTAAGGGCCTCTTCATGAATACCGGGGGAGTTACAGCTGCGGCCAGAATCGAATCTGCTTCCCCGGAACCACCAAGATTAAGGCATACGGGACGATTGGACACAGATCGCAATAGGGAAAGCCAGCGGCCGCAGTCGACACAGCCCCTGAGTCCTCCACGCCAAGAAGGCCGTCGAACGCGTAGCTCCACCGAAAGAGAGGAGAAGCGCAGACAAAAAGAGCTCGAAGACCGCCAGAGGGAAGAAGAGCAAGCGGAGAGAGCCCGGCAACTGGAGAAACAGAGAGCCATGAAACTCAAGGCGCCAGAGAAGCCAACCGTTGACCATGAAGCTCGTGCGCAAACTACCGAATCAGCTACCGTGTTGCCTACGCATAAGACGTCGCATCTACAAAAATCATCCAAGGAACCAGAGCCCAGCGTCGAAGCCGGACCCAAACTTGCCGCCCCAAGTTCCATCTCACAGCAGCAGTCATCAAAGCAAAATGAACGTCGCCCTCTCAAGCCGGCCCGCGAGGTTCAGAAACCGAAGCCTCAGCCTGTCTCAATTCGCGTCGGCAGCGCCCTCTCCCGGCAAATGCCGCTAGCGTCGCAAGTGTCTTCCAACACCCGGGAGTCTAGCGTTCCTGCACCAACTCCAGCGTCGGCTTCAAAACCGTCGACGTTGAAGAAGAAGGCCAGCAATACCTCATTACACACAGCCTCTTCGAACAGCAGTTTCAAGAGCTCTATATCCAGCCAGTCGCAGAGAAAGGCTCAGCTTGCAAGTGAGAGGAAGAGGGAGCAAGAGGAGCGCGAAGCCAGGCGCCGGGAGGAGCAAAGACGCGAATTGGAACGAAAGCGTGCAGCTCAGCAGCAAGAAGAAGCTCGTCGTCAGGAGATGCGCAGTCGGGCAGAGGCTGAGCGCCGGGAGCGACTTGCTGTCGAGGATCCAAAGAAGGCTGCCCACATGCAAGCCATTGAAAAGCGCCGCCTGGAGAATCAACGCAGACTAGAGCGACAGGGGAGCCAGCAGCCTGAGGCCACCCAACGCAGTGAGCTCGGTGCAGCTCGACCAGCCTCACGACTGGGCTCGATTCAGCCTTTCAATCGGTCTATTAATCAGCCCCAACCCAACCCCGCTAAACCGCCCAAGAGAGGACTTGATGACGAGGCCAACCACCGACCGACAGCACCGAAGTCTGCTACCATGCAGCCGTCGGGCGAAACCAAACGTAGGAGGACAGAGGATGAGCAAAGCCGCATGTCTTCTATGCGTCCGGCAATGGCCCCGCCGATCCGTCAATCCAATATTCGTAAGGTGAGTACTACGCAGGTGCTGAAATACTTTGGAGCTGCGCTGACCGTGTAACGAGGAAACTACGAAGCCGTCCATTTTTGGTCATACACAGCCTTCTGTTGCACATCAATCCGGCTCCTCGATCTTCAAGACAGGTCAGGCCCAGAGACCCGCCCATCCAATGGATATGGCCAAATATGCCAGTGGCAAGATCCCCTTTGCGGAACCCCCCAGTGTGCAGCCGGCTGCACACCGAACTCCCGCCGCCGCTAGTGCGTCCCAAAAGGCACCGGTCAAGGAGTCACCAAAGTATCCGAATGGTGAAAACATTAACCTTCCCGAGATTGCGACCGACAGTGAGGACGAGGACTCGGATGCGGAGATGCTTCCCGTGCCCAAGTGGGCCCAGCCCAAGGAACTGGAGTCACTCCTGCGTCAGCAGGAAGGCATGGAGGTGGATTCTATTTTCGGCCCTATTGCGCCCTTCTCCCTGGAGGAGACATTCAAGTCGGACAAGAAGATCAAGAAGTTCCGTGAACGTACAAGTAGTGCGAACTGGTCTGGCGCCGATGGGCTGACGCAGGATGAGATCCGACGTGACCTTGCTGAGCGGCAGCGTCTGCGCCTCAACGGTGGTTGGTCCTTTAATGGATAGAGGATGGATTGAAGTTTTCGTTAAGTTCTCGGGTTAGGTGTTTGTCTAGACTTCCATTGGGGTGCCCTACATGACTTATTTGGGATGCTTTTATTGAAGACGTTTCTTGCGGGACAAATCTCTGGGTGGGTGGCATAACAGGACCGGCGTTGAGCAGGTTGCGTGTTTGAATTACATTGTAGCTATACTACTGAGCACCACTTAATGCATGTATGCATTTTTTTATTTTTCATTTTCCTTTTTTTTTTTTTTTTTGTTATTTCTCAATTTGGAAGTACGTCCTTTTACACCTGCGACCGGAAGATGTGGCCATGGTTCAGGAACAGCAGTGGCTAAAAGGCCCGAAACGCGCCTCTTCTGTCCTCCCCCAGCTTCGACAAAGGGCTCGAGTTCCAAGGACGGTCGTATCACCCGGTGACGACACGACCATGGCTTTCCACTTATCATGCCCACCTCTTTTCTCTCACTCACTCACACACACACTCTCGGTAACCTCTCAAATACAGCGGTATCACAAAAAGTACAACATCCCTGGATCTAGAACCGCAAACCCGTCGTCGGGTTGCATCCGAGGATGCCGCGGCCTTCTGAGCGGCCGGCGAGTATCGAGGAACAGGAGCTTATCTGGCCTGCAGTGGTCGTGAACGGGGATTCGCCGCCGGGATGGTGAGCTCTCCGTGAAACTGACCGCTGGGATGTAGCAGCTTTCTCTAGTGCTTGAGTAAGAATTCAGTTTGCCATTTTCTGGATACCTGAGAGACTAGTAGGATACAGAGATGACTGAGTCTCCTACTACTATTTGCTAATACTAGTATGTCTCAAGCAGTGAGAAAGAGGGGTAGCTGCAGGATCAAAGATTGCGTTTCTTCTGTACTCGCTTACTCTGCAGTTGTATGTATTTCCGTTACTTTGGCTTGTAAGAAAGAGCCTTGTCGGAGGAATCTGTATGGCCCCTGCGACTAATGACAAATAGGAGAAATACTTCTCATCGTGCGTTTGGTGGCATTGAGTTATTGCTTTTTCCCTTTGGGGGCGGTGGGGGAAAGGGAGGGATTCTTGACTCCGACATACTTCTTACCACATATTCTAGCAAATCCTGCGAGTTACTTACTATACCTGTTCTCTCTTAGGGAACGATTCAAAGTTGGATTGGAGGATAGTCAGGCCAAGTCCTAGTTAGTTGTTTGTAGAATGAGTACGTAGTTGATAGTGACTGCACATCATGATGGATTGGGAAGGCGCCACGGGACCCGCCCGGAAGTGCTGCAGTCAATCCCGCTCGGGGAAGGAGCGATAGGCTATGGCACTATCTGTATACTTTACCTTAGTTTCTTCGTCCTTCTCTTTCCTCTGCATTCTCCCAATTCCACTCATCTGTGCTTCCACTGTGAGTATAGTATTTGCCTGTCTTCTGACTTAGTACACACCTCAAAGGACCCGCTGCGTTCTCACAGCCTAAAAACAGCCTCGCAGCCAATCACTGGCCTGCATGGTGATCCAAAGGCTAAACCTCACGTCCCACAAACACATGCGATGACTCCCCTCTTCGTCCCCCACACAAGCCTAGAACACACCCTGTTCCTCCCAGTTTCTAATTATGGAGAGGCCGAAAAGGCAAAGGTGGTATTTTACAAAACAGCCTGGTACGTGTGGCAGCCTGAGTAATTTCCCATTGTCTTGAATTGAGTTCTCCTTCTTCCTTTCTTAGACCAGCCTCTCTGTCGCAGCCTAACCATCCACTGATCACCAGAAACGCTGTTGTTACTTCCCCATCGCCCCTGGCTGCCGCTACGTACCGTTCGGCCGGAATCCTTCTCCATTGTCTACCAAATGCCGATACCAAGCCGCTGCGCTTCTCCCCGCTGAAGTTCGGCTACCCATCTGAAGGACTGATTGGACACAAAGAAAGGACTTTTTGGAAGCACAAATAAGTAGAAGGAACCAGAGGGCTGGTGCGCCACAGAATCGTGGGGCCCCGGCACAGAAACCCGCGTGGAAGCTCAACTTTACTGGCACCAGCGGAATGGCCTGCTGTGTCGGGCCTTACATCTCTCTCTGCGTTTTCTAATTGGCGTAATCGCCAAATCTGGCGGGTATTAATCTACAAAGTGAACTGAAGCAAATATGCTGTCAATGAGTGTTGCTTCCATGCAGTGACGCCTGAGCTGAAGCTGTGCTAATGAGCTTCCCTATGCCAAAGGTGTCGTCTGTTAGAATGGTGCAAAGTAGTGTGACCATGTGCTTTCATCCCGAGGATTAGGAGACCCTCTAAAAAGAACAGAGCCATACTGCCGACAATAATACCTAGTACATGCTCGTCTGGCACTCATCGGTTGTTGTGGATGTGAGACAATCGAGGCCGGTTCCTTTCCTTTCCCTTTCCAAAACCGAGATTCCTAGCTTGGCCTCCTCAGCCCGTCAGCCACAAAATTACCACAAGACAAACCATCATCTTGCAAAGGCCCCCAGCACCCCTGAGGTCCGATGGAAACAATTAGCTGGCGGAAAAGCAGCTTCTGGTGATACAAGAGCGAGCTGCGGCTTCCCGTTGGTCTGAGACCTCTCAAATATCCGCCTCGCCGAGCCAGTCTCATCTAGCCCTGTTTGCTCGCTATTGGTTATACGAGAAAATGCCTAGTCCCTCGGTTGCTCGAGCAGCTCATACGTACTTCGGATCGATGGCTCTATGCTCTTGGATGGCATGAGCTCGCCGTCGAACAGAGACAGATGGCGACCGGCCTGCAGAGCCAAGACGTCATCGTCAGCAGGCTCCAGATGATACAGTACGAGAATGCCATGTAGATCCCCATTTTAAAGTTTTATGGATCTTGGCCCCCTTTCTTGCCTATGCTACTGGAGTCGTCTTGCCATCTGTTTGCAACACGGGCTATCAAGGCCTGAGAGGTCTACGATACTGGTGTCAATACTCATCCACTTGGCCGTATGAGTCCCTGAAACCTAATTCACCATCTGGCCCGGTGGTATTGCGTCGTGATCCTGGCCTTGGGTAACTCCAGATGGGTGGTGGAACGAAGGAGGCCTCGATGAGCTAGAGACATATGTGAGCTCCTGTCATACCAGGATAATCGATGTCGATGATGACAATGAGATCACCCGGGCTTGCACTCTCCAAGAGGAATGTAAGTGATCGGCAGTGACAGTTGGAGAAATGAACCTCCTAGCAGACATCAACAAGTCCGGGTCTAGATTCAGAAAAAGTGGCTGATACCGTCTCGTGATGTTTTTTTCAAGTATCGGTGAGGTTGTCTCGTGTGGGAACCCTCCATCCAAGACAGTTGTTCAAGCCAACCGTCTGTTCGAGAATCTATTGGGACTTGGTTCACCGCTGGCTTGAAGCCTCGAGGGCCGACCAATGGTTTGTTCCATGCAAACAGAACAAGCCTATTTTCCCACAAAATCAGCCATTGAGCTCATTCTCCGAAAACCATCAGGGGAACGCATGCATTGGCGATGCAGGAAAATGTAGACCCTGCAATGTTTCCCGCTTTTTCTCTATTTTCTTTTTCTCTTCCCCTGTTGTTTTGCCGGGCATGCCATTTTCTCTAGGTAAGCTTGTGATGGGCTAGGCAGAGACATCTCCCGACATTCGGGCTTGAACAACTACTGTGCACTGAATGGCCCCGTTACGGTTTGGTAACTCTCATCGAAACCTTCGCAGACCTTCTAGAACTCTGTTAAGTGGGCATAGCGGATGGTAAGTCTCAGCTCGAGAGAAGCAGAGATGTCGATGATGATGTGCATCTGCATGCCTATCTTTTTCCATCGTTATTTAAGATTTCGATGCCCACCCCTCTCAACCTCTATTGAGCCACACATTCTATCTGTCTCATTATTCAACTTAACTTAGTTTGTTGGATCAATGGCCTCGATAAGGTCTCTGCTGAACCCCAATACCTCGTGCCCCAGTCTCAATCCGGCAAGCTCACAGCGTGAACTGTCTTTACAGTCACCCCACTCAGAAAGGAAGAAGGTCCCCAAAGATCAACCGTCCTTTAGGAGGGGCAAGGTCCAGGGCGAAGTTCGCTATCGCGTTCACGATGAGCGCGACGAAGAGCTTAAAACGATCCACCTGAAGCACAAGTTGTACCCCATAGGCAACATAGCAGACTTTCCGGACCGCATCCCCTATACTAGCAAAAAAAGGTCTTTCAAGGAGCGGACAGGGAGGGAAGGCTTTGAAGGTGATTGTCCATGATCCTACTTCAAGCCATACGTTGACCGGGAGAGTCTTTTATAGTTTTCCATTACACGTTCGAGATGCCCGACAATCCCAAGACGTGGGTAATATCGTGGGATTATAACGTTGGACTTGTTCTCACGAGATCCCTGTTCAAGTGCAACGGCCATCCAAAGGTGTGTCTTCCATAGCCTATGCATAACAGAGCAGACCTGATGGTTCCAGACCGCTCCCGCGAAGGTGTTGAAGATGAACCCGGGCCTCGGCGATATTAGTCACAGCATCACGGGCGGCGCACTCGTCGGACAAGGTAAGCTTTAATTTCTATTCAAAAATCTCCGCTAACCAGAGTCAAGGATACTGGATGCCATTTAGGGCTGCCAAAGCGCTAGCAACCACATTTTGTTGGAACATTCGCTTCGTTCTGACGCCCATGTTCGGCCTCGATTTTCCTGCGCAGTGCATTCCCCCAGATGACCCCCGCTTTAACAACATGATCATCGATCCGGAGATAATCCGTCAAGCCGCGGAGGATGTGGCTTACTACCGCAGCCTGGAGCCGCCGATTTCCCGACGTGGAAGTAATAACAGCTTCCAAAAACCCGATCGAGACCAACAGAACAAAACCCGGAAATCGTCGCCTTGCCAGCAGAAATGTCAGAGCGTCTCTCCGCACGATATATATTGCGTTTCGCCCACTAGCTGCTCTAATAGTACATATATGCTGGCCGATACCCCATACACTGCCGACGGAAGCACTTCACCACGCGCAGTTTTCGGACGTGGGATGCGAGAGGAATTCCGGTCAGAGACAAGCTCGCAGCTTACCTTCTATGGCTCCAGCTTATCGAGCAACCACCTCTCCGATGACGACCACAAGAGAGGCAGTCAAGTTGAACTGCATGAGAATTACTATGGCAGCGATCTGCCCTCAGCTGAGGTTTTCTCGGCTACAGGAATGGTTGGTGCTTGCTCCTGGCAGCCAACGGATACTTGTGAGCCTGAGGCTTCTTTGGAGGGCTCTAGGGCAGCCATTGCCGCGCATACGTTAATGGACTTGCGCAACAGCGGTATAAGATATGGTATGTTGTAAGCTGACAGGATGGTTTCTGGTTCTTGTTAACTCTACATTCTTGGAGGTGGTCATCATGTGGTCTTTTACTGACGAAACTGCGCTTCGGCTGTTGGCAGGGTGGACGGGCGATGATGGCGTTATGGTTGCTTGATTAACTGGATATGTAATGGCGCTGACTCATGTATTACACTTGGCTTAGAATAGACTTGGTTTCGTTTCTATATCACAAGCACACGTTAGATCTCATACAGCCACGTAGGTGAGTATGAACCAGAGGTATGGATGTAGTTGTTGAATTATACCGAAGAGAATTAACAGCTGGTTTCAGTCTATAGGATTAGTCTACTACTTCCCATTCCTCACATACCTTTCCCCCCTAGTTCCTTCACATCAAGTGAGATACTCCCAAAGTAGTACAGAAAACCAACCCCTACTCGCAACTATTACCCAATCTGTCCTTCCCTCCAAACCAGCCAAGCATGCACTTTCCCACACCGTCACCCAGTCAAAAGCTGCGTGAGATTCCTTCGTGCAATATATACACCAATTGTAGTAGTGGCGAGAGCCCGATTGAGGGGTTTAACACATAAAATGGATACATACTAGGCTACATAACCCCTCCCATCCACGAACCTACCACCAAAAACCAGAACTATGCACGTACTAATTTGAGCACTTGCCCCATCCTGTCATAGCGAGAAGAAAGGGAACGACTAAAAACACCAGCTACATACATACAGATAGTAATCTGAGAAATACGAAAGTGGAAATAAACCTCTTATTAAATTACATTATTCTAGTTCTCTATAGCATCTAATCTAATCTATAACTATCTCATACCCATTCTATCCTGTATCATATGGATATCAAACCTCCTCTTTACCCAATCCATTAATTACTCTCCCCCACATGCGCTTTCATCCCAAAAAAAGACCTAAAGCCAAGCTAAACCGCATACCGACTCCACCCCCGAATCACCACTCCATAGCGATAAAACACATACGGCACAGGAGTCATCAACGCACTAATCGCCCCCAAGATCGTCAACGTCCAATGCACCCCCATATTACTATAAAACGGGATCCCCACGACCGTCATCCCGCCTGCCGCACAGTAGCGCGATACCGTCATGAAGCCCAGCGCAGAGGCGGCGTAGATGTCGTATGCGTCGATGACGTACATGTACGAGGAGATGAAGACGCAGATGGTGCCGAAGCCGAAGACGGTGGATGCGATGATGGGGGACCAGATTGAAATTGAGCTCTATTTGTTCATCATGTTAGTATTGTTTTAGAACTGGGGGTGAGAGAGGGGGGGGAGGTGTACGTAGTCAGTCCATCCCATCCAGAATAACCCAATGGGAATGGCGGGGGCACCGAGCATGGCGAACCAGAGACGGTTCTCGGGACGAGCGACGTGCTTGTGTTGCTGGGTGGGTTTTTGAGTATCATCGTCGTCGAGGTTCGGTTTCTCAGAGGTATCGGCGCCATTGGCGTTGGGATCGGCAGTGACTATTTCCGAACTGGCCGATCGGGGGGAAGCCGCTGCAGATGCAGCAGCGGATGCAGCCGCGTCGGAGAATTCGCGCTTTGTCCAGACGTACACGACGGGGACGAAGAGTCCGGCCATTGAAATGCCGACGTACATGGCGACCCAGACGATGTGGTCAGGCCTTGGAGAGGCCGTGCACGTCGCTAAAATATACGTGTATCCGTCGAAGAAAGTGAAGAGTACGATGTAGATGACGGTCATGTAGAGGGAGATTAGCAGGATGATGGGTTCGTGGATGGTCAGGGCGAATTGTCGCATGCAGGCGGTTCCGATGCGAGAGAACAGCGCCGTCTCCTGCAGATCCATTGATGAGCGGTAGCGATTGTCGCCCGTTTGCTGGCGGAGATGGTGCGCCTTCCATTTCAGGAGTAGGGGGCCGTAGGTCTCGGGCTGCAGCAGGAGGATCAGAGCCAGGATGAAGCCTGCCAGAATGAGGATGATCCAGTTGGTCCAGCGCCAGGAAAGGGTGCCTTCGCCCATGTAGGAGGCGATGACAGGGCCGAGGACGGGCCCGCCGAAGGAGAGGATGGCGTAGAGAGGGAAGAAGAGGGTTTTCTCCAGGGGGTTCCAGAGGTCGGCGATGGTGCCGCCGGCGCAGGTTAATGGTGGACAGCCGAAGATGCCAGCCAGGAAGCGGAAAGCGAGCTGTGCGCCGATATTGGGGGCCAGTCCTGAGGCCATGACGAAGATCATGAATAGCGTGAGGGAGCCGGTGTAGACGGCATTGCGGCCTAGAATTTCGGACAGAGGTCCAGAGACGAGCGAGCCTGCTGCGAAGCCAAGCAGATACATGCCCGTTGCGAGCGATGCGACGACATCGCTGATGTTAAAGGCTGCTGCGTTCTGGGGAAGCACGCCAGATTCGATGGACGAGGCCGCACCCACGGCGAAACCCAGCGCGGACACCATCAGGGTTGCGCCGATGCGGGTGGCGCGGCTGTAGTTGCGCGGATTGATGGGATCATGGTCACCGTCCCAGTCGACGAGCAAGACGGACGAGGACGAGCCATCGTTGTCGACTACGTCCTTCAGCTGCACGCCCGGCAGCAGCGGACTGGAACGGCGGCGCGAAACTGCGTTGGGAGCATCTCTGGGGATCCCCTCCGGCAGGTCATCTTTGGCGACGCCTGGTCGGGCAAACTCCGGGAAATCTTCGAGCTGTTGGCGCACGGCATGGCCAATGCGGCGGTACTGAAGATAGGCCTGCATGGAGGGGAGATGTCTGTCAGTGGGAGAGGCACAGGAAGAGAAGAAGGAAAGGAAGAGGGACAGACGAGAGAACCACCTTGGAGACGAAAGAACTACGCAAATCCTGGGACCAAACAGTGCTGAATAATGGCCAGTCCAGTCTCGGTCGATAACTAAGGTCCGGGTAAACGCAATCACGTTCAACGGCGGGTCTCTTTTCTCGAAAGGCAAAGAAAAAAGAGACTTCAAAGTCAAGCCTTGAATTTGGTGGATCACCAAGTGGAGCCTGAGTGGAGCCTGGGGCCACACACTCGGACTTCTCGCCGACTTCTCTTTGCTTCTACTCAAACATCCCGAGATAAGACGTTGAAATTTAACAAATGGAAATTCTGACTGTATTATCACATCCGATGATGTAGTACCAATGGAATAGTAGTAGTAGTAGTAGGTACAGAACGACTCAATAGAAAATTAGTTACGTCCACATGTATGTACTCCTCTCGCCACATCTTTCTTCTACTCGCTGTCCTCTGCGAAATCATCCTCCGAATCTCCTCCGGCTCCAAAATCGTCACTGTCATCATCAATCACATATGTCTTCTTCTTGGCCGTTGCCGTGCGCCGCGATGGCCGGCTAGTGGGCGCTGCGGGAGAATCCAAGATATCATTAGCCATCGCATCAATGTCGTCGTCCGACAAGTCATCCGCCAGTTGCTTCTTCTTTCCGGTCGTCTTGGCTTGCTTGGAAGCGTACGCCTTGGCCGCCGGCGACAGCGCCGTCTGCTTAGCAGATGCAGCCGTGGTGGTGGCATCCTTCTTTGGCCGTCCTCGTGGCTTCGCGGCCGGTTTGGCTGCCGCTGCCTTGCCTCGGGCCGCCGGCTTGGCCTTGGTAGCGGCCGGCTTCACTGGCTCATCCTCCTCCTCATCGCTGTCAACTAACGTCTTGGTCTCCTTGGACTTAACCTGCAGCGACCGGCGCGGAGAGCTCTGTGGGACGAGCTTGCTGTAGTCAGTCTCGTCTGCGTCGAAATCGGGAGACTGCTTCGAGGCCTTGGAGCTGCTGGCCAGTCCCGAGGTGCTGCCGGCCCCAGAGCGCTCCGAGAACAGCTGCCGGGAGTCCGATGTCGATCCGCCGGTAGTGCCGCCGATCCCCTTGACCATTTTGCTCACGTCGCCCAGGAGGTCGTCCCCGTTGTCGCTGTCCGAGTCACTCAAGGTGTACTTGGCCGGCTTGCGCGCTCGACTGGGCGCTGGGTCAGCCTTGCTAGTCTCGGCGGCCTGCGCCTTAGTGATCTCCATGAACTCGTCGTCGTCTAGCTCGATCTCCTCTTCCGCTGGCTTAGCCTTCGCTTTGGCTGCTGGACGGCCCCGTTTAGCTGGTGCTTTCTTCACCTCAGTACTATCGGGATCCTCGGCCTTAACTTTGGACGCAGCCTTGGGTGCAGCCCGACTCTTCTTCGGCAAGATTTCCACATCGGATTCGCCTGTCTCTTTCTCTTCTTCCTTCGCTGGCGCTGCCGGCTTGCTGGCCCCGCGATTCTTCTTCGGCATTACCTCCATTTCAAAATCATCGTCGTCGTCATCGTCGTCCGCTGCAGGCTTGGGCTTAGGAGAGGACTTGTTCAAGAAACTATGGAGCGTGCCTTTAGGCTCCGCCTTCTTCGGACCGCGCTTGGTCTTCGGTGCGGCGAAGTCTTCATCATCCGAGTCATCATCCTTAGCAGCCTTGCGCTTGCGGGCACCACCACGGCCCACAGCCGTCATCAGCTTGGAGGAGGTACGGCGGCCCATGTTTGTCACCTTACGCATGCGACGAGCTTCATCGTCGAGCTGGAAGCGCCATTCGTTGATGAAGTCATCCAAATCCCGCTTCCAGATATCTTCCTTGGAAAGCTTGATCAAGGTGTCAATTTCCATCTCCTTATCACCAATCTGGCGACGGAGGCGCTCCACACGCTCCTGGGTCAACGACCAGATCGCCATACCCAGCAGGTAGTCATACGCGTTGGAAAGATTGCTGGTATCATCGACGTCTTCGGATTCCTCCTCATCTTCAGCAGCTGGCTCGGCTTCCCCTGCCTTGGCAGCATCCGCCACCTTGGGGAATGGCTTGAAGCCCTTGTCCTTCAGCTCCACAACGAGCACATTCTTCTTCTTCTTCGAAACGACGAGCTCACCGTCGATGATCATCTGGACAAAGCGCGCCTGGTTGCTCAGCTTCTCCAGCTCCTTTTGCATTTCGTTGAGTTGGTATTGCTAAACTTCGGTGTTAGTAGACAGCACACTAGCATCAAGTTCGTCTGGGAATGGCCTACCTTGCGGCGCTCGTAATACTTCAGACGGACTGCAAAGAATTCCTTCAGAATGTCGTCCACTGTCGCATATTTGGTAATCCGACCCTCGGGATCAAACGCAACCAAGTTCGTGGTGGCGATGGTCTTCGTCAGCTTGAACTTTTCTTCCAAGCCTTCTTCGACGGCAGACTTCAGATGCTTCTCATCCATTTGGATTACAAAGTGAACCTTGGTGTGCGTGTTGTAATCCTTGTAGTCCTTGATGAACGACGGTGTCTTTTCCGCCTTGATGATATCTTCAAGCTTATCCTTGAAATCCTGAGTCCAAGTTCGGATGGGCAGTTCGGTGATCTCTACTTCCTTCTCACCAGTCTCTTTGATGATACCGCTGAATTTGAAGCGATCACCGCCAATAGAAGTGACCTCACCTGTGAACCCACGGAACCAGGGCTGCATAGGTTTGATCTCCTCGCCATTCATCAGCCGCTTCAGGTTGTCCACGACGTCCTCCGGGTTGTAGTTGGGAATCGAGGAACTCCAGCCGGTACCGATACCGTCCGCACCGTTGATCAGAATCATGGGAACCACCGGCATGTAGACCTCTGGCTCGATAGTCTTACCATCGTCGACGTTGTAGGTCAGTAGAGGCTCGTCTGACGCATGGAAGATGCGGCGCGCGAACGGGGACAGCCGCGTGTAAATATAACGCGCACTGGCGCAGTCGGAACCACCCTGAAGACGACTACCAAAGTTACCGCTAGGCTCCAGGCAGTTGATGTTGTTGGACCCAACAAAGGTCTGCGCCAGGCCAACAATGGTTTGCTGCAAGGAAATATCACCGTGCTGGTACGCGGTCATACCCGAGACGTGACCAGCCAACTCGACGACCTTCATGTCCTTCTTCAGATTGCGACGGAAACAGGTGTACAGAACCTTACGCTGACCAGGCTTCAGACCGTCAACAACAGAGGGAATCGAACGAACATTGTCCGCCATACTGAACAGGATAAGCTCTTTGTTGATGAAGTCGGTGTAGGTGATCTTCTCAACGGAATGATCCAAGAAGGTTCCGGGCTTGAACTGCCGCAGCCACTCCTTACGCTCGTCAGCCTTCTTCTTCGAGAAAGCCAGCTCGATCAACTCCGCCTCGTTATCCTGCATGGTGTGGAACTCCTTAAGGTGACGGTCCAAGTCGCGGAAGTAGACCTGGGCATCCTCAGTAGTACTGGTACCCAAACCCTTGTAGTACTTGTGATCCCAACCACGCTCATGCTGGTGCTCCTCCGCCCATGCCTCGTACTCGGGCATAGTGAAGAAAGAACGCTGTTTGGTAGGGTTTTTGGGATCACCCTTCCACACCTTTACAATGGGAGTGATGAACTCAATCAAGAACTCGGGAATCTTCAGCAAACTGGGAAACTGGGCCTGTAGGAAGTTGATGAGCAGGCCCTTGATGTGACTACCGTCGTGATCCTGATCAGTCATGATCATCAAGTGACCGTACCGAAGGCCGCGGGTGTCGGTATACTCCTTCTTGTGCTGCAGACCCAAGAAGTTCTTGATATTCTGAATTTCCTGATTTTTTGAGATCTGGTCGAAGGAAGCGTCACGGACGTTGAGCAGTTTACCTCGAAGCGGGAAAACGCCAAAAAGATCCGGGCCAACAACCGCTCGACCAGCCATGGCCAGACCCTTGGCAGAGTCACCTTCTGTGAGGATCAGGGTGCAGTGATGGCCGTCCTTGGTGCCGGCCTTGTTGGCATCGGTCAACTTGGGGTTGTTCATGCGGGAGCGCCGGCCACCGTCCGTCTTTTTGAGCATCTGATCGGCCTTCTGCTGGGCGAAATGCAAGATGTTCTCCATCACCGCTGTCTTCAGGATCTTCTTATAGAAGTCTTCATCAAGCACACATTTACTACCAAATTGGGAAGCCTTAGTCGTCAGCTGTTCTTTGGTCTGGGATGTGAATGCCGGGTTGACAATCAGTGCGTTGACGAAGATGAAGATGTGGTTTCGGATCTGGGCTGTTTTCAACGTGGCGCCGTTTTTATTCTTCTTTTTCACTTGCTCAGCCAATCTATTACAGATCTGATCGGCAATGTAGTTAACATGGGTACCACCAGAGGTGGTCGCAATGGAGTTTACGAAGGACACCTGTTGGAAAGCGCCATCGGAAACGGCGAAACCGACCTCCCAGCGAGGGTCTGGGCTGCAAGTAATAATCTCGTCCTTCGGGGCGGGACCAGTGTCTCCACGTTCCTTACGAATAGCCTTGGTGTACATCTCCATGTACTTCTTGAAGCCGCGGATAGGGATGCGAGTGCCGTTCAGCTTGACATTCACCTTTGCAGTGCCTGCCAGGTCATACACACGACGCTTGACAAGAGCCTCGAAGTCATCATCCATGCCGTCCATGCCGAATTTGGCGTAGTCTGGCTTGAACGTGACCTTGGTGTAGTCTTCTCCCTTGGCCTCGGTAATCTTGGCCTTGCCGATCTTGGTCATGTTTTCCGTCCATGTCTGCCTATATTTCTTCTTCTGAGACGAGTCCTGAGTCTCGATGGAGAACTCAGTGGAGAAAACGTTACAGAGCTTGGCACCGAAACCGTTACGACCACCGGTGACCTTCTGTTGCGTGTCATCGTAGTTGGAGGAGGTGAGGAGATGACCAAAGATCAACTCGGGGACGTAGATCTTTTCCTTGGCATGCATTTCGATGGGAATACCGCGGCCATTGTTCCAGACACTGATCACGCCCGACTCACGGTCGACCGTCACGCGGATCTCGCTCATATTCTCGTCATTCTGTTTGTTATCGGCTGCGTTGACGACAATTTCATCGAAGATCTTGTAGAGACCGGGCACATAGGAGACTTCACGGTACTCCATTCCGTCCGACTCCGAACTGTATACCCACATTTGCTGCGTCGTGCGTTCGACGGAGCCAATATATGTATCGGGACGTTTAATGATGTGTTCAAGTTGTGTAAGCTATAAATGCGACGGTTAGCCCAAGTTTGGCCCAGCGACGCCGGAAATACTTGCCTTCTGGTACTTCTCTGATGCATTGTTGGACTTTCCGGGCTCTACGGAATCATCTTTTCCAAATGATTCATTTTCCACATCCGCGAGGGGCTTAGCGCCGCCCTTCTTGGAGGGACCAGCCGTCTTCTTCGCCTTCTTGGGAGGGGTGTGCGACAGAACAGAGTCGTCGGACATGTGATCGTCATCGTCGTCCATATTGTCGTCGTCATCGCTATCCGGTTTGGCACGTTTTTTCGAAGCCGCCTTGGATGTGGTCTTCGTAGTGAGGGTGGTCTGGGTGAGCTTCTTAGGCGCTGCCTTAGAAGCTGCCTTCTTGGGGGCTGCCTTGGCCTTGGGCTTCTGTAATTATCATGAGCTCGCTGAGTCCGAAGCAGGAGGCTAGAATGAGAAGTGTTACGTACCGGAGCGGGCTCGGGGACGAAGTCGGAGCTTCCTTCGTCGTCGAAGACGGAGTCGTCCATGATCGAATCGTCCATTATGAGGAGATAACGCTTCGCACGCGCAGGTAAAGGGAGGCGAACGGAAAAGGAGGATAAGGAGTGACGGGAAGGGTGAAAATTTCAGCGAGAGAAAGATTTATGAAAGAACAACCTGCAACCAGCGAGGCCGTAGAAAAAGTAGGGGATAAGTAAGTAAAAAAAAGCAGCCAATTCCCCAGATAGGCTACTTTATGTCGACCGTGTGTTGTTTGTTGTCGAAGTCTTTGTTGACGCGCTCAATGCGACGCTGCGCTGCGGCAGAGAAACAGTTCTGGCCGCTGACCGCCCTCGGATCAATGTCGGGCCTCTGCTGAAGTGGCGCTAAAGTGGCTCAAAGAGGAAATCTCCAAACACTCGGGCCCAAAGCGGAAGGCACGACCAAAACATGCAAGGCTGGCGCGGGGGAGGGGGATTTATCAACAACATAAAGAAGTCACTAACACCGGGCAAGGTTATTCTTAGCACAAAGCCCTACATCAAGTGCAGCGAACAAGGGATGCCATGCGATCATTGCTGCTCAACCCTTTGTTGTTGTGAAGAAACATGAATCACCCACGTTGACAGCTGCCACCCATGTTGTGGCGGTCGCCTCGGACACTGAGTGATGTTGAATAGGTGACACTGAGTAGACAGACCTATGTACCACCAAATGACTTCTGTATTATTATAAGCTACGATCATTGGATTCGGTCACCTCTACTACTCTTTAAACAACTTCTTTCAGTATTAGAACAGTAATCGGTATTACTACCTAGTAGTATTCAACTGACAGAGTCAATGTGATGACAATTAGTTGAGAGGTGGGGTGTCTTGTAGCCGAGAAATATATTATCATGATCAGAAGATTACTATCTATCTATAGATAGAGTCCTTGGGCAACTGCTAGTATTCAATACTGGTGGATAGTTATACGCTCTCTACCTCTGCCAGGGTCTGGAGCTTTTCAATAGTACTCTGCAAGGCAATGGAGATTACAATATCACCCATTGAACTGACTCGATCTTCCCTTCACTTTCCTCTTCGCTCTCGCGGCCTTCTAGAAGCCTGGTGGAAGGCTAAGTGTTAACCGTAACGGTAATTTTCACAGTGGGTCTCAAATCATCCAATGAACGCAGCCAAGACATACTATCTGACCAATAAACAGAAGCCGAACCCGACCTGAATCAGATGAAACCGGTCATGTCACGTTTTAAAACAGGAGTCAGGGGCCACCCCCTCAACACAACAACATGCTTCCTTCACCACTGGCCAGATGCTGTCGAAGGGGCGGTTACTCCGACACTGATTCCTCGAGATCTTTTCATAGATAAGCCAGCTCCGACGATTTAGCCTTGCGATTTGCGGTCCAAAGGTCCAACGCCTCACCTAGCCCCTCCGTGACCCCTCCTCGAGCCCGTCTCTTGTGGATCAAGTGCACCGGCCGATAAAAAACTACGCACCAGATGGGGTCGTGGATCGACCGGCCCCGAGCGAAACGACGGTAGGGCCATGGGATATTGCGCTGGCATCACTAGTGTAGACATTCGACCCTTCGAGAAATCACCCGCGGGAGAGAAGGAGGGCAGGCCGGGTCGATCAGGGAATTCCACGGTTCGCAGGCCGTGGAGAATGGCTCCATCTTGATCAGGCGGTGATAAGCAATTCCAGATCGTGAGCAAAATCTACGTAATTCCAAAGAATGTTGGTTATACTGTGTAATGGAAAGCAGGGCTGTTTGGTAGCATTTAAGCTGTAGATGAACAGTAGTCTGGAATGATTATTGAAAATCGATCGACGGGGCGAGAAGAATGGGGGATGTTGAGTGGCCCGCCCAAGTGTTGCCCCTGAAGGACTGAAGGAGGGAACCTGACAGGTTAATGGCGATTGTTAGTGTCGGGGACTAACCGTCGCCAACGCTAATAATACTCGCGACGCTCCTGATCCCTTTCCCCCCCCCATCCGGCCTTGAAATCCAAAATCACCGCTGTTTCCTTCCTTGCCTCTGCTCGTCATCCTTTCTTCTTTCTGGCCCCTCACTTTCACGCGCTGGTTCTTACCTTCGACCCCCCTTCCGCGCCGGAGAGATATGCTGTCGTTATTGACAGCCCCTCCCTCGACTGTCCGCCCTCCTTATCGTGTCTGGCTGCTGGCTTAACCCCTCCGTCGCCCTTTAAACACTCACACCCACCCCCTAACATCTCGATCTTCCCGAGGAATGCGCCTTTGACACCGGCATTCAACGTCTCAGCCCAATCAGGAACGCAATGGCCATGGAGAACGCCGATCGCTCCCCCTCCCACGTCCATTCGGACTCCGTCAACACTGGGTCCCACGATACCGACTCAATGGTCACCGTGCCATTGACCTCCAATTCGGAACACACCCAACCCGACTGGCGCTCTCTCAACATCCCTCAAACCCCTGTCGACGTGACATCTCCAACCCGGGAGCACGTAAGTGATGGTGAGGAGGACTCCAGGACAACCCCGACGCAGGAACCAGCAAGGACGGACCTAGATCAATGCTCCAATAATGGCGATGCTAGCTCGATACGGTCCCGCAGTAGCGAGGAGCGGGACAGAAGCGATGCAGTGGATTGGGAGGAGCTGGAAAAGACAGAAGAGCAGGAACCCCGTTGTGAAGGATCGGATGAGGTGCGTATTTCTAGTCCGAGAGAAATTAAAAGATGCAGCAGTTAACGTGTACCAGTCGACTGCTCTTCTCTTAGCGCGTTTGGAGCAGGAGAACAATGCTCTTGCGACGAACCCCAAGTCTGCTCTGGCAAGCAAGTCGCATGCGCAGCGAGTCACCCGACCGTCTCGTGCGCAGTCCTTGCACCAGATCAAGCGACTGATTGACGAGGACCCCCGATCATCATTACGCTACTCCCAGCTGCCTCCTCCGCCAATGACCGAACTCGAATTCTGGGCAGCGCTGGTCGCAGATTATCCCCAAACGGCCCAGAGACTACCTACACTCACCTCGAACAAAATCCGGAGCGGTGTTCCGCCACCACTGCGTGGTGTGGTGTGGCCCAGCTTGGCGGGCGCCCGGGATAACACATTGTTGACGGAATACCAGCGATTGTGCGGCGAGACGAGTCCATATGAAGGGCTAATTGGGAAAGATATTGGCCGTAGCTTTCCCAATGTGGAGATGTTCCGGGATCCCAATGGTGAGGGGCAGCAGATGCTCGCACGAGTGCTGAAATGCTTCAGTCTGTACGATACCAAGATCGGCTACTGCCAGGGACTGGGCTTTGTCGTTGGTCCCTTGCTGATGCACATGACGGATGCAGAAGCGTTCTGCGTACTCGTTAGGTATGTGGACGATCAAGCTATGATACAGCGTACTCTTCAGAACTAACCAGTGCCTCAGGCTGATGGACCATTACGACTTGCGGACATGCTACCTTCCTGATCTCTCCGGTCTTCATCTTCGCGTCTATCAATTCCAGAACCTGCTGGCTCGCCTGCGACCTGGCTTGTTCGCACACCTTGAGATGCTACATGTTGAGCCGGTCTACGTATCGCAATGGTTCTTGTCCTTCTTCGCTGTCGCATGCCCGCTGCCCATGCTTCTACGTATCTACGACGTTATCTTCCTGGAGGGTGCCTGTGAAACATTGATGCGGGTTGCTCTCTCCCTGATGACGCGAAACGAGAAGAAAATAATGGCATGCGCAGAATTCGAAGATGTTATGCAACTGTTGCTTTCGAGGAGTTTGTGGGATACGTAAGTCTTCAGTCAAGCCAATCATGATTTCATCTAATTCCCATAGGTATGCCTGCCACGCGGACGACTTCGTGAACGACTTTGTTTCTCTCACGTCGCTTGTGACAAAGGAAAGCCTCCAGGCGCTGGAAGCTAGCTATAACCAGTCACAAGGAGTTCCAACCGGCATTTCGTTCCCTCAGATGCAGGCAGCAGCTTCTCGATTCCTCGGGCGACTCTGGGCGGGGTCTAACTCACACAACTCCGTCAAGTCCATCAGTCTCAACCCCAACAGTGCAAGTGCGTCTAACCTGTCCAGCATCCGACGATCCACGTCCAAACAGAGCATGACATCAACCCTCAATTCTGTGGAGTCCGCCTCCGATGCCAGCACCGCACCGACGGAACTGTCGACAGACGTACAAAAGCCACGTGCAAAATCAGCTATATCCCAGCACAAAGACCGCGACCTCCACACACAAATCGAGGATCTCCTCATGGCTCTCAGCGACCTTCAACGCCAACATGCCGACCTCACGCGAGAACTGCAGCAAGAACGGGAGGAGCGCGAGGAAGACCAAGCTCTTGCCAAGTCAATGCTGCAATACATCAAAGAGACTTCCAATGAGCCACCCATGGACCTAATTCACAAAGCCGACGCGAGATTCGCCATGATTGAAACGCACAGGGTCGTTTCAACCGACCAAACCAAGCACCAACTGCGCGACGACCTCAACCGGTACAAGGAGATGCATGAACTAGAATCAAACCGATGCAAGAGCCTGACGCGCCGTATTGATGAGCACGAGAAAGAAAATGCATCCCTTCGAGAACAACTCCGCGAAGCACGCGGCCGTATCCAAGACAGCTACCGTGAGCGCCAGCGGCTAGAGCGAATGGTCCGGGAGCTACGCACGGTCAAAACCAAGACCAGGAACTCCGACTCGACGCCGTCCGAAACCTACGGCTCCCCAACCAGCGACACCAGCGAAGGCTACACCAGCACCGGTCTCCGGGAATTGAAACTCGTCCGCACCAACTCACAAAAGAGCCAAAAAAGCACCACAACATCGACCACGTTCAACAAACGATCCAGCAGCTTGGGACTGCAATCCGTCCTTGCAACCGAGAATAACAAACCGGCAGCGGAGGAATCCCTACTGCTTGAACTTGTCAATGCAAAAACGGCAGAAGCAGTCGCACGCCAAGAACTTGAAGAAGTCAAAGGCAAACTGGACTCGATGCGGAAGGTCATGGCACGGAACGGGATCATACCTGAGGGTCGACATTCGTTCCTGGGCAGGCCACCGTCTATTGCGAAGGCGCCGACGGAGCCAGCACCGAATGGGGGCGGACTGTTTAGTGGATGGGGAAGACGTGCTGTATCAACCAGCAATGAGTCTTACGAGGGACGATAGACATGCCAGAGTACACATGCCTAAGGCTGGCTGGTCTACGACTCTCGAGAATTTCCTTGTATCACTTTATTTCTTTGTTTCTGTCATATTTCTGGTTGGAGTTCAACAAAGCGGATGCATGTATGCCTAGACGGGATAAGATGGTGTTAGATTGTATGATATCCCTCCTGTACAGATAACACGTACAAACATAATAACAGTGAAGAATAGACAACAACCAAAAAAAACCAACAATTAACAGAACCATTATCCTAGAGAGATACATGCACTATTAGAAACTCTCACCTACCAAGCCCTCTCCACTCCCTTCTTCTTCAACTCCTCCTGAAACACCGAATAAGAATCAAACATCCCGGACTCCTGAAAATACCTCTCGTAATGCGCAATCATCTCCGCCAATTTCTCCGGCATCCTCTCCGCAAGATCATCCACCTCCCCCAAATCCCTCGACAGATCATATAACTCCCACTTCCCCTGCCCCCTTGGCGGAGGCAAAAACAACGCCTTCCAATTCCCAGCCCTCACAGCCGCAATTCCCAGCTGCTCCCACCCCACAACATCCGCATGATAGATATCGACGTCTACTTTGGATTCCAACAACGGCCGCCAGGAATGTCCGCGCACGGGTGCTACTTCCCTCCCGCGGAAGGTCGTTCCGGGGAGATTGATACCCGCTAGATCGAGCACCGTGGGGAGAATGTCCATCACTGTGGTAAAGGTGTTGGTGATAGTTCCTGGCTTCATACCAATGGTTTCGTTAAGCAGGGGCGGATACCGCACAATACACGGACACCTGATTCCCCCCTCCGTCGTGAAGGACTTGGTAGCTCGACAGGGCGCAGTAGCCGCCGAGGCCCATTGGGGTCCGTACCATACAAAGGAGTTATGATTTCCCAGATTCTCGAGCGAGTTGTCGTAGTATTTCTCGATTACGTCGCCTAAAGTAGCACCCGCTAGGACGGGGATAGCTTCGAGGAGCTGGCCTTCTGCGCCGTTATCGGACATGAATACCACGAAGGTATTGTCCCATTCGTCTATGGATTGGAGATATTCACGTACGCGGCCGATGTTCACGTCGATGAGATCGACCATTGCGGCGTAGATTTCCATGGCGCGGGAGGACTTTGCCTTTTCTTCCGGAGGTAGCTCGTCCCAGGGGGTTGTGCCGAGGGTGATTATGGGAGCTGGATCGACATCTGCTGGGACGAGGCCGTTTTTGATCAGGCTTCGGAGACGGCGGCTGCGGAGGGCGAGGGGGCCGTCGGTGTATAGGCCGTGGTACTTTTGGATGGTTTCGGGGGGTGCTTGGAGGGGCCAGTGGGGGGCTGTGAAAGGGAGGTAGGCGAAGAAGGGTTGGTCCTTTTGGTCCGGGGTGCGATTCTGGAGGATGGAGAGGAGATTGTCGGTAAATGTGTTGGAGGAGTAAAAGTCTTTGGGTAGGTCTGTGTCGCCGTTTAGGAATTGGTCGTCGCGCATCCAGAGGCCTTGTTTGTCGCCCTTAAGGATGACTCGGGGCTTTTCGGTGGTGTCGTAGAGCTGGGGCTCGTGGTTGTAGTGGTTGCCTGCGCCGGGGAGGAGGGTAAAGACTTTGGTGAAGCCGCGGGAGCAGGGGGCTACATCTTTGGTTAGGCCTAGGTGCCTGTGTTGTTGTATGGTTAGCGTCGGTATGCTTGTTGGAAGGTGAAGCTGAAGGAGAGACGCACCATTTGCCGGACATGCAGGTGAAGTAGTCGTTGTCTTGTAGGATCTCGGGCAGGGCTGCGACTTTGTAGTTTAGATAGCCTTCGTATCCGGATTTACCGTCGAAGATGTGTGGGAATCGGTTTCTTCTCTCTGCCATGACGCCCAGTCCTGCGATATGCGCATCTGTGCCTGAGAGAAGCATCGCCCGGGTCGGTGAGCAGGAAGCCGCAGTGTGGAAATCTGTCATGCGGATGCCTTCCATTGCTAGACGGTGCAGGTTGGGCGTGTCAATTTCTCCCCCAAAGGGAGAAGTGTCGCTGAAGCCAAGGTCATCGGCGACGATGACGAGGAAGTTCGGGCGTTTAGGTGCGGTCATGGTGGTGTTGTGCTGAGGATGGAATTTTTTGTGTTTGACGCAACCACACACATGATTCCCATGAGGTGCTCGATAGCTCCATACTTATCTGATAAACATGCGCGCATATTGTTTCATTCCCTGCTACCTTGGCGATATTTTGAAAGAGACAGGTGATGTTATTGGACACTTGAAACTAACATGACTGTTAGCTCAGCCGCTAACGCTTGGACGGCACAATCAGCGATGGTACCATCACTCCGCACGATGGCTTCATCTACCTCCATTGATTACCTACCATTCTCCCCACTGCGTGACGACTTAAGCTTATAGTGTCCGGTACTCGGCCAGACTACGGCTGTCGGTCTTTTAGCGCAGAATTAACTGAACAGGACAGAGTGCGCCACTCCCCTCCAGACGCCTATGGAGCGATATGGCAACATTGCCCCAGAATGTCGCGATATATCTCGAGAAAGACTATAAAGAAAGTCAAGGGCGCGAGATGGCTTGGATTATGCAAATCTGGCAAGGATTCATTCTTCTGTAGCTCGTCTGAGCCGAAGGCTTCCTTGACTTTGCCGAGATATACTCGAATTCCGCTTAGTTCGCCGCGCTTCGAACGGAAACAATGACAAGCTTAAAGAGCTTACAGAATATGCGTCATGCTTTCACTTGGAATATGCTGATAGCATACGCTCTCATTGCCACTAGTGTCTTTAGCTATGGCTTTGACGACGCTGTTTACTCGACTATCCAGACCATGGATTGTAAGGAATAGAGATCCCCTGTCTATGCATCCAAGTTCATTGTTGACTTTCTTCAAGCTTTCGAGAAACAGTTCGGCACCTACGATAACTCTACTGGGGAATACGGGTTCAGTACCCAGCATTTGGCCTTCCTTAATTCCCTCGGTCTGCCTGCGAAAGCGGCTGGCACATTTATCGGATGGGCAATTGGAGAGTACTACGGACGTCGAGCCTGCTTCATCGGCATGCAGCTGATGTGCATCGTTGGTATCTCAGTCAGCTACAGCGCGACGACTTTCGGTCAGATCCTGGCCGGACGGATGATAGTGCAGTGTTTCATTGGCTGGGAGGACTGGCTTGTGCCCATGTTCCTCGCTGAGATCAGTCCTAGTGTGGTACGTGGGGCGACGGTGGTGATATACGTCTTTGCCCACATGTTTGGCTCATTTATTTGTGCTATCATCACGTATGAAACGGCCAAGTTAGAGGGAAACGTTGCTTGGAAAATCCCGATCGGTGTGATGTGGGCGTTTCCCTGCTTCAATCTGCTCTGTAGTTGGCTGGTGCCAGAAAGCCCTCGGTGGCTTGTCCGAAAGAACAAAATCCAGGCGGCGACGAAACAGCTCGAATATCTGAACAAGGGGAAGGATATAGATGTTGCTGATGAAGTGGCTTTCTTGCAGGCGTCTGTAGAGGCAAACGCACAGACGAAAGGTTCCTGGGCTGAACTACTCCAGGGGACCAATCGAGTAAGTCAATTCTTCTCGTACATGCCCCAAATTACGAGTGAGTGGTACTGACATCTCTAAGAGAAGGACAATGATTGCAGTCATGACCGCGGCTTTCAACCAACTGACCGGACAAGCCTTCGTCAGTCAGTATGGCAGTCTGTTCGTCAAATCCCTAAATGTCATGAACCCGTTCGCCTTCACGCTATTATCCCGGGGCATCTCGACCATGGGTCCTCTAGTTACCTTCTCCTTAGTTGACACCACTGGAAGACGACCCATATACCTGATTGGCGGTACCATGACCACCGCCCTGCTCATGACTTGTGGTGGACTAGGGACAGGCACCATAACCGATGGCAAAAAGCGTGGAGTTTGCGGGGTGCTCATGATGTACGGGCTGTTCTACATCATGTCATTCGGGTCTATGTATGCCCCCTTACCGCGGCGAGCATCAGTCTTCCTGGATGAAGCATGTGCTGACTATTGACCCATACCCACAGTTCCGTGATTACAGGCGCAGAAACACCCCACCTCCGACTCCGCGATAAGACCTCGGTTGTTGCCTGGCTTATCCGCATTGTATGCGACTTTGCAGTCTCCTACTCTCTTCCGTACCTACTCAAGGCCCCGTATGCCGATCTTCAGTCCAAGGTTGGCTTTATCTATGGATCCCTTGCAGCCCTGGGAGTGGTTTGCGGATACTTCTTCCTTCCCGAACTCACAGGACGCTCCCTGGAGGAGCTGGAAGAGATGTGGCAGCGGCGCATCCCTGCGCGAAAGTTCGCTGGTATGTATCACGATTGGCTCTAAGATTACTTGCCCCAAATTGATGTATGTTCCGAGCGAGCTAACGGATGAGTACAGACTGGGACTCAGACCGCACCGGAAGTATTGAAGCAAAAGAGGGCGGAACAGAGGAGGATGCTGAGAAGGCCAAAGGAGGACTGTCTCAGGTATATGTACAAAAGCTGTAAACGAGTATTCAATCAATTCCATTCTATCAGCTTCGACAATCTGTGATCAATAAAGTGAGTGTGGGCCCGACTATCTCCAGAGTAATGGGGCCCCATCGGCCTTTTGCTTTTGAGGATGAGCGGGGGTCACGGGTTGGCGGCTGTCGGTTCCTCCTTCACTGCCGTTCCCGAGCGATCGCTGCTCCACCCTTCGAGGTTTCCATGGATAAAAGGAGCCACAACCCAACACGCAGCTTCTGTATTTTCCAGTATCAACAAGCATCATACTAACAGTACCATGGCTTTTACCACCGAGGTGGAGTTTGACCAGGCAAGCTAAATCCACTTGTTTGCGACCGTATCGACACCGTCCTTGCTAACACAAGGGATATAGGCATATGCCAGTGTCCGAGCCGCCTTCACCTCGGGTCGCACGAAGAGCAAAGATTGGAGACGCCATCAGCTCAAGAGAGCCTGGTGGATGGTCGAGGATAACAAGAGTCGCATTCTTGATGCCCTTCGTGCCGACTTAAACAAGCATCCTCTGGAAGCTATGCTGGGGGAACTTACGGGCCTCCAGAATGACATTTTGCGTACCCTTGACAAGCTGGACGAATGGACGAAGGATGAGAAGCCTACACGATGGGATCCCATCAACTTCTTGGGCGGAACAGTAGTCCGTCAAGAGCCATTGGGCGTGTCATTGATTATTGGCGCTTGGAACTTCCCTTTCATGCTGACATTACAACCCTTGGTCGCTGCCATTGCCGCTGGCTGTGCGGTGGTTCTAAAGCCATCCGAGGTTGCACAAGCCTCTCAGGATCTCCTGATGGAAATCATCCCTAAATACCTGGATCGCGACGCCATTCAATGCATCAGTGCAGGGCCTTTGGAAATGAAGCATATTCTTGAAACTCGGTTCGATCACATCTTCTACACCGGATCTGCAAATGTAGCCAAGATTGTGTATACTGCTGCTGCCAAACATTTGACACCGGTCACTTTGGAATTGGGAGCCAAGGGCCTGCAATTGTTGCTCCTTCTGCGGACATTGACCTCGCGGCGAAACATGTTGCTTGGGCTAAGTTTATGAACGCTGGACAGGTATGGCTTCCTTTGTGAAACTAGAAGACCCACTCTTTCAGCCCTAACGTTGAAATCTAGGTTTGCATTAACGTGAATCACGTCCTCATCGACCCCAGAATACGTGAAGCTTTTGTAACAAGACTGATCCACTACTTCGATGAGTTCACTGGCGGTCGAGAGAACCAACCAGACTACTGCAGTCGCATCATTAATGAGCGAAATTTCGATCGTCTTGAGTCTCTTCTCGATAGAACATCCGGCAAGGTCATTTACGGTGGAATTCGCAACCGCCAAACTCGATACTTCGGACCTACCATTGTCGTGGACGTCAATCCTGATGATTCTCTCCTATCTGAAGAACTTTTCGGTCCCATTCTGCCCATCATTGATGCGGACCTTGATGCCGCCATCTCTTTCACTCGCAGTAATGAGCACCCCTTAGCTCTCTACGCCTTTACCAACGTTGAGTCTGAGAAGACGCGCATTCAGAACGAGACTGTTTCTGGTGGTGTGACATTTAATGACTGTATCCTTCATGCCGCTGCTCTTGATGCACCTTTTGGTGGTGTAGGAAACTCAGGTATTGGTTCCTATCATGGCAAGTACGGAATCCTTGCTTTCTCGCATCTTCGCACGTATGCGAATGCTATTCCAACTTGGATAGAAGGGGTTATGGGTGCAAGATATCCTCCTTATTCTGACGCAAACATGAGGAAGCTATCACCGCCTGTCAAGGCGCCTTTTGATCGAGAAGGGAATGATATAACTTCTCGCAGCAAAGTCCTGAGTACTGCGGCCACTCTGGCAGTTCTTGGTTTTTCAGTTTGGATGTTCGGAGCGAGGGAGAAGCTACCGCCTTATGCAAAGAACTGGTTGAGGAAGTGACGCTGTGTATTTGATGTATCTATTTTGATTGAAAGCACAATTCACGAGACTTTTGGAAGGCTCTTCCGTTCATACCAAGTTGAAGCCGCATACTGACATATTTTAGACGCCCTGATTGCTAAATGCGGATCTATTTATAACGCTGTGACTCCTTTCTGACTCGACTTTTGAGTCATATCCCAAGTCTACGGATCAATATGAAGTCAATAAAAACGATACATGTGACGCTCCCAACGACTATAAATTGCCCCTTGAGCCCCCGGACTTTCTTCCCCAGACTTCTTCTCCTACAACTCCCCATTCTACCATACATTCACCTACATTCACCTACATTCACCTACTTTCCCTACTTTCCCTACTTTCCCTACTTTCCCTACTTTCCCTACTTTCCCTACTTTCCCTACTTTCCCTACTTTCCCTACTTTCCCTACTTTCCCTACTTTCCCTACTTTCCCTACTTTCCCTACTTTCCCTACTTTCCCTACTTTCCCTACTTTCCCTACTTTCCCTACTTTCCCTACTTTCCCTACTTTTCCTACTGTTCTTCATACTATTCTGCTGTTCTCTGCTATTNTCATGTCTCTTTCTACCATTTCCTTCCCCGTTCCCACCTTTCTTCNTCTTCTATCTTCTTTNTCATCTTCATCCTTCTCTCTATTNTCTTCTACGACTGCCGGCTCTTTGTCTACAACAANTGAGCTGTCAGGTAAGTCGCCCTGCCCCCAGTCGACCCAAGCCATGTCAAGCCCTGGGGGCTTGTGATCACCTCCTACCTCGACTACCTCATCTACCTCAACCTACATCACCTGCCACCACCTGCCCTACCTCACCTTGCCCTACCTCAACCTGCCCTGCCTCGCCTTGCCCTACTTACCTACTTACCGACCTACCTAACTCACCTCAATCTGTCCTACCACACCGACCTCACCAACCTGTCCTGCCTACCTACCTGCCAATTTGCCAACCTGCCTCAGCATACAAGATATCAGGTAAGTCATCCTGTCCCCAGTCGACCCAAGCTATGTCAAGCCCTGGGGGCTTGTGGATCACCTCAACCTGCCCTACCTTGCCTACCCTGCCTCACCTG